GAAACCGTTGACCTCGGCATCGCTCGCGACACACCTGCCAGCGAACTCGAACATGCCCTCCGCGACTCCCTCCGCGGCGTAGGCCGAGCATCCACTAGCGTGGACGTGATAATCACAACCGGCGGCGTCTCAATGGGTGAGCTAGACCTCCTCAAGCCTACAATTGAGCGCTCTCTCGGCGGCACTATCCACTTCGGCCGCGTTTCCATGAAACCAGGCAAACCAACCACCTTCGCAACCGTCCCTTTCAAACCAACCGGCGACGCCACATCCCAGCAGGAGCGCCAATCAAAACTCATCTTCTCGCTCCCCGGCAACCCAGCCTCCGCCCTCGTCACCCTCAACCTGTTTGTCCTCCCCTCGTTGCACAAGCTCACCGGCCTGGGTCACAGCTCCCAGGCACTCAGCTCTAAGCCTTGGCTCGCGCCGCAGCTTGGCCTCCCGCGTGTCGCTGTCGTCCTGACACATCACTTCCCGCTTGATCCCAAGCGCACGGAGTACCACCGTGCTGTGGTTACGGCATCGCGCTCGGATGGTCGGTTGTACGCGACTAGCACAGGGGTTGAGGGTGCTGGACAACGATCTTCGAAGGTCGGCAGCTTAGCTAAGGCGAATGCTTTGGTTGTGCTGCGGGCTGGACGGGGCGTTGGTATCAAGGGTGAGATTGTGGAGGCTTTGTTGATGGGGGATGTTCATGGCTCGGATACTCGGGTCATTTGCTAGAGGTGTTATACGATAAATGATTTATGCCCAGATGGAGATTGAGTCTCCCGAAAACTGCTTGTGGCTTGGTTCCTTATATGTCTTTCTCTGCTTTGTATATTTCTTTGCCTTCTCCTCTTGTCTTCACGTTTTTCGGTCCTTTTTTTTTGGAACAGGCGATATACGGCCAACCGTAGGTTTCCATCTGTGATGAGAATATAAAATCGTCGTGGGTTTTACATGAAGTCTCCAAGTTGTATGTTTGGTGAATATTACAATCACATAAAGTATCTATTATTCTATCCCCGCAGAATAGAATCAACACCAAAGCTATGGTAGAGTACATAGATAGCCCGCAAATAGAATCATCGCTTTGAATACTTCCAGCCCTTTTTCTTCTCAGCCCGAAATGCAACCAGCGTCCCTTCTCTCCCCTGCTTTCTCGCAATCTCCACAACCAAGAACCGCACAAAATCACCCAGTGTCCAGTAACTGCTATGCGCACTAAGCATATTGAGGTACTGGATATTCAACGGGCCACCACCACCAGAGAGATAATAATCAATTTGACCGTTATCGTTGAGTAGAAGCATGCGTTTTTCAGCGATCTCTTCGCGAGTGAAATCGTGGGTCTCGAGCTCGACATTTGATGGGAGCTTGGAGATTGCTGCGGGGCGAGTAGGGGCTGTGGAGGGCAATAATGTTGATGGATTTGAGCTCCAGCGGAAGACGCTTCCGAAGGATTGCCAGAAAGTGGAAGTGGAGCTGGGAATAGAGCCCATTTTGAGGGAGTTAGAGAGGTCTGAGTCTACTGTTGCATTGACTCGGTACGCGATTGCTGGAAAAGATTGTTAGTATCAGAGATAAGGAGGGCGTGGGAATCGGCTTGGAAGGTTATCCAATCCACTTACGGTCAGTTGTGTGCATGATGTTGTAGAGATTGTCTACTGCGAGACAGCCATATTGACCCGCTTCACCGGCAACACCAGGAAGTAAATCGTCGCCTTCACTGCCTGGCTTGGCTCTGCCTTTTCGTGGAAGGAGACTCGCTGCGAGGATGTTAGACACAGGTGGAATGATGCGATCTTTAAACGTACCCTTATTGAGAAGCAGAAAGAAGCCGACGGGGCTTCCGCAGAGGAAGAGATGTTTAGTATCAAACTCGAAAATGTCGCTGTGTAGAGCCGTATGAGAAAAGTCAAATCGAGGAACATGTGTCGGTTGATGGCTGAGGATGTCTACGGCCATCACGCTTCCAAGAGAATGAGCAATAAGATGAACGCGGCCGTGATCTTGGAACCCTGCATTGTTTTTACACCAGAGGCGATACACACGATTGGCTTCTCTGATCACTGCCTTGACCATCTTAGGTTTGTGGTGGGACAGATAGTAAGGGATGTCAAGCATCACATCGCTGATCAGGGACCGGATAGCAGGAAGAGTCTGGGGTGTGATATCTTCGAGAGAAAAATTGTTGCTTGCCGGGTCATCGGCACCCGGGTCAACATCGGGGTCATCTAACGACAAGTTCATGCGCCAATTCACGGGAAGAACCATGGTTCCCCCATGATCCTGGCGTACGTGTGGCCAGACAGGTTCGTTATTGAGTTCCATGTTCACTTCTCGCCGAAACGCATTAATGGCATGAGTGAAATGAAAGCTTTCCATCCTCTCTGATAGCTTCTGCCCGATACCGTGGATAACGAGAACCAAGTCCGTTGGAGGTGGTCGCGACTCTTCCATCTTGCATGCATAGCATATTTGTTCACCTTGTGTAGAAGTACTTTTCGACTGGGTCTTGCGGATATAGTGCCGCACATCGATAGGATTGGGCTTTGATGGGTGCATTTGTTCCCATAATTTTCGACTAAAGCCACGAACCACAGGTATGCCTATCTGACGGCCTTTCCTTATTGCACTAAGAGGTCGTCGTCCCCTCGACACCGATGGAAGTAAGCTGGGCCGAAGTACCTGAGCATTTGTTGCATCCACGTAGATGGCACTGGATGTGAGGTATGACTTGATGCTTTCAGATTGAACAGAGGTGCCGCCGGCAGCTCGATTTTCGTCGAACATCAAGGGATCCTCTGCCTCATCCAGAGGTGAATCACTACTCTGTGTAGGTCTTGCAGTTGTAGGCCGACTGTCTTGATTTGTCCACAGCGGGTAAACGATTTTCAACTCGGCATCGGCCCCGTTTTCCACGCAACTATTCAGTTCATCTTGCCAAGTGTCGCTCCATGGCTTCAAGTACACATATCCTTCCTCCAATTTGTTCGCAAGTTCAGTCTCAACAGGCAACATGGTATTCTTGTAGAACCAAGTAGCTCGAATCACAGTTGATATATCCTGAAGAGGCCTCCAGTAGATAGGCTTCATCTGCGAAAATTGTTAGTTAATTCAGAGCGAGTAAAGAAATGTTACTGACCTTGAGATTCGGTAATTCAACCAGATGAAGCCGTGATACACCGACTGGAATCTTTGACTGCGTGTTTGGCTCCTCTGTTCTCTCCCTTTGCGAGTCCTGAGTCAACTGGTCTAGGCTCACAGTCGTTCTGAGACCCGAAGGTTTGGGTGTACTTCGAGGAGCAGTGCCGCTTCGTAGTTCCGCCTGCCATTCGCCTCCTTCTCTAGATGAAGAGGACTCAAATGAGCGACCAAGTGGCGTCTGAGGCTGAGATATCGGCGCTCGGATAAAAGGAGAGCCACTCATGCTTGCGTCGTGAGAAGGATCAGCTCGTAGACTTACAGTCTCCTCGTCGCCTTCGCCTATGTTCTCGGCCTCCGATAGAGAAATGCTTCTTCTTTTGGCTGCACTTGACTCATTGACCGAAGACGAGCGCGCTCTTCTTCGATCGATGGCAATCGCTTTCGAAGTATCATGTTTAAGCCCATCACCCAGTGGGGAGCCCACGCGATTTTCCTTGCCGAGTTCACGGGCTCGTATTCCAGCACTGCCGGTAGCAAAAGCGATGTGACTCTTATGACTGCGAGATGGTAGTTCATCCGGGAAGGAAGGAGGGTTGCTTAGAGTGCTTCCTCTACTTCCAATCAATGACGGATCCTCATGGTTGGTTGCCTTGCGGCGATCGACATTTGAGACTGATTCGTGACCAGGCACAGCTATCGCCGGAGGCCCTGTCGATGTGTTTGGCCTGGATCTCACGTTCTCGGCCAACGTGGTCTTTCTGGTTTCCCGTAGATCACGCCAAGCTTTCTCTAAAGCGATGTTATCCCTGGCTGAGAATGGCGTGGGAGCAAGTCTTTCACTCCCTGTCCCCTGGCTTGCAGGTGGAGGCAGGGGAGCCAGTGGATCATCGATCGGTAATGATGAGATATAGAAGAACTGTGACCGGATCTCTGGTGGTGATGGAAGTGATTGAAATCTAGTGAAGTCCTGCTCTTCATCCACAAGCAGGCAACTCGGGCCGTAGGTGTGGATCGGGCCCGCCATTCGGATATTGTACGGAGCCCCCTGTGTTTGAGTTTGTATTGAACTCCACCCCTAATATGGAGGGTTAAACGCGAGATTTATCGGTCATTGCTGAATTATTACTTCGAAAAGTGATCATTTACAGGTTCAAGTCAAGGCTGAGCGGTGACTCCCGTGATCTAAGCCGATGACGTCGCCCCACGTGTTTTGTGTACTCCAATTTTTTTCACTTTTGACGTGTTCCAAGTTAAATATAGAAGTTCCAACTAGCTGTTTAAAGGTTCGTTCATCATTGACAAATGCCAAGGCTGAACCTTTGGCCTGGAATATCAGGCGACAAATTAATTTGATGTTTGCAATGTTAACTGTATAGTTCAGCCTTATACATCCGTTTAGTTAGTAGACGTTAGGCTGGAACACAGCATACCTAGTGTATGCAGACTTTAGGAATATCAGTATCTACGGAGATATGCAGTCACGCTGGGAAATATCTTGGAGGCTTGACAATGAATTCTATGTACCAAAATTCAATCTAGCATGAAAATTGCACATAATATCTTACCCCAAACTAGTCAATCTACTAAGGAAGCGAAAGGATTCATTTCGAATGAGTTGGATTTGGATTACGCTAAATTAGTCCACTCATTACTGGTAAAACACACGCAGAAAAGCAGAAACACAAACAGAAGAGCAAGAGCGAAAACGAAACAAAAGCACAAAGCAGAAAGCAAACTGACCACGGCTGAGTCCTACGAGTAGAACAACAGCCAAGGTAGAATTGCAAGAAACGAAAACCGAAAGCCAGACAAGAAGTTTGTGAAAAGAAATCAAACAGAGGTCAAGTGCATGTGAGTGAAATGGAAGCTTAAGAGCGAGAGCTTGCCGAGTTCTGAGTGTCTCGGTAGCGCTGCATCACCTCATGCTTCTTTATTTCTCCACGAACGTGCGCATCGAGAGCCATGATCAGCTCTAGGTGGCACTCATGGGCCTTCAAAATCTCCAGCAAATCCAGGATATCGTGGATATGCTTCTTGACGACCGAATCCGGGGCCACAAAGGTGCGGATGGACATGCTCTTGCAAATCTTTTTCCAGCTGCGAAGAACAATGTATGGCGGAATGCCATTGCTCGCTTTGCCGAAGTTGAGATTGTCCCGGTTTGCGCTGATAAGCTTGTACTGGGTGTATTGGTCGAAGCGGAATTGAGGGACACCGGGCATGTTCTTCTTTTCCCATCGTCTTTTCACCTTGTTGAGAGAACTGGTAGTGAGGTGGCCATCATAATACTCCTTCATCAGGAATTCATTGGCCGCGTGAGTGATCATGTTCTCAATCTCAGCGTACAGAATTGATTGCACATCGGTGCCCAGAGTAATGGGCGCAGTGTTCTCTGTGACGATGCTAGGCTTGGATGGGTTGATCATAGCTCGGTTCTCATCCCAAAACTATCAAAAGAATTATTAGTCAGTGTAACATGTTTTAAAGGCTGAGTCACAAAACACTTACTATTCCCTTGATACTGCCAATGGTTGAATGTCCCTTTTGGAGGGCCCCCTTGATGAATTTGAATTTCTGGTCGCGTGGTCCCTCATTGTCTTCAAGATATCCTTTCTTACCAAAGAGGTTCTTGGTAAATCGCTTGCGCTTGGTTCCACGAGAGTCCACGGAGCCCTCAGAACTGGAGACATCGGGGCTTCGGCTGGCACGACTCAGAGTTGCATAGCTGGAGGGGGTGTTGACACTGGACTCATTGCCGACGAAGGAAGCTGCATAGCTACGTTCTTCGTTGGTAGGCTCAGACGCATGAACGGCCGTCTGATGCTGGGAAACGTCATGGACTGGGACATCCATGACGAAGGTAGGACTCTTCTTTGTAACGTTCAAATGCGGTGGGACAAGAGACTGGTCGACATTGTCCATGTCGGTTGGTCTCAACCATGCTGGGTAGCTGGTAGGAGATGACATGTAGTCCGGACGGAAAAGAGGCTCCGTAAGGCGGGGATCAAGGGGAATGTTGCAGGATGGAGAGATTCCAACCCGAGGGGCATAGGGATAGGAGTATTCGCAGGGATCACTGGGACGACGCTCGGGAGAAGGAGGGGATGGAACTGGAGACGGAGGTGAGTCCAGCAGAGGGGAATCAGGAGTAGTATCGTCCCAATCAACCTGAGCTTCGAAGGTTACAGTGACGCTGCTGTCATTCTCGTCGAAGATGTCCGAACCGAGTTCAAATTCCCGAAGAATTGGATGTCCAACCAATACAAGGCGACCATTATCAACCTTGTCGGACTTGTCCGAATCCCAAGCAGAAATCTCTTGGAGAGGAACGAAAGGAGGAGAAGACGGAGCCAGCACGGGTGGCTCTTGAGGCGGCATATCAGAAGCACAACATCCGTTGAGACAAGAAGGCGATGGGGTCCACATAGCCATCGTAGGTGTAACTTCTTGAATAGTACCGGGGCTCGCAAATTGGGGACTCTCAGCATTACGAATGACAAAGCCAGGAGCCTGGTAATCAGAACCAGTTGTTTGATCCGCATGGTAGATATTTGTAGATGCCGAATTGGGAGGAGCGAGACAATAAGCAGAAGATGAACTTCCTGGATTGGGAGCTTCATTTGCAGGTCGGCAATTTTCCTTCTCCCGATCGATCAAGGCAAGCATTTCCTTGATGGTTGGGAACTGCGCTGGAGTGAAATCTTGATCAGGCACTCGAATAGCAGGATTATCCACTGCCGTGAATTGGCATTCTTGCTGAATTTCGCGCACTGGGGTAGCACTGGGAGCTCCTGCAGCTGGGGAATCTGGTGGTGAATCTTCGTACCACGAAGTTGCACTATGACCGTGGTGGTGGGGACTGGAATTGGCTTCGGCATAAGAGGCCTCAGGTGGAGAAGCACAACTTAGAGCAGCCAATGCCAAGCCACGGTGGACAGAGGATTGGATGTGGTAAACAGCCTGTGGGTCGTAGTGGCTATCCGAAATGGGTACAATGGGTGGTGGAGTCTCGTCCGAGTAACCTGGCAGCTTGGTCTCCTTGAGAAGCAAATTCGGATTCATCTTTACACTAGAGTGCACAGAGCCATTGGCGATTGAATCCTGGCCAACCTCGGTAGCAGGCTGAGAAGCTTCTTGTTGGGAGAATGAAGTTTTGGCCTGGTGGCCTTGCATGTCCGATCCGTTAAGCACGTAACGAATGTTCATTTTGTTGAGATCACTATCAGAACGTTGGAAGACACCCTCCTGGCCAACTGTGGTGGCCGGCTCAGAAGATTCCTGGGGAATCGGTGGCAATGGTTTGGTAGAACTGTTCGTCATTAGATTTCATGTCCAATAAGTTTAGGTAAGGATAGCTCGTACGTATTATTCTTGTTCACGGTAGCTCCATTGCGGCGAGCTGCACCTCGTTCCGCAATGCCACGAAGACTTTCAGCCATGCTGGGACCCCGGTCTGCAAAGGGACGTAGGCTCTTTTTGCCACTCCTCTTTGCGGTCTGAGGAACTACATGTGGATGGTCTCGATACCATTGCTCGCGTTCATCTTTGTAAAGGAGTACTGACTCGTCCTCCCGGTCAATGGAGCTGGGAGCTTTCCAGGGACGAGTTGGGGGATATTGAGACATTGTTCAAATCAAGTTTGCAATTGCAGAACAGGAAGCATGAGACACGGAAGCGTAAAGAATATCAAGAAGTATGGGAAGAAAGAAGGAAAGGAAAATTGGAAGAAGAGGATACTTAAGCAGTGCTATCGTGGGAAGTCAGGGCTACAATATGCCTAGTCACAATAGCCAATTGCTATTGATCCATGAATACCCAATAAGGCATAGTAGCAAAATCGAGGTCATTGTTGAGGTTAAAAAGGATAGTATAATGGAACCACATGGTCTGCAACAATAGGACTATCCAATAATGTGGCTGGAAATGTCTCACAGACAATAAGGAACAAAGAAAATTGAAGATGGAAACAAAGAAAACATAATATGGAGACAAACAATGAACGAACAAACGGAGAAAAAAATAATTTAATTTTCCCTATCAAGGAGCGTTGACAAACCGACCAATCAAACGCCTCTTCATCACATGAAACTTCCTACATAGTACTAGTATGATCAAGTTTAAAAAGACGACAAGATATAATAGCATATGCTCCATAATCATGGGGCTGCAATACTTTATACGTAGAATAGTCATTTTTAAATATATAATTTTTCTCGCCTTTTTTGCCGCTTACCTATTAAAATGAGAAGTGGGTGGAAATATTAAAAGAAAAACAAAAAGAAAAAGAAAAAATCAAATAGAATTTCCAGAATATATACTGCCAATAAAATATCACAAGGTCGCATATGGACCGGCTATTCCTATGTGTATTAATTAATATTACAGATTATTGATATCAATTTACCAACCCGTATCTACATATGTACATTGTGACTTATAAACCAAAAACATGGCATTGCTGATACTCCGTGAGCTCACAACTAGTATAACACATTTTATGTGTTGTCGCCACCCACTACATTAATAATAAGATACTATTGCAAAAATTTCTTATTCACCCTATGTGGAGAGACAACTGAAATATTGTCTCTAGGTTACCTGATTTAGTCCTTTAAGGATGTTGTCTCCATTTAACTACATGAGTGTAGTAGTTTATGGATATAGTTCGGAACGGTACAACTTGTACCCGACCCAGGCCTCTTCGGTCGTTATTGCCTTGTTGCCTTGTTGCCTTACGTGTCAATATTTCCATTCTACGGAAGAATCATTCATAATGACTATTATACTGTTGGGAAACCAAGCAAATTTAAACAAAAGATGTAGGTCATTTAAACTACTGTTGATAAATTTCCAGGGCGAAGGTTGGGGTTAAACCCTCTGAATGCCGTTACTAAGACCAAGCTTCGAAAATGTTGTTTGTTTTGCGTGGAACCGACCTATTTGCCTTGGACCAGATTGAGGAAACAACATCAGAGATGCGAGATACCATCGGTATTTTAGTGAGAACATGGCATGGGGTTTCGGGGTCTCCGGAGTGTAAGTACCAGGTTGAACTACCATAATAGCACGGGACTTGTACCAGTGGAAGACGGCAAGAGTTCATTCAACTCGGCAGAATGAGGGCAAGTGATCATGTAACCAATAATATCAGAAACAGCAATCCACTGGCCATTTCTGGATCTATATCGGGCAATTTCCTAATGTACGGAGCACGGAGTATGTTGTACATAGGAGAGATATAGATCCCGGGCAGGGTTGCCGAGATGGTGTCACGTGCCCACCAGTCCGCTTACCGAACTCGTTTCCGGGTGGAGCTGAGGAAAAGAGGAGCAACCCAGTCACAAACCAGTCACAATCCAGCCAGCCACCAGCTCGGGATCAACGACGGTATTATGGACATCGTGCAAAGCCAGTCCTATCCCCACACACCTCTTGTTTCTTCGATTCTGACAAATCGTCCATAACTCCATATCTCGCAGATCTGATTGGCTACCCCAACCCACGAACGGGTACTCCCCACGATTCCGCCGACTCTGAATGCCGTGGATGTGCTCCGTTGCTTCAGTTGAACACCCAATCCGTCCGCTTACCCCAGTTCCCGGATAGTATATAGGGCAGCCATGGCCCTCATGCATTTTATTTCGGTCATCTTGCAGGGTGATACTCTGATCTCCTCCATCTTTCTTTCAAATCATATATACGATTATTTACGCTGATTATATCTGCATTCGCCATACGATTCATACCCCACCTTGGTCACTAAGTTCGCTTTTGGCCGCCATCATGGTCCAACAAGAGAATTATGACATTGTTATTGTGGGCGCTGGTCCCGTCGGTCTGCTCCTGTCCCTGTGTTTGTCACGATGGGGTTACAAAGTGAAGCACATCGACAACCGCCCAGTGCCGACCGCTACTGGTCGGGCCGACGGTATTCAGCCGCGATCTACCGAGATCTTACGCAATCTTGGTTTAAAGCGCTCGATCATGGCTTATGAGCCTGCCAAAGTGTACGACGTTGCTTTCTGGGATCCCAAGGGCGACGGCTCTGGCATCGGCCGCACTGGCAGCTGGCCTAGTTGCCCCCGTTTCATTGACACTCGCTACCCTTTCACCACCCTGGTCCACCAGGGCAAGATCGAGCGCGTGTTTTTGGATGAAATAAAGAAGGCTGGGACAACCGTCCAGCGGCCATGGACCATCGTTGGCTTCAAGAACGATGGCAGGAACGCCGATTACCCTGTTGAGGTCAACCTGAAATGCCTGGATACTAATGTCATCGAGAATGTACGCGCAAAGTACTTGTTCAGTGGCGAAGGTGCCCGCAGCTTCGTCCGTGAGCAGCTTGGCATTAAAATCCACCACAAGGATCCTATTGCCTATGTTTGGGGTGTTATGGACGGTGTTGTGCGCACCAACTTCCCTGATATCGAGGTAACGATGCCCGAAAATAGTCAAATACATGAACCTGTCTGACCCATTGCTATACAGACAAAATGCACCATCCACTCCGATGCTGGCTCAATCATGGTCATTCCCCGAGAGGACAACATGGTGCGCCTGTATGTGCAGATCGCCTCCTCCACAGACGCTGACTGGAACCCCCGAAAGTCAGCCACCGTCGAGGAGGTGCAGCAAACTGCGAAGAACATTCTGAAGCCATACTGGATCGAGTGGGACCGTGTCGAGTGGTATTCTGTCTACCCCATCGGACAGGGTATTGCTGAAAAGTACACCCTTGACGAGCGAGTCTTCATGGGTGGTGATGCTTGTCACACTCACAGCGTCAGTATTCCGCTTCGAAGTCCCTGTTCTGCAAATATCGCTAACACTCGTATAGCCCAAGGCTGGCCAGGGAATGAACACTGCTTTCCATGACGCGCTCAACATGGCCTGGAAGATTCACGCCGTGGAGAGTGGCTTTGCCAACCGTTCTATTCTCAGCACCTACGAGAGCGAGCGCAAGGATATCGCTGAGACTTTGTTGAACTTCGATTCCAAATACGCAGCCTTGTTCTCCAAGCGCCGTCCTTCTGCTGGCGAGGTTGGTTCTGCTAGCCACTCCACTGTAGGTGCCGTTGGGGAGGAAGACGAATTCGTGAAGACGTTCAAGTCATCTTGCGAGTTTACCAGTGGATACGGAGTGGCCTACCAGCCGAACATTTTCACCTGGGACGCAAGCCACCCTGCAAAGTCCGCTCTGTTCCAGATTCCTGGCGTTCATCTGACTCCAGGTCGCGCTTTCACCCCGACCACCGTCACCCGTCTTGCAGATTCCAACTTTGTCGAGCTTGAGCAGGAAGTACCCGCTAACGGTGCGTTCCGCATCTTTATCTTCGCTGGCAACCAATCCAAGACCAAGAAAGCCATTGCCGACCTTGCTGCCAACCTAGAGAAGGAGCGCTCATTCCTTTCCGTGTACCGACGATCTGACATCACCGATGTGTCATTCTTCGAGCGCCACAACCCTCATTCCAAGCTGTTCACACTGTCTGTGATCTACGCAGGCTCCAAAAACACTATCGATGTGGACTCCATTCCCCAGGTCCTGCGCGACTACCACCACCACCTCTATGCCGATGATATTCCCGATGTGCGTGTTCCCCAGGCTCAATTTGCGGCCCACGAGAAGCTAGGATTTGATGCTGAGAAGGGTGGTGTCGTCGTCACCCGCCCCGACAGCCACGTGGCTTGCACCGTGCAGCTGGTTGAGGGAAGTGGCACCACCGACGCTCTCAATGAGTTCTTCAATGCGTTTTCAACGAAACCGCTGGGCCAGGACTCTCAACAGAGCCGTCTGTGAGAATATTGTCGTGTTTACGAGTCTGTATTTTACCTTCAAGATGTATATAGCAGTGGATAGCTTGAGCATGATCGGCGTTTATTTTCAATTTCCATATGAATAAATTTACAATTCAAATATCCAAGCTCCTCTTCACACTTCTATAGTACCTATGTTCATAGTCTTGGTCAGCTCATTGTTCCAAAGTGGTCACATGCCAAGCCTCGATCTACGTTAAGTATTTTCCATCTCCACCCCGCATCACCTGCAGAGAGGATCTTTCAGCCATCACTCAATATCAAGATCACCCACTCGGTCTCAAAAGCCAAAAATGCTTACTCTTTTGATCGAAGCCCAGCTGGAGGGGTAGGTTCTCCTATCTTTGTTTCATATTGAGCCTTTGATGTTACCTGCATATCCCCGCACCGCACTCCAATTCCAGGAACACCGCGCGGGCAGATCCTTTCGGTCACCACTATCAAAGATTCAACCAGCTAATATAATGAGATAGCGTTACTACCCTCCTGCCCACTGACACCGAGGAAAATCCCTACTTCTACACTTTCCGAGTGAAGTGTACCTCCTGCCACGAGACGCACCCCAACTGGGTCAGCTTCAATCGTTTTGTACGTGGATCCCTTCCATATTTCTCTCCATTCTGTTGCAAATGAATGGCTTATTAACTGTATTGATGTATAGGAGACGCACGAAATCCCTGGTAGCCGTGGCGAGGCTAATTTCGTGTGGAAGTGCCGACTATGCACGGTAAGCAAGCTCTCTTTCCCAATATGATAGACCGAAAGAGTTTCATTTTTTCCTTTTTTGGACGTTCCATCTATTTGAGCTTCATCCAGTTCTGCTGGCATCAGTCATTTAGGTTTCTGACCTTTCGATGAGTATACAGCTAACAACCTCATAGAAAACCCACACTGCCTCCGTCATTAGCGGACCTCACCCCTATGAGGCCCAGGAAAAGAGCAAGGCTCAGAAGATCATCGAAATGGACTGCCGTGGCCTCGAGTTTACTGAGTTCAAGCCCGACGTGAGATATTCTATCCAGACTTACCTATGTAATTGTATGTGCTGACAAAACCAATATAGGGCGAATGGGAAGCCAAGGCTATTGATTCCACCACCACCTTCTCTGGCATTGATCTTACGGAGGGTGAGTGGTATGACTATGACGAGAAGAAGGGTGAGGAAGTCAGCATCAAGGAAATCACCTGGACTGTTGGCCGTTAAACAAAGATCTACTTGCTGATGATGGCTGTTGGATCAGAATCTATGAACGCTGATGAATTTTGATCATATTTTTCCTTTGTATTATTACTGGTGTCAGTTGAGCTTGAGCGTGGAAGCTGTGATAGGAATGGGGGAATGAAGCATATCAAAAACGGGATATTGTTCAATGATGAGATAGCAAGCCATCAAACAAAGTTTATTCCGTTATTGTAGTTCTAAGAAGTTGAAGGATATTTACCTACAGCAAAGCATTGTGTCCAAGCACTTTGATATCACCAGGGCGGTGTAGAATTGCCACAGTTGATTGGGCATTGACCACCGCCTTATTCAGCTCACATTTTCGCGATCTCGCCGACTCCGATGCCAACGCAGTTAACAACACGACCAGCACGATCAATCAACGAAGTGACATATCTTGTTTGAGCTTTTGCTATTGTCATATCCTCAAATCCTACTCCATCCCAACGAACCAGAAACGTATCTCGAGTTACAATGAGTGTCCGTCTTCACCCCCTCAAGCTCATCCCGCTATCAAGCTCAAAATCCCGCTCATCAGCACTCGAACCTGCAATCTATTCCCGGAAGACCAATTGTTAACTCGCACTTTTACAGTTCCAACCGCTTAACCCCCGTCCCTACCTCCAGGCCCGGTATGCGACCCGCCCCCAACCCACCCGGACCCCATCAAGCAGCCCCAAGCAGCATATGGAGACATCCGCACAATCCATCGCCTCCGTTAGCACCGTTTACTAACTTAAACCTCTTTGCAGCGTGGGCACCGAAGTCCTCATCCGCTTGAAGTGGGGCCAGACCGAATACAAGGGCACTCTCGAGAGTATCGATTCATACATGAACGTCCTGCTGCGCGACACGCAAGAGTTTATCGACGGAAAGGCTACCGGTGCATTGGGTCTTGTTCTAATCAGGTAAGTGATGCGCTTCAACGGGATCAGCGTCGGGTTGAATACTTGTGATTCTAGTTTAGCTAACTCTCTCTCTCTTCCAGATGCAACAACATCCTATACATGGGCTCGGCCGATGCAATCGAAATTACGGACATGCAATATAAGTGATGTCTTGCATATCCTAAAACGGAGATGCGATGCAGTGCGGTACATGAGTGGGGAAGGGTGAGAGATGACGGCTGTTATGTGTCTGGGAATAAAGTGTGCTTCGGTGTTGCAGCTTCGGAGCGGTTTATCTGATGCAATGGGAGTCCTATTCCATCGACGGGATAGGATAGTTGGTTCGTGGCACACTCAGATGGCTACACTGCGCCCGTCAGGCACCCGAAGACACGATCAGCTCAGCTCTGCACAGATGGACACGGAAGATCGATGTACCGAGTCTACCGGAATTTTTGGGACTCGGGTGCGTTCTCACAATTTCAATTATCACGAGGCGTTTGTTTGTTAATGGCTTTTCAAAGTGGGGTTTGTGCATGGCCTCTGACCAAAATCGAATCAATTACTTTCTGCACAAGTCTGACATACGTAGTTCGGTACTGTGTTGTTAATCAGGGGGTGCGAGTCTGCTGCGCCATCAAGTATCGACGGTGTATTATGACTCAAGTGCGGCGCAGCGCAGCGACGACACGGTCTTCAAGGGTACCGGTGATGAAAAGGGGGACTACAGCCTAAACCCAATAGGCATCGACATATTTCGAATGTACCGTGTGCTCCGGTGCACTGAAGGCAGACACTATGACCCAGGGAGATCAGTTTCTCAACAGAAACTCGTAGTATTTCGGGGACGGGTTATAATCCCCTTGGGAATAGCTGTATCGCACAGTCCGCGCAATGGTCCAGTTGACATCGGTCCGGGCGCAGCCCTGAGCAATCTTAGAGGGCAAATTGACCTGTCCTCCGTATACCAACGTTTCGTTACTCGTGCGAAGAGGACTGAGTCAACGAAATCCCGTATTATATGATACATTCGTCATGCTAAATCAACTTAGAAAATGTCTGGGGCAGGTTAAGGTGGCTAATTGCTGTGGCGGTTCTTTTTATAGACGTACCACATGGCGCACAAGTCCTTACTTGTACTAGCCAATGTACGTACACCCATAAGCCGATCACCCGTCCCCTCTCCGTACTCCATAGATTCCATGCCATCGACGTCATGGCGCTTATGGCATCCGCAATAGTAAGCTAAGACAAGTAGCGTACTGCAGGGTGATCATAGCCAGTTACAGAGTTTATGAAGTGTCTGCAGAGAGAGGGAAAAAAAAAGAGGGGAGCATATGATCTTCCTACAACTATCCGAATTTGGCCTTTTCGCATGGGCCATGTGCTCCTCTATATATCCTGACGAACCATTGCAGTTCTTCACAGCCATTGTTGGTCACTCGGACGCCACGAAAGTCGATCTCATTACGCAGCCAGTATTGAGGTCACACACACTGCCAAAAGGGGGTGCATCCACTGTGGGGTGCGAAAACAGGAGTATTTACATGTACTCCGTATACTCCGTTCTATAAAATGTATAGAGTTTACTGATTCGGGCATTTTCCTTTTTCAACATCGGATGCCATTTCCATTCTTTTATAAAAACCTTCTTTCTCCTCTTTTTTCTATTCCCTCGCTTTCCCACTTGAAACATCCAAATCTGCAGTCAGCAACTTGCTACATTCTTTGTCTCATCTCACGCTTGAACTTACATCTATACACCCTCGTGACCCCTCTAAATTTCCATTGGAAATTATATACTCTTTATCTTTCACCAAATCAACAAAGAAACACTCTACACAATGCGCGATACACGCTCCAGGTTCATTGAGATCCTCGATCCCAAGGACTCATCCCGACGTATGTCCGACTCAGATGTTCGTCTTGAAGACGTCCTCGCCGACCACGAAGCAACCATCAACAGCCGCGCTCGCTCTTCTACACAATCTTCTGCGAAACCAAATAAAACCCTCTCTCGTACGAACTCGACATCCCCGACGCCACGTTGGAAACGTCTGAGCAATATCCTCGCGCAACCACGTCGGAACTCTTAATATACGCCCTCACCTTGCAGTAATGTGCCACGCTGATACCCTTCTTCACCTTACTATATGTCTCAGACCTTGAGATTAAGACAATGCGAAACACATTTCTCGCTTGAAAAAGAAAAAAGAAAAACGGAAATACAAATTTACAGATACATTCACGACTTGGCTGGTTTGATCTTTCGTGCCCGGGACACTGTGAATTGGAAATGAGATTACGACTTGAAATGAACGGCGTTACCTTTGCACGGGGAGTGTTTGGCCTCAGACCGTCTGATATTTGCTGGCAGTCCAGATGACAAGACCGGACCCCGCTTTGATATGCACTTTGTTAGCGATTTGGATTTGGATTTGAATTATATTATCTGGTTGGTTTGGCACATGTATAGAAACTGAATTTTGCAACGCGGTCTGAGACCTGCGTCAAATGTCATGATATTATCTCTCAGTATCAAAGGTAATGAAAATGGCTATAACCTTTGACTCCCGCTTGTAGCCCTTTTAATATGTGCGACAGTAACCGAAATTCTATTCGATTCCAATCGATTCTTGAACTTTGTACCTGGCGAATATTAAATCCGGCGGGGGTCTTAGCTTTAACGTATTTACTACTTCCAAGGTTACTGTTGGATCACTTATAGGGCTTGTAGTATGTACAAAAGAGGTGGACCCTGGACCCCTATCGGAGTGGAACGTTCGTTACACTCTCTGTTGGACAGTAATAAAAATGGGTCTGGAAATGCTTCCGAAAGTCAGGAACAGCATTTCTATGATAGCTAGCAAGGATAGCTCTCTTTTGCATCTTGTCTAGCACAACAGCTCTCGGTGTTATGGGATACAATTGGTGACTTGGTGCTGTATCGGTCTCTGTCCCTGCGCCGGACCATTCGGACCTGAGAGCCTAGACGAAATCGTCTGCATGTAGGGCAAGCTATACGAGAGACCTGATCAAGATTGAAATCTAAAAAAAAAGCTCAAGTTGGAAAGGGAACTGTAGTAAAACGATAACGTCGGACAGACTTCGGGACTGAGATCTAGCCCTTTTAATTTGTATAGACTCTACCAATGTAATAATGTATATCACTTTGAGACAGGTTGAGTTGGTCTGGTTGGATATTCCCGGAGATTTCCCGGTACTATATCCAGTCGTCTCAATTGTCCAATCAGCTCTATCCAATATTCGACTTTTCTTTGCCATCAATCTGTTAATCTCCGCGGATGCATGTTAACGCGACTATTACCAGCGGTATGAGAGTGGCATCGAAAATGTTTAGAATTCTTGGAGTTATGTCTCGCTACTTCCCTGGTGGTACTATGGTGCAGACGAAAATAAGCAAATTACCGAGATATGGTCTGGTGTTTCTTCCAGGGGATTGTGCTGTTGTAGCACCTTTAACCCGTTTTCACAAGCTTGACGTGGAAATTATGCTTGTGAGTATGAAAAGTTCGGAAAAGATTGGATGATCAAGACGACTTTTATCACCTCTCCGCCTTTTGCTGCGGTATACCGTGGAATGCGTTAAGGATGATTTATATATATTGCCTCCTACCTGAATAAAAAGCGATATCACCCTCTCCTCTCACAAAGTTCTTCGTCAACCACGAATGTTGGATTGGTGACAAGCGTTCTCCACGAGTGATAATCGCCATGTTCCATATAAATACATGCAGCGAGCAATGATGGGTCACGGCACGACGGGGACAAAAATGGCTTGCATGGCGAGGAGGAATACACTATTTCGGATATTTGTTGGAAGAAATAACGTCGTAGGTTGGTGAGCATGTTCCCTATAATCGACTATCGAGGCTACAAAGGCTACAGTGCCACAACGGCAAGTTGGTACACGGTGTTGATACTCACTTTCCAGTCGGTAATATTAGAGGCCAGCCAACTCTCATCATGCTGTACTTTACCGTTTGTGTCTTCGTCTTCTAGGTCGATAGAACAAAACAGAAAGTAGAATCAATAATTCCTAAAAACGGATATAATATTCGGATATGATAGATCTCTTATCAAACCTGCCCCACATCAACCTCATCTCTCCAAAACACAACTCTGCCCAGGTGTGAATGACGGAGACCCTGCAAAAACCCGCGTCTAGTCCGAAACATCTCAACACCAAGCAATAATCTTCCGCGACACTCCCCGAAACCCCGACTGTCGCGTCTTCGAGACGTGCCCAAAAGTGCCAAGTCGTGTCATTCCACGCCTGTCACCTCATCTAGCCCTACGAATCAAACCAAAAAATGGCCTGGCTCCAGCAAACACCAGGCTCTGGCGGTCGCGCATCCCCAACAGTCTTTGAGCAACAGCGCGAGGAACTCGTCCGAGAGATTGCAGTGGTATGTACCAAATCCATGAAACTCCCGCACTCGCGAGTCCTTATCGGCTGCCGCAACCGATGTTAATTTCGCGCAGGGTATGGAACAAGTACTTCAAAACATCAACCGTCTGAATCGGAATCTGGAGAGTGTGATTGCAGTAAGCTTCAATACCCGGGCAGACAAAGCGTATGTGCTAATGGTGTTAGGTGGGGAATGAATTTGGATCAGTGGAAGCTCTCTGGTCCCAGTTTGAGAACTTTATGGGCCGGACTGAAGAACAAAACGAGGAGACCGGCAATGACAATGGCAAGCGGAAGGTTAGCGGGGAGAGTGATGCAAGTAAGTCGGGAATAAAGCGTGAAAACGACGAGGGTGACTCGACAGTTATGCAGTGATGGTTTACATTTTGGTCTGCATGACGGGTCTCGGCGTCGGGCTGTTTTACCTTTTTTTTTAGATACCATTCAGAATTCGGGTTATGATTACGACCTGGAAAGAAAATATACGAATCCTACGAGACATTGATAAACACAAAAGGTCAAATTTATTGTTTCAGTAAGACATAGGACATCGCTTTCGCCAACAGAGCATATCAAATAACATAAAACGAGAACACCACTCCCATGCATGCCAATGGAAAACGGCAAAGACCCGAGTCATGAGAGACATCAAATGGAACAAGGGGGACAAGGGTCATAAGGGTCAAAAAGAAAATAGCAAGGAACAAACGTGAAATAAAAGAAACAGCCTCCAGCAAAAAAAGAATCGAGATCATTGTAAGGGCCGCGCAGCGTATCGATACAACAGAGAATTTGGAAAGTCATGTCTAGCTTTGTCCAGCTTGCGGCGACATGTCACATACATAGGCGAGCGGGCAAGCAATCCGACGAAGCAACCAGGCTTGTGGTCCGGCCAAGAGAGAAAGGAAGAAGGGTGTCGAGAATGGGAAAAGAAAACACATATCGAGTAGAATCAATCTACAGAATCTTGCAAGTGCGCTTCTTTATCTTCTTGCCGGGCCGGGGGCCTCCTGAAGACACGGCGCCTGTGCGACTGTTGCGGTTATTACGGCTATTGCGTCCGGCCGGTTGGGGGGCTGTCCAGCCTTGTTCTTCGATTGAGATGGCCTCGTCAACAGCCTTGGCGAAAACTTCGTCCACACCTCGCATCTCCTTGCTGCTGCATTCGGCGTATGTTGCTCCCATCCGTTGGGCGACATTTTCACCTTGCTCTGGTGTGATGGGGGTCAGGCCTTGTGTTTTGAGGAGTTCAATGCAGGTTCGTTTATTGCGCAAGTCGGACTTCAGGCCAACGAGGATAATGGGTGTGGTGGGGCAGAAGTGCAGAACCTCGGGATACCACTAAAAAGAGAGTTATTAGACATATCGAGCAAAGATCTCCGAAGTTTAGAACTCACCTTGTCAACAACATTCTCCAATGATGCGGGGCAATCGATAGCAAAGCAGACAAACAGAAGATCAGTCTCGGGATAGGACAGTGGACGCAAACGATCATATTCCTCCTGTCCGGCAGTATCCCAGAGCGCTAATTCAACAGTCTTGCCAGAAGCCCGATGTGTTGTTTGGGTGATATAGTTCTCGAACACTGTAGGGACATATTTCTAGATGATAATCAGCAAGGACTCATCTTTCCCCGTAGATTGGACCGTACCTCTGGGAAGTAACCTTGGGAATAACTGATCAATAGACAGGTCTTGCCACATCCACCATCACCCACCACTACAAACTTTTTTGAGAATGAGGGTGGCTGAGTGATGTTGGTTGCCTCGGACATCCGTCCACTGGAGACACTGGTATTGGTGCTGGCTGTGCCGTGGCTGACTCGGACACTGTCACTGCGCGCTCGACTGTGACGCGGTGTCAAGGATGGAGGAGGGGTGGCGAGAGAATGGCGGCGCGATGCTGCATAGTATTGATCTTCGTACATAGCACTCATGATGAGCAGGGGTGGAATGTCGTTTGTAATGTGATACAGGAAAATGGTCTGATAGGAGAGAGAAAGATGTAGAGAAAAAAAAAAGAGTAGGAGAAGATAGATCTAAAAAATGATCTAGAGGATCGATAGAGCAAGAGGATCTGGCGAGACCCGTGAGACCCGTGAGACCCGTGTTTACACCGGGGCTACCATAGCAACGGCCGTGCCTCCATGACGCCAGGGCTCCGCTCCCCACGATCAAAGGTATATCTTCCAAGGTTAACTAGAAATTTACTGGTTTATCTCGATCCTGTTTTGCTCTTGACTCCGCTAATATATTCTTATACCCCACCGTTCAGCTCACACCATTTCAGTTGGCTTTTTTTGGTATAACAGTTTACCGATGTGGTCATGTGATTGATCTTGAGATATGAGGTCTCATATTCATTTTAGATAGTATAAGCTATAATTTAATTTAATCTTTGTATAAGGCTTAGTGGAAATAGATTGTAAATCCGATCTAACAGTCAAGTGGAAATAAAATTGAAAACAAAATGGGCTTAACGCTATAACTGCATGTCATCCTTCTTCAGCCCTGGCTTTTTCGAGGCCGGAGAAGGCCGAAAGCCACGAGTTTACAATATTCCCTTTATGTATTAGCGGGTTATACTCTTTTTCAGCTTTATCTTTTTCTCCACTGTCAATTACAATCATATTTCTTATAATTTCAGAATCTAAGAGCCGCATATTAAGTATAGTATCCTTAGGTAAAATCAAAAGAATTCATGAACTATTTCATGAACTATTTGAAGGTCAATTGAATCTACCGGAGATAGTAGATCAGCATCGGCTTCACATGTGTCGAGTCGATGATAAATATATATTGTAAATCTATAGATCAAACATATTTTCCCCCGAAGAGGTAGACACAAATGAAAGTCTATGTCAAAATTAATTAGTTAAAATCGAGAACAACCTACAACCTGCGATGTATAACACTTGAAGCATCCCCGGGGTCATGCCGGCCCCGATGCCATGTGACTAAGCACACAGATGGCGGGCCCCAGGCATCAGGGGTCTGAGCCGCGGATCTCAACTTTGGAGGATATTCATTCAACCTCCCGAGGTCGAGTTTCTCGATTATATCATTTGCTTCAATCCAACTTCAATTCGCTCCTTATGTTTTGAACCCTATAACCTTCAACCCCCTCAAACGGACCGGCAGGCAGCGGCCTGTCTATCTATGGAATCCATCCGATTGCGACACTGTTTAGATCGATAACACTACATCATGGGCAGTAAAAACGACCAGCCCGATGCTGGACTGAAAAGTTTGAATCATTGTATGCAATTACTTCCTTTTCTGTCCTTGGGTTATTGCAATGTCCGTTAACCGCCACGCATTTGCGGCATAGACTCGAGCCGATTGCCCCTCTGGCGGTACTGGCCCCGACAGAAGCTCATCCCATTGATCCGATATGAGACGCCATATTTGGCTTGGGTGCAGGAGAAAGTGCGCACACCAACTCTTGACTCGTACTTCGCCTTCACGGCCAATCTCGGCACACATACCTTCTTCATGGTCTTCTTGCCCTTCCTCTTCTGGTGTGGTTCTCCCAGTATGGGTCGCGGGTACGTTCTATCTCTCGGAATGGTGGATGTCTGTGGCTGATAAAGATCTACAGATTGGTACACATCTTAGCATCGGGCGTCTTTTGGAGCGGATTCCTGAAGGATCTGCTATGTCTTCCGCGTCCTCTGTCTCCGCCACTTCAGCGAATTACCATGTCTGGTTCTGCAGCACTAGAATATGGATTCCCCTCAACACACTCCACCAACGCTGTGTCGGTTGCGGTCTATGCTTTGGGCCTGCTTGGTTCACCCGATTCAACTCTCAGTGTGCAGGCAACCCTTCTGCTCCAAGCGATCACCTATATCTACGTCGTGTCCATTGTATTAGGTCGACTGTATTGCGGAATGCATGGTATGCTGGACTGTATCGTTGGATGTGCTATGGGGGCGGCCATCGGTCTCGTACAATTTCATTATGGACCTGCCTTTGAGGACTTCATTTTATCCGCCTCACTCAAAGAAATTTCCCTGCTGGGGCTGCTTATTATCTCTCTCGTCCGCATTCATCCGGAGCCGGCCGATGATTGTCCATGCTTCGACGATAGTGTCGCATTCGCAGGTGTCATGCTAGGCGTGGATGTGTCTTCATGGCACTTTGCCGATATCTGGGTCGGTTATCCTTCTGGGTCAATTCCATACGACCTCGAGACCATGGGCTGGATCAAGACTGTTGTTCGTCTGGTCGTTGGCGTTTTGTGCGTGTTTGCTTGGAGAACTGTTACGAAGCCCGCTTTGCTGCGCATTCTGCCACCTATCTTCCGCACCCTGGAGAAGCTCGGTCTTTTGCTCCCCCGACGTTTCTTCACCACTGCATCGTAAGTTACAGGTCCAAATGTGCTTTATACTTGTGGACGTTATGCTGACATACCCCTAGTAAATACACCACCGTCCCCTCTAACCTAAAGGATCATGACGTTCTTCCAGATATGTCCGACATTTCAAATATCATTACCACAATGCGCCATCCTCGCCGCCGAGCCGTTTCAATTGGTCCTCAGTCGGAAGCTGATGCGTATGAGACCCTGGCATACCGGGAAAAGCGCCGACGCGAGAGTCAATCTGGGAGCAATCGTCCTTCTCCAGTCGCAGAGGGCCAAGCTAAGCCCAATGGTACGCCTGTGTCGCCGAGGAAAGCAGCCTCATTGGACGATTACGAAGACATGATGGGACGAGGTAGCCCCAATTCATCCGCAGTGGATGCGAATTTTGACATATCGACAACTTCTTTCCCTTCACTCGATTTTGAGCGAGAGCGGGATGAAAAAGAAGTGTTTTCCCAGATCAAGAAGCCCCGTGTACGGTACGACGTGGAGGTAGTGACAAAAATGGTTGTATATGCGGGTATGTGAACTCCCCTAGATACTAACACAACATTTGCTGATATCAGTCTCTTTAGGTATTCCATGGGTTGTCATTGAAATCGCACCCCTGTTGTTCGACCTAATCGGACTTGGAAACCGATAATAAGAATGAGAAATGTATCGATAGAAGTGCAATTGGCTTCGCAGTCCCTCTCCTCTTACATCTATCAATTCCTCGGCCTGCTCCTAGCCCAGCGGGCTGTGCTGGAACAGGTTACCTTAGAAAATATTCTTTACGTCGTCCATGTACATAAGCATTGAAAGCAATATCCATAGGTGCATAATTCGGTCTGGTCAGATATCCTGCTCAAACAGGTATATGATCAGCCGCATGTACCAAGACATAGAAGATACCACAAGGTACATAAAAGCCACAACACACAGCAAAGAGCGATCAAATAAAGAGCTACAATGGCAACTTTCTCTTTGAGGCTGTCATGATGGATGGCTGTTTATAGAGTCCGCCACAAGACGATTATTAGCTGAAACACCAAACGATACAAGACCGGACTAAAAGAAAACTATATCCAACAACTGATGGAGAACAAAAGTCAAAGAGAACGGTAAAAAAAAGGCAGACGGACAAAGAGTGACAATATGTATACACCCTTGTAGGTCAAAACAATGGAGGCTGGGCCGGGGAATAGGTGATGAGTCAGCAGAATGATAAAAGAACCCGAGCACCGCGTCGGCTCATATTGTTCCCATACATCTTCCTTTGTGGAGTATCTACCTTCGATTCTAGGTTCGGGATAGATATTCCAGTCATGCCCAATGATGGATCTTGAAGTCTCATCTTCATATACCTGCTCATACCTCCCCTTTCACACCCTCAACGTTCATTCAACCATCGTCAATCTACTTGAAAGCGCGTCATCGGACGAGTAGATCGCTGTCGACTTTCTTGTTCCCGCCTGTTCTGCCTGCCTTCCGTTTCGCATCAACATGGGGTTCTTTCGCTGGCCTCGCTGCAAGCGACGCGCCTCCCCTACGAGGCCCACGAAACCCTCGCCCAAGATTCCCGATCCCTTTAAGGCCTCTAAGCTTGACGCCCACAACGGTATGGTAGCCCCTCATTCGAAATTGAGGGTGCGCACACTAAACTCCAACCTAGTCTCAGATGATTCTCACTTGCCCATCCCAGGAGCCTTCCCGTTAACTCCTCCTGAATCACCTACCCTTGTCGTATCACAAGGCGCTGCCATCGAGGAAGAAGACGTCCCACCGAAGGGATGGGAATTCATGGACATAGATGCTCGCGCAACACCAGCACTGGTTACTGACCTCGGCATACATCTCCACCCTCGATTACCGACATACACCCCTCCCCTCCCAAGCGCTAGGCGCATGCCATCGCCAAAACCAACTGAAGCTCCTAAGCCCGCCGTAGAAGATATCATGGACATTGATGACCCGTGGGATCAACAGGCCCAGCAAGATGCAAGGGTTCCTCATGGTCCTGTTTCTGCTGTACAGTTATTTTACGCCCAGAGGAGGCCAATTCCTGCCAATCGCATTGCATCATGGTACGAGGCAGAATTCGAGAGACGAGAGAGGGAAAGACTAGCCCGCGAGCGCGACCTCCGACGTCCCACTAGAGTAATGCCAAAGGGCCAACCTGTACGTCTGATTTCGCCTGACTGGCTTGCCCGACTTCAACGCGCCCTCCAAAGCGGACAAGGACAGGCCGTCGCAAGATCATTAGCCGGAGACGATCTGTACCAGCGGGATATCGTCACATGTATTCGCGCTGAGGCCTGGCTCAATGACGAAATCATCAACGCCTACCTTGGTTTACTTGTTCACTACCTCCGTCAATCGCATGGAAACCTCAAACCTAACGAGCGGCCGCGCTTTCACGCTTTCAACACCTTTTTCTACTCTACACTTCGTGATAAGGGATATGACGGCGTGCGACGGTGGGCAAACCGTGCCAAAATTGGTGGCGTAGGACTGCTTGATGTCGACACTGTCTTCATCCCGGTACATGAGTCAAGTCATTGGACCCTCCTGGTTATTCGACCAGAAGAACGCACAATCGAGTATTTTGACTCCCTTGGATCCCGTGGTCCTCGCCAAGTGAAAAATATCAAGCAATGGCTTCGTGGGGAGCTTGGGGCAAAATATAACGAAGAGGAGTGGACCGTCCTGCCCTCGGTATCTTCTCAGCAAGACAACGGAAGCGACTGTGGTGTCTTCCTCCTAACGAACGCCAAAGCAATTACTGTTGGGGTCGAACCCACCGCCATCGGCCCAAGGCACATCGCACTTCTCCGCAGAAAGATTGTCGCCGAACTCATGAACGGAGGTCTTCACGGCGACTTCAGTCCACAAGACAAAGCAACAGGTGCAGTGTTGCTTTAAACGAACACAAAAAGACGAAGGCTACAGAACCATTCCCTTCCATCTCATGCATTGAATTCGGGACTCTATCCACCTTTCTACATAATCTCACATACCTCATCCATCCCTACCCACAATTATCCATATGAAGCACCATCAAGGCGTTTTCGGTCACATTTTACATCTGATATTTTTTTGGCGCGCAAGGCGAACACACGGAAAGGACAAAAAAAGGACAATGAATTTTTCTTACGGCGCGTTCTTTGTGATGTTTGCAATGAATCTAAATGATACCCCACGGTCACCACCATCATGGTGACTCAGTTGATACAAGCCCTTTCTCGCGGACTGGTTGTATCACATTTCTTTGTTTTCTTGGTTCTTTTTCCTTTGGGGCTGTTTTATCTTACATAGCATCAGCTTTCTCTGCTGCCAAAATGTAGCGTGTATTTCTATTGTGTTAGTGTTCTTCTTCCATCTATACACAATCAATTAGTATCTACATAGTGATCTGTTGACTGTAATATTGCCTCGGGTATAACTTCTAGAAGACCCTTGAGCAACCTTTATACCCTAGCTTAGTTACCCTAAGTAAAATATTACTAGGGAAAGGAGTACCTGTATGATGTCTCTGGGTTAGATACCTAGGTACTACGAATAAAACCATAATTGACTCATAAATCCGCTAAAATTGGCAAATCTGTTGACATGTATTTTTTGATAAAAGATTCATTCTGTACAAAGCAGAACACCTATGCCAGTCAAAGCAAAAGACGAAGCCAAAACTGATAATAATACAGTCTGTCAGAAAAGCCTAGGTTAGAACTGATCGATGTTGCATGGTGTCTGACAAAATTCATTAAGCGGCCTGTTCCTCCACTTCTTTTTTCTGCACTCACGGCCCTGCCTCCCTGGCTTGCACTTTTCGTTTTTACCTGGCTCCGATGAATGTCCATTTCCAAGAGAGCCATTTGCGAGAGGCGTCCCCTGATGGCCGTCATGGTTCTGCGAAGGAGACGTGTAAAAGCCACCGAAGGCATCAGAAGAACGATTGTAGACCAGCTCAATGTATTCAATGCCCATGTATATACTATCGCCAATTTTCATATCACCTGTCCAGAGTCCGCCGTTACTCCAAAGATTAACGACAATCATGCTCGCCAGATTGGGAACTCCGTATGATTTGGCATCCTGTATTTGACCGTCGACATACCACCGTGACATGTTCGAGAGCCAGTCTAGGCGATGCGTAGACCACGTCGTCCATGGGACAGGTACATCTCTAACGGTACTCGCACCGGGGATCTCTTTATCAGCGGCGAAATCGTAATCGGGCTGATTGGCATAGTGCACGCGATGCGACGGGTCCCGTGTCAAAATCTCAATATCCGATTCGCAGGTCTGGTCATGGTAGGTGAAGATGCCAGCACAAGCGCCGTCGGCTGGGCGGTCATCACGTACAGGAATTGTCTTGTTGTTCGATGGCACGGTATAATGTCGCCTTGGATCCCGCGATGGCCATTCTTTAGGCTGGGGAGGTTGCGATACGATGGAGCTAGCTGGCAGCAAACGAAACCGGACACGCAAGGAGCACCGGTAGATGTTGTGCAGACGAGTCTCGATCTCTGCGGTGGAGGTGTAGTCTGAGAAGCGGGTGGTGCGTAGCACAAGATACGTCGCATGGGGGTTGTGTTGCTCATGATCCCGGGTGAGAAAGACGTTGTGCTTTGAATTTATCATGAGGACTGGGGATCTAGCGGTGCCTCGGCGTTCCCAGTTCTGACTACTCCAGTCTATCTCGAAGGAGGTCTTGTAGAATACCAGTGATCTGGGGTCTGGGTCCTTTGACTCGTGGACTGCGGGTGGGTGGTCATTTGGCGGGTCTTGTATATCGCCCCCATCGTCATCATCCCAGTCCTCGTCGCTATAATCTATGGGCTCTGACAGATTGAGATTGGCATGTTTCTTCAAATCCACTGCCCGAAAGTCCCAGAATTTGTAGTGGTGGAAGTATCCCGGGTCAGGCCCGGAGATTGTGTAGCAATCACACCCGCGTGGACGTTTCTTGGTTCGTAGCTGCGGTGGTGTCGTAGCATCTGGTAAACTTGATGCTACCGTGCCGAAATAGATCGCGGCCACTGCCAGGGCCAAAACGTTGATTCTCATGGTGGCAGTAACAGGATTCAAAAAGAATACCCAAAATGGGCCCCGGCGAAGTGAAGCGAACTCGGAAGGTCTTGGGTTGTCTGAACAGGAAGCCACGTTGATCGTTATTTCCTCTTTAGGTCGAGATATCATGTTCAGTAAAGTGTGTGGTCTAGTGGTTTTTAGTAAATACGCCTGCATCTAAGCTTGGTGTTATTTTCCGAGAGGATGACTCTTTGTACAATTGACAGACAATTAGCTGTCCCTAGGTATCATACATTGTCTGATAGATGCGCCAAATTGGCTGACATCTTCTGTTGTCTCTCTTCAAACAGAAATCATTCAAACCGCTGGCCCGCTCTCCGGGACTGGTTCAAAGAGATCTTGCTTCAAGACTTCCAGCACTAGCTTCTCATCGATATTTTGGAGGTTCGCCGAGCCAGTGACAGCTTCGTTTCCAGCGTCATCATCGTCACTCGTGGTAGAAGACTGACCTATCTCCTCTGGTTCAGCGGTCCGAAGGTAGTCTTCCTCCAGTATGAATTTGGAGTTATCTTTGTCTGCAAACAGTGTCTCTGCTGACTCTGGTAGTGCATAAATCGTAGGGAATTCTAAGACAGTCCGATTGCGCAGAACAGTATTTAGCGTCGATGATTGCAAGAGAGGAGTTAAGACAGGCTTTTTGGTTGTTGTTCGAGGACGGTGAAGGTAGAAGTAAAGACCGCGGTGAGGGGCGACGGTCTGATCTGGTGCTTTATCCGTTTGCTCAGTTGAGACTTCTGCTGGTTCCTTTGCAGAGTCTTCGATCTGGGATGGTGGTGGTTGTGTTTCTGCCGCTTCAATCCCTGTCGTGGCAGCATCACTAGCTGCAGCAATAGTCGTATTAGGCGTGTCCAAATCTTCTTTCTTCTCTTCCTTCCCTAGCTCAATGACTGGCTCTTGATCCTTCGGGCGCGGGCAGCATCGGTTATAGGCTTCGGCGACAGAACATGAATCAATGACAACGACAGAATCACGAATAGTCTTCACCCCATCAGCCGTAATCCACTCTATGGTCCAAGCAAGACGCTTATGCCTATGAAACAACCAAGTCAGTAAAAGGTCTAAACTGAAAGATATGAGAAATTCAACTCACTTGGGATGTAAACGCGACCCATTCTGCTTATTCCTCGACATTCCCTTCGGAGCTCGGAGAACTCTCACACCAGCAGCCTCTGTTCCGCGCAAGAACGCAGCTTCGCCCTTGGCAAGGCCTTGGTTCGGGTGCTTCCTCTTACGGCCAGTAGTCTCATTATCATCGGCCTGGGGACCGCCCGTAAGATCAATCCCGCGGTTATCGACTTCTCTCTCCGCGCGCTCGAGGGTGCGCTCGATCCCGGTGATGAAATTAAAGTCGCGGTCGAACGCGGATTCGGTGGCTAATTCATGGCGCTTTAGATATGCAGCTGGATCACGCACGCCTGAGCATTGCGACCAAAGTTTGTGGCGACGTGTGCAGGGAAGAGAGCAGGTGCGTGTTGAGCAGCGTGGACAGCGGTATTTAGGAGGATTGACATGGCTGTACGGGCACAGGTTAGATTCCAGGTATTGTAGTATGTAATTTCATGGGCATACCATATTGAGCAGAGATCACTCAGCAAGGGATCTGAGTCTGACATGGTGATTGTTGTGGAGTCGAAAGTTGGAGAGTCGGAGATTTGATGGGAAATTTATTTGTCTTATCGATAACCGCCTGAGGCAGAGGTCTCAAACTACATATACAAGTCACATTTTCGCTATTTTCTCCAGGAAGCTCTAGAGATAGATCTTGGATGAGCTATCAGCAGATTAATTCATCTGCCAATGACCTAATTTTTCATCGAATGTGATCTTTTGCGGGGATACACCAGTCCTGTCCTCTGTAGATGATATCATCTGCGGATAGGATGATCAATCCCCGATCAATCACCGCTGCATTTCTAAGCTTCGGGGATATCTTCCGCCGACGGCCGTTATTTAGTTGTTTAGATTCCTTCATTCCAGCCGACTTTCAAAAAGAATATTATACTTACTAGATCAAATATGGCTTCCAAAGCACTCGCGATCATTGCTGGCGTTGGCCCTGGCACGGTATAGTTCACATTCCCCTCAGGCCCTATATATATACATGATTAGCTGATCAAAGAGACAGGGCGCTTCAATTGCAAGGAAATTTTCAAGGACCTACTCGGTGGTAGTTCTGGCACGAAACCCAGATAGCTATAACCCAGTCGTTCAAGAAATCAATTCCAGCGGCGGCCAAGCTATCGGCATCAGCACCGATGTCTCAGACTCGAAGAGCGTCAATGCCGCATTTGACAAGGTTCAAGCACAGTACCCTTCCTCGAAGGTAGCTGCTGCTGTTTTCAATTCAGGTGGCGGCTTGGTCATCAAGTCATTTCTCGAGCTCACGGAAGAAGATTACTCGACTGCACTCGGCTCACAGGCGTACGTATCTACTATCTCTTGTTCTCACATCTACTTCGTCCCAAGCTCGACATAGTCCACATTATTATTAGGGATTCCACTGAATTGTTGACTTCCATACCAGACACGGTGCCTTCAACTTTGCCAAGCGGGCTATTCCGCTGCTCCTACAAGCTCGCGAATCGTCGAACTACCCGCCCACACTAATCTTCACAGGAGCTACTGCTAGTATTAAAGGCTCGGCTAAGTTTGCTGCCTTTGCTTCCAGCAAGTTTGCACTGCGTGCGTTGGCGCAGTCACTTGCTCGTGAGTTTGGGCCGCAGGGCGTACATGTATCGCATACTATTCTTGACGGTGTCATTGATATCCCTCGTACCAAAGCCTGGGTATTTGAGCATGAAGATGCGAAATTAAGCCCCGATGCTGTAAGTGCCTTCACTGGTTGCTTTATCTCGGACACTCACTGGTCATAGATTGCGGACTCATACTGGTATTTGCATACTCAGCCACGCACGACATTTGCGTTTGAATTGGACCTGCGACCTTATATTGAGAAGTGGTAGAGGTACTTTGGGGGGCGCCTCTTAGTTTTTATGAGGCATTGAACTATCAGCAAACCAGAAGAGTAGGATCTGTATGGAGTAGAACGAATATAGTAAGAATGAATTGTGGTCACATGTGCATTTGCTAGGATTGTGTCTTATCAAATGACTGGAATCCAAATTGGACCTCGGGATTGAGCTCGAAATTGGATATATCCTGCCTAACTTCAAGTATACAATGTAGTAGAGTACTGGACCTCGGAGGTAACCGTGGAAGGTTCCAAGGTTGGTCCCGATTTTATGCAGCTGAGTCAGCTCATAACGTCACCATCTGGGGTTCCAGAAAACAGCCAAGCTCCCGGAGCTCTCACCTCTTGTCACCCCATCTTTCCACAACACCATACTCACCATGAGCTCCGACGATGCCTCGCCACAGGCAGGCCAGACATATAACGACAATTCCCCATCTACCCCTATGCACAACCCAGCGATCGGAAAATATAACCACCTCAAACTCCGACAAGAGACAATTGTGCAACCTGATCTTTTCACATTGTATTTCGGATTTTTCGGCACAACAGTCTGGAAGCAAAGGGTCGTGCAAACATTGACCGAGCGAGTGGAGAACCACTACGTGCTGACAGAACGATCTCCGACCCAAGATGAATTTGACGCAATGGTTGAGCACGGAACGCGATGTCTGTACCACGGCCGAATGGGTTTACCCATAAGTTCATTCCTCGGAACTGCATTGCTCTACTCCCAAGCACGCAAATCGCCACTCTTCCCGCGCAACCCCACCCCAGCCTCACTACTCAACGCGATACGGAACATGTCCAGCGATCCAGGCTTCAAGGGCACCCTGGGGACAGCGGCATTCAAAATGCTCTTCATCATGACCCTCGGTAGCATGATATCAAGTGGTTATGCCGTTTCCCAGGATGCCATGCACATGTTGACGGACCCGCGAATGAAGCGGTTTGTCGAGGACGTGCGCAAGGCGAAACCAGAGGAGGTGCGTAAGCGCAAGATCGAGGCTGCTACTGAGCGTCTACGCAGCAGGCGTAGGGGTGAGCAGGATGTCGGCTCGCAGGTTATGGGCACGCCTGGATATGCAGGCGATTACGGACAGGAGCAGACATACGAATCGACGGCACAGCCGAATTCTTACTCTGAATATGTGAGCTCCGATAATAACCAGGGAAGCTCTCAGTCTATTTCGGATGATTCGTCTACACCGGGATTGAATGCTGGTGCAATCTGGGCTCGCGGTAGAGGTACTCAACCAGAGTCGAAATCGGCTTTGGATATCATGGATGAGGACGATGCTAGCCCTACAGCTGTGGAATATCGGGATACAAACATTGATGGGTCATCTAGTGGCAGTGCTTGGGACCGGATCAGGCGACAGAATGCTGGAGGACGCTTCCAGTCTCGACAGCAGCCTGGCGCACAACCTTCAATGAATCCTTACTCTGCTGGGTTTGGTCAGAGTGATCAAGAAAAGTATGACTCCAACCAGAAGACTGAGAGGGATCAAGCACAGGCAGAATTTGATCGGATGATCGAGGCCGAGAGGAACACTGGTAGTGAAGGATCACCTCGAAACCGAGGTTGGTGATGAAGATCTCTCGGCCATTGTATACTACCTATCTTCCCCTTTGCATGTATAACTACGATCATCTTCGGCCTTTGGACATCTACTTCCATATCAATGTATCTCCAAATAGAAACAACTGATACCATCAATATTAAGCCTTTGCAGGCATATATGTTTAGCTATGGTGACCCTGATCAAGAGAGTATGAACCAATGGAAAAGAGATTTTTAAAGACATCGCTGTCTACAATCTTGAAAAGGAAAATCTGAGATCGGAGACTAGGAAATCGTGCATTCAATCAACCGTAGCATTACAGCTGAATGACAGGATATGGTATTTGGATATAACTGGGGGCATATAACTGGGGGAATAAGCAGAACGAGAGGGTATGAGCCCTTAAACAGGGGGTAATATCAAACCGAAGTCAATGGGCAGTGAAAACATGAAGCGTGACGCGTTGAAAATCCAGGACATTGCAATTTCATAAAAAAAAAAAATTCAAAAAGGGAGCTCATGATGCAAAGAGAGGAGAGAAGAATAAAAAAAAACAAACGAAATATAAAAAAAAGGGACACTCGTTCGACTAGTCAAGCCCTAACGGGTCTAAACATAGTTCGAACCCGGCGCCACATAACTTTGACTCGGCAGAATATAATTCGAGTTCGAGTCATACTGAGCCTCAGTCTCGTGAGCCTGCGTCCACGGCTCAACACTGCGACTGTTGTTGCGCATACGAGTCAAGCTGCGCAGCTTGTTCGTGAAACTCTCATTTGAGCTGCGGTTTCGACGATGGTCAAAGGACATCCGACTAGCCGACTGGCGGGGATCCACCGCGTTACTGTTTCCATTGAGGGCCGGGGCGGCCGTCATAGCGCGAGGGAGAATACGGCCGAGGTCTTCATTGTTGTCGATTGCGATGTCGATTGTTGCAGACGACTCGCGGGGCGAGACGGGCGCTGCGGATGGTGGGAACGGGGGTGGTGGGGGTGGGGTGTTAAGATGCTGCAGTTCTGGGAGAATGGGTGGGGGTGGTGGTGGGGGGATTGTCTCGTAGTGTGCTGAGGATTCTCCCTGCATGGCATGCTCGATTGTCTCTTCGATGCTCACTTGTACGTGAGGGGAGGTGCCGGAGACGTAGCCACCTGAGCTGGTTCGATTATGGTCCTTGGCACGGCTGCGGCTGCTGGACCTGCTCCGAGGGAGGGCTGGGTTAAAGCGGGGGTGCATTGGGAGGTCGTTTGGCATTGAAGGGGCGCTGTACTGTGATTCTGGCACGGGGACGGACATCGATCGTCCGATCCTCTCGGCGGCATCTCCTTGATACCGGGCATTGCTGAGGAAGAAACTGTTATCTGTCGGGATGATGGGCACAGAGGGAGGTCGTTCTTCGTCTTGTCCGGTTCCTCCATACTTGGGATGCCGCATTGCTCGGGGAGTTGCTGGAAGTCCACCGGGCATTCCAGAGCGGGAAGAGTTCGAGTCAGAACTGCTGGGATAGTCGGTAGATATCTTGCTTTGGGTCGCCTTGTTTCGCGAGGGAGCTCGCTGGAAGTATGAGCTTGTACCAGAGAAAGGCGGGGAGCTCTCAATGGGACTTCTTGCGCTTTGTAGCTCGCCGGGGAAGGGAATGTTTGGAGCTGATGGGTTGCGAGCAAGTGATAATCTTCGTGCTTCCAATTCAGCGGCGGCGATCTCTCTTCTCTTTTTCTCCGCCAGGGTGACAAATGGTGTCCTTGGGGGTGCAGTGTCTTGGGGTTCATTGGCTGCCGAGCTTGGTTGGCCATTAGAATGCGCATTAGATGTGTTTTCTTGGCCAAAGACCATGCTGCTCAACTGCTCCAGCGCTGATGCCTGCTGCGCCCAGGGGTCTGATGTAGGCCCTGGCTGGAGGGTAGAAAGACTCTGCGAGGTTTTGTGTCTGGTTTCTGAAGAGCCGTCTGTTTTGGAAGTTGATCCTTTTTCGGCGCGACGTCGACTGGCGCTTCGGTGTCGAGATCGCAGTCGCTTTTGGTTACCCTCGACAAGTCTCAAAGGATTATCGACATCATGAGAGGCCCCTTCTGTGGGATATGCCATAGGAAGAGGCGATGATGGCGATCGAACGCTAGATCCTTGTCGATCGCTGCTGCGGCCTCGATTCGAAGCGTCTCGTTTGTCTGTGCCGATGCGGTTTGCAGTGTGCCGGCTTGAAGAGCGCTGACGGTTCCGAGAAGCTGACCCTCTCGCCTTGCTAGAACTTCTAGTGCGAGACTTCGACTTCCGGGTTTCAGACTCTCCGGTGTGGTATCGAGCCAACTCTTCAGGAGACATAGGCACTGGCGAGGAAGGAGAGCGCTTGGCCGGCTGGATGTATCGACGCTCACTCATACCGCGGGTATCTCGAGAGGTATCGCGCCTTGAGCTCTGGCTGGCTGTATCGTCTGGGTTTCGTCTTCCACGGCCCGGAGTATGCGGACGGAGCTTCCGCGCATGGTAGTTGGCTTCGTCAAGACTACTGATGTATTGATCGATACTACGACCACTGACACTTGGGCTCCTAGCTGAAGCGTAGGAATGCACCGTCGAAGCGGTGCTCTTGGCGCTGGGAATCAAATCGGAGCGGTCCTTTGGGTTCCTTTCACCTTCCAAGGTCTCAATTTGTAGCCCGTCCGGTTTTCTATCTCGGGATCCATTACGATGGTCATCATTTGTGAGGGCCTCGAATACACCGGCGGCTGGTGAGGGAAGACCCTTGATTGCGGCAAACTTGTCTTTCCCTTGCACAGCAGTCTGGGGACTGGGCTTGAGAGAGTCTGAGTCCGGGTTGTATTTAGCAGCTGACAAAGTGAGGAAGCCACTGTTGCTCTCTTTCTCATCTTGGCTCTGTTCCCGTTCGTTTTCGGAGGTGGAACTATACTCATTCTGGCTGTAGGAATTTGACCTTGAAGAAAAGCTTGGAGGGTGGACATCCACTGGGGTCTCTCCGATCGAGGGTAGACGACGGCGATTGAAAGCAGGAGTATTTGTTCGGGACATTGCATGGTTCAGGCTTTGGATATTGTTGAGTTTATAAGAGCCAAATCCACCAGGAGACATTGCAGAATCGGGAACAGCGGATTCAGCAATCGGAGTGATTCCTGGTGCATTTGTTGGTGTGCGGTCATCGGACTTCAAGCCAGGGAAGCGGAAACGGCCTGGCTGTCCGTCAAAGGAAGTAATGAGCTTCAGGGCGGGCGTTTTCACTGCAGGCTTCGAGTTAGATGCGGACCTTGGGCGGACTGGTGGCGGCATCATATTGGCTTGCGAAGGTTCGGGCGAGTTGAGAGGAGACGCGCGAACCATCTCTGCGAAAGATGAGGTTTGTTGGACAGATGGAGATGACCATGGCTCTGATGGTTCCGCTCCTGTGCACATGAAGCAGCGAATGGCGAGTTGCTGCTGTGAGTGAGTCACAACATGTTCTCCCCATCGGCGAACGAGATATGACTGGCGCTGCCAGTCTGACGGGAACAGGAGACAGGTCATGAGAATAGCTTCCATGAAGTGATTGCGAGAAACATAAACTTCGATGGCATCGTTTTTGTCTCCCAGACCAAGCAAGATCGCAGCCGAGGTGTGTATATCCCCGATCTCAAGCAATTTCTGTACAAATGCCTGTCCGACCTTGTTTGCCTGCCCTTGGCCGCTCATCTGACTCAAAGCAAGAATCATCCAGTCGGAGATTGTTGCCTGTCCAGAGCTGATCATTGCGGCCATTTCATCTGTGTCGTTCCCACCAAGCCACTGCGTTAAGAGAATAGCGCTTTGGCTACCCATCGCGTGGCGGCTCACTAAGAATTGTCAAAATATGTCTCCAAGATAGAAGATACACGGTAATACATACACTCATCTGTAATCAGATCTTGGATGTCTCCATCCCAGCCAAAGACCACGCTCAACATCTGCAGCCGGAGATCATCCGAAGTGAGATTTGTCTCATCGATAGGCGGTTGCTGTTTATAAGGAACATCAATCAATCGAGCCCGAGTGAACGGGAATAGATCAACGATGCTCTTGTCAGCAGGGCTGAGATGAACCTCGTTCCGCAATCGTGATGCCGCCCTCGAGCTTCTCACAGATGACATTGAGACCGAGGAGGGATACGCAAATGAAGCCGAAGCCTGTGGTGTATCACGACCACCTGATGTCATCGAAAATGTTGTAGCACTCTGTCCAGAGCGACTTGGTGGAGAGAAAGGTCTCATATTATACTTCCCAGAGGAAGCCTTTGAGCTCACCGATTCTGTCCGACTACGCGATGAAGCAGGACTCGTCAGATCTGCCCTCTGTCTGAGATTCTCAATGCTGTTTGCGTCAAATGGCGTTGTTCTTCTGGATCCGCCTGGTGGTTCTCGGATATCAGGAGCATCCTGCAATCGCCGTGGGGACATTGTCTTTGCTCGGCTACCTTCCGCTGTTCCAGGCCGTGGGATAACTGGAAGATGCTGCACATTTGCAACCATTGCCGGATTTTCCAAATCATACTGCTGAACTGAGTGCTGGGGGCCGATGGTGAATAGAGTCGCCGTAGGACCATAGTTTGCAATGCCTCGCACACCGTCGATTGTCGGAATTGGATCGTAGGTAACATGCTTTGTTCGAACATCCCATGACCATGTTTCCCTATGATTAGATGTCAGTAAATTTCCAGTTATTCTCTCAGGGCGTTACGCACCCTTCCAAATATTGCACAAGTCTTCCATTCTTTGACCATCCCATCCATTTAGGATCAGATGAGTTTGAATCGGATCGTTTCAATACTCTGATCACTCGAGGTGACTCTTTCCCTGGTGGTTTTGCCACGCTCCAAACTCGCAAATCGCCATTCGATGACTGCGTGGCCAGCATGTCTGACTTCTGTTTCGATGAGGATGCATGCCAAGCCAAGGAAATAATTGGCGATGGTCCACGTGAAGTAGTCAGAGTATGAAGAATGGTAAATTGAGGAAGTAAAGTCACGATCAATATAGACCCATTTTGATATCTAAAATATGTTAGCTTTAAAAGGTTACTTCCACTCTCATGTTCATCTTACATACCCAATTGCATAGGTACGACAATCCATGGCGGGCGCCAGAGCTGTGATTGGGTCGAAAATGGTGCGCGCAGAGATGTGCTCTGAAGTGGGAGGTTCGAATAGGATCACCTCGCCCTTGCCATTGCCTATGATTCCAAGTCAGCAACTCCAACATCAAACGTGAAATAATGTTCTCACCAAATGCAACATTGCCATTACGCATCCACGAAGCTATTCGCAGATGATCGAAGGAAGCAAACCGGGCAATCTCCGTTCCAGTGAAGAGATCCCAGACAATTGCCGTTTGCCCTACATCATAACTGACGACTAATCTTCCCGCACCCCGCTCGCTGACATTATCGACTGATATAAATTCGATGTTTTCCTGGTGGCTCTGGAAACGTCGCTCAATTGCCAATGTATCATGATGTAGACATAGGATTGTTGAACCCTGGGCATAGAGGAATAAGGACGCCGTCGAAGCGCAGGCCTCGAAGCGAGGCTGGACAGCCGGTGGTGCAGGTGCCATTGCTTTGACGGTCCTCGAAGGTCGCGATTCTGTCCCCAAGCTATTCCATGTCAACTCAACCATTATATCCCGGATGAAGCATATGAGCGGGGAAATTGATTTACAAGACAAAAGTCCCAGAAGGATAGGGAGAATTAAACCCTAAAGAAGATTGGGCCACTGACCTCTGTTTAAGCCAGGTAGATTTCTAATCGGCCCTCCAGGGCTGGGTACCAAGGTGAATAGACGGGAAGTTCTAGGTTATCTCGAGGCACATTTGGGGAGGGGAGAATAAGCGCCCAAGGAATCGGGGGAAATAGGCTAGAAGATCCCATATAAATGAAAAGGGTGAGATGCAAGATATGTAGGAAATATGCGAGAAGGCAAGAAAAGAGAAATGCAAGCCGTTAGAACAGGGGAGGGGGAAAAGAATTAAAAAAAAAAAAAAGATAAATAAGAGATATTCAAGTGTGACAATTAAGAGATTGAACTCGCTTGCACGTTCATCACATAGGCTTTTGTGACAGGAAGTAAGACTCAAATATAATATTAAAGCAGGCGCCCGTATCCCGTACAGGAAACAAACATTTCCTAAAAAAGAGGGGGGATTATAGTCAAATGGACTTAGCGCTCGGGGGAATTGGGCGCTTTCATTTCCCTTGGACCATACATCTTATCCCGTTTCAAGAATTACAGAGGAACCGGAGCATGACCCGGGATTAAAAGCACGATATTCACCATATTCAACATATTGTTAGCGGAGACGGTGAGATCGAGCCTTCTTGGTGGCTGGGTTATCATGCGGGACTTACACCAACGAGCATACAGAATTTGAGTAAAAAGTTAACTGAGATGCAGAAGAATCCCTGGCCCTTGCACTTATCTTTAGTGTCCTGCACGTCGATCACTCGGAGGTAATCCAAGTTAGGGCAAGGACTTTTTATATACCCATATATATATATATATATAGTTGAAGTATATAGTAGTTCCCCCCTCAACATAGAACTTGTTATTTTTCTCCAACTGCAAGGAACCGCCCAATTTTCAAATAGCAAATAGAATTAAAAAAGAGAAAGATAAAAAAACAAGTAGTGTGATCCGAGACAGTGTGATTGGGATCCGTGTTGTTCTCAAGCTGCAGCTTCGTCACTTCACTTAGCCAATCACCATCAATCACCGCTGATCCCTCGGCGCCTACACAACTACCCCCCAGCCAATACCTGCACTCATCCTGCCCTTCCATGATAATATCCAATCACTAGAAAATGTCCTAAATTGACTCTATTGGCCTATGGCAGTCTTCATCTGGGGTTGGATCCGGAGAAGGCCGTTGATAAGTTTCATACTTAAACTAGTGTTTCTGATGTCTATAATATGTCGATCTCACTTTCGTTTTTGACTTCCCACGAGGCTTATGTATGGAGTGCGGAGTACTTCAAATTAGTCCTTTTTCCTGTGATGTGATAGCAAATGCAAAGATATGCAGTGATCCCTGCACAAAAAGGCACCGAATGTCCTGGAGCTTGGGCCTCTGTGATAGTATCGGCACGACAGCAGAGTTTTTAATTGAACTTGAATGAATTTTCAAGTTGCACTGGATGGATTGGATCAATTCCGATCCTTGGAATAATACGAGTCACAAAAGAATCCAAATGTCCCTACTATACATATGGAATACTCCCGTATATATATTCCATGGCCAATGGGAAATTCGAAATGCAAAATACATATGTTGTATTCGAATTCAGATAATATGTTATATTCTACTTCGTCTATTGCCAATTTCAGAGATATATAGAACAGTTTATATATAACCTAAGAATACTAGGTATATATCTCGTGTTTTACAGCTCAGACCAAGTCCAGGGCTGTTATCGTATGATCGCGGGGTCTTATCGTCCAAGGGTCTTCCCCGGACCCCAAGTGCTTTGACTCACAGTTTCCCCCAACACATTGCATAGTTGGAGCTTCAAGTTTACCAATTGCTATAAAGTCTTTGTTAATCCATTGTGACAACCCTACAACCACCCAACATGTCAAAGGAGACAATTGTAGTGATCGGGTTAGTCCAACACCTATAATAACCTCGATTTCGCCCCCAATGGAAAAAAAAAAGAGATCACAAGACACAATCAACTGACAAGATTAGTGCGGGTGTTATTGGCCTTTCCACCGCACTTTGCATCCAACAACATCTCGCTCCCACGCAATCCATTTTGCTGGTAGCTCGCGACTTCCCTTCGGAAACTTCCGTGAACTACGCTTCGCCATGGGCAGGAGCCCACTACCGCCCGGTCCCAGGCTCCTCGCCACAGGCCATCAAAGAGGCGAACCAAGCGCAGCGTACGTATGAGTTTTTGAAGCGGATGGCGGCCGCTGAGCCCGCCGCGGGCATCAAGTTCGTCGAGGGTGTTGAGCACCTCGAGGCTCCGCCGCCCGAGTATCTGGATCACCAGAGCGTGCGCAATGTCTATTCGCACCTGGATGAGTTCCAGACTCTGGGAAAAGAGGATGTCCCGGCCGGTGTTGTGTGGGGTGTGAAGTACGGAACGTATGTGATCAACTCGCCTGTGTACTGTGCACATTTGCTGCGCAAGTTCATTCTCAAGGGTGGCGAAACGAGACGGTATACGCTGGCCAACTTGAAGGAGGCGTTTAGTATGGCGGGGAATGTGAAGACGGTGGTGAACTGCTCAGGAACTGGCTTTGAAGACCCGAAATCGTTCATTATCAGAGGTATGTGTCTACGGTGGGGATGGACGTTTATGATGAACTTGTATTGACATGTTCTCTAGGTCAAACTTGTCTCGTCCGTAACCCTGTCTCGAAGACTATTACTCGACAGAATACCGATGGCTCGTGGTCCTTCTGTATCCCGCGTCCCCTTGAAGGCGGAACTATCATCGGAGGCACGAAGGAGCCGAGTAACTGGGACCCGAACCCGTCTTTGGAAACTAGACAGCGGCTCCTCGCTAATGCAACCAAGTGGTTCCCTTTCACCCCCGAGAGCGGCGGCAAATTCGATGTGATTCGTGACATTGTCGGTCGGCGGCCGGCTCGTGAGGGCGGTCTGCGCATCGAGGCGGAGAAGCTGGCCGATGAACGGTATATCGTTCATGGATATGGTGCGGGTGGTCGCGGGTTCGAGCTGTCTCGTGGTATTGCGGAAGACATTGTCTCCGTGATGCTTGAGAAGAGGCTGCTGCAGGCTAAGGCCTCGCTGTAAAACTATGGGTGGACATTTGCCAAGTGCATGCATTGTATATAGAGCATGTTGTACATTTTTCTAGAGTTGATAGATCTTACTAGACGTGCATTCCAATATAGAGAATAGAAGGTATCAGGTTCATTTGAATGAACGAACTTTTTGCTACCAAAACATAACAATGTGCTATCAAAAGGTATATCGGCCGTTGATTCTTTGTCACATGGGACACAAGACTCATCAAGCCTTTGCGCCCCCGTGGCTAGTCAACCTTGACATGTTCCTCTACGCATGACATCTGTAGTACATACGTATAGAGGTGGGAAAAGGCGACCAACCGAGGCCCTTAGTGATGAGCGAGGTTGCATACAAAGCGAGCAATTTGAGGCAAGCGATTGTAGCGATCACTCGACATCGCGATCCGACCCCACAGCAACACGTAACAAACTTTAAGATTGCGTGTCGCCGGGGGAGGATCCTCAAGGGCCCACGAATCTAATATCGTGAGAGTATGTAGGGACTCAACCCACAGATTCAGGTGTGACACCTTCAGGTATACTTGTGGGTATCTCTGTGGGTAGAATTCCACCACCGAGCTTGAGGAGGCGTTCCTCTTCCTTCTTTTCACGTAGCCTCTCAGTCTCTCTCCGCATGACTGACAAGTTCCAGGTTCCATTCTCATCCTCGCCCTCCTCGGGCTCACTGTCCTCCTCGGCCCAGTTGCCGCTCTCGAAGAGCGTACGACCAGTAGCCTCCTTAGCCTGCTGTGCTTGGGCCTCGGCGGCCTTCTTGTCCATACGCTCCTTCTTCCACTTGGCGAAGGTCTCCTCGTTGACCGGTGTCAGAGTACCAGTCAGCTTGTGACGCTCGGAATCCAGCCAGTCCTCTAGGGTGAGAGTGTTCAAGGGGGATTTGTCCTTGAGTGCCTTCTCGGCGGCTCTCTGCTCACGGGTCTTCAGGATGAATCTACTCACGCTATTAGTATTGTGTACCAGAACATGTAAGTGCCGGAAAGACATACCCTGGTGGCAAGCTGTGCTTGTACATGCACTTGTCTCCTCCATTCGGACAAGTCCAGAACCAACCGTACTTCTGGTTCTCCACTGCTTCGATGAAGAATTTGCACACCTTGTCGGTGGTTGTGCGCGGGTTGCCGTGTTTGCTCATGACAACGCTGCGAAGCTTCTCCTCGTCCCATTCATCCATGGTATCCTTTTGCTTCTTCTCTTCCTCTGCGGCCTTCTCATCACGGGTGTCGGTGTACAAATCCTTCTTGGCTGCCTTGCGCTCGACATTGGGGTCGTGTGAGAATTTACACTTGCGGCCCTTCTCGCAGTGGCCCTGTTTGAAGAAAATACAAAGGACAGTCTTCGGATCAACACCGAAGGCAACCTTCTGAACTTGCACAGGCTTGAATAGCTCAAGGTTTTCTCGCCTGGCCCGCTCAGCAGCTGCCTTCTCGGCCTCACGCTTCTCTTTCTCGGCGGCCTTTCTCTTCTCGTCTAGGTTCTTGTTGCTTGCGGCTTGTGCTTGCAACTGTTGGATCTGCTTCTTGGCGGCACCACCTTTTTTCTACATTAAACGTTAGGACATGTTGGGGTATGTCACGAGTGTCACGAGTGTCACGAGCGAGACTTCAAATTGAGATGACGTACATTTTTCATACCAAAGGACTTATCTTCAACGGTGGCCTTCTTCTTCTTAGGCTGATCGGCCTTCTTGGGAGGCATGGCGGCGGTTGGGACGTGACGTCGCGGATTCGGGGAAGAGTAAAAATGTGAAAATGCGCCTGTCTAGGGTGCGCTTCAGTTGATGACAAGGAGATAAAGGAAAAGACGCTGATGCGATCTGAAAGAACGACAGGGAGATCTAAAAAAAGAAGATATCGAGATGTGGCAGAAATGCCTGGGTCGGTGAAATGTCGAAAACGAGGGGTGTGAGTGTGACGGCAATTTTTGGTTAACCAATGACGGTGCGGGTCTTCTACTCCAGTGCGAGGACTCGATAATATATGAAAGGGCTGGATTTATTTATATGATTGTCTTCATAGTGATTATATCTTTTATTAGAGATTCACTATTTTCTCAAATCCTATATTATTAGCGTACAATGTCGAGTTTTGATGTCTTCAAAAGTGACATGCGTCATATGCCCAATATTTGCCCTCGACACCCACAATACGGCCTCAGGCAAATATCACAACATGAAAATTGAGGTATATTAATATTGAAACAGTTCTAATATTGAAACAGCTATGTACAGTTTTACGTTTCGAACTTATTTCCAAGGGTATCCTTCAATGCTGTATATGATTTTCACTTTCCATCAAATGCCTTAAGACAACAATGCACATGCCACCCCAGACAGTGATCGCCCAGCAAGGTAACCATTCAGGCACCTCTAAACAACTTCCATCTACAATATACAATTGTGTCGAGGACTCTAAACTACTAATTATACAACTCTACGTGAAACTACAGTGACCACTCATCACGCTTCATCAATCATTGGGATGTTTTCAATGAAATAGACCTACTATGTATAAAGGTTGGCCGTGGATCAAAGCTGCCTGATCAGAATAGCCTTGCAGTCAATGGACGGGAAAACCCAAGCAGATCCATAATTCAAACCATCATCCCGTAGGCGTTCTTAAAGCACCCTTATTTTTCGTTTCTGGTCGTCATAGATTTCGCAGAAAGCAGGCATCTCACATTTACGAGACCTCCTGGATCTTGGCGGACTTCTTACCGTCAGCCTCCTCGAGCTCGGGGAGGTCCTCCTGCATAGCTGTGTTAGTAGATAATCACATATCACTTATAGGCGAGCAAACTTACATCATCTTCCTCGGCAGCCTCACCACCGGGGGCACCGCCCATACCAGGCATACCACCCATATTAGCCAGAGCGCTAAGATCGGGCATGCCACCAGGCATACCACCCATACCTTCCATGCCGGGCATACCGCCAAGCTTGGAGAAGTCGATGTTGCCTAGGCCACCTGCACCGGCGTTAGGGTCACCACCCTCACCACCGAAACCACCGAAGTTGTTAGCGTAGTCATCCTCGCCAGCCTCATCCTGCTCATCCTCATCAACCCACTACATTTCATTAGTCAATATTCATCATCAATTAGAACGAATGACCAATCATACCTTGTCGAAGTTGGTCTTCAAGAAGTGCATCTTCTGCTTGCTCTCGAGAAGGCGGGGCCAGAACTCCTCCTTGAGCTCCTTCTTGCGGAGAACGAGCTCGACGTCGCGGTCGGTGTGGTTGACTTTGCTGTTCTCGGGGTCGATCTCGGCAAAGAGGTCCAGGGAGACACTGTATGTTACGCCCTTTCTGGAGGTGCCCTTGAAAGTAACATTCTTCTCGGTGATGCTGAGGGTAGCATCGGCCTTGGGAACTTCGGCAGCCTTGATGTTCACGTAAAGGTAGTTGCGCTCAGGATCCGAATCGGATGAACGCTGAGCCCACGTAACTGGAAAGAGATAGAATATCAGCGCTTTGAGCTCACTTGGAAATGAAATTGTATAATTGGCATAGTTGACGTTTCAAAACAGCCTTAAACATTGGATAACGTCATAGTAAATTTCATGCAAAATGTGCAGTCCCGCGTTCGAGAGCGGGGAAGTAGCTAGAGTAGTCACAACGTACCTTCGGGAGTCAAGGTTTGAGACATATTGAATTAGGAGTGGAAAGATAACTGAAAGAATTGAGGAAAGGGAGAAGATAGAAGAGGTGGTCAAGGAGAGGAGAAGAAGTGTAGGAGAAGCTTCATTCACGACCTACCTAAGTGCTATGTTGTAGAAACTGGTAGAAGCGTGCCTCAGGCATGACATGTGTCCACAGGTGGGACATCGTATTACGTCAAAGCTGACTCAGTTTCCGTTCCCGGCGCGGCTGGACAAGAGTGGCACTCTAAGGTACCTAGGGAGTCTTGAATATTGACAGTCGCATCAGTGTGTACTGATCTGAAGTCTGAGACGAAGACCTGACGACCCTGACGTTTGAAAAAACAAAGCCCTATACCCCGAGATTTTTAAAACCACACCAACCTAGGCAACGACTTAGCTTTCCCCCGCCGTATCTCTAAGACGATGCAACGGACATGAGCCTTAGTCGCTGATCAAACCTCATCCCAAGACTGGACTCTTCTGTTTGAACACTCCTAGCGCCTGCTATTTTTGTGCGCTAGTCTTTTTTATCGCCGCTTTCCATCTTTATTGCCGCAAGATTGCATCCATGGAGAGTCTCAAGGCGGTATTCTTTGGGCCAGACCCACAAGCCCAGGTAGGCAGTTGGCGTGGCTCGTTGATACCTAGGAATATGACACTGATGAATAAAAATGTATAAGATGCGAAAATGCAATGCTTTAATACGCACGAACACGCGGCAACTCGACCGCGATCTAGCCCGGTTAAAAGCCAGTGACAGCCTAACTCGCCAGCACATCGTTAATGCCTCTAAACGGGCCCAGCGAAACCCATCACAGGCCAAGCAGGCTATCAATGACACCAAAGTCTTTGCGAGGGAGCTCGTGCGCATTCGAAAACAGACGACACGGTTAAATACCAGTCGAGCGCAACTACAAAGTGTGGGAATGCAGGTCAATGAAGCTTTCTCAGCGCGCAAAATCCAGGGCAGTCTTCAAAAGTCCACTGGGATTATGAAGGACGTGAACACACTGGTCCGACTGCCACAACTATCTGCGACCATGCAACAACTGTCTTCAGAATTGGTCAGGGCAGGCATTATCGAAGAGATGGTCGATGATGCAACCATGGACCCTTCAGTCTTTGAAGATGAGGAAGATGAAGCGGAATCAGAGATTGAGAAGATCTTACAAGAAGTCTTGCAAGGCAAACTCGCCCAGGCACAGCCCGTCACGGCGCCGCCTGTGGCCAAAATCTCAGAGCCGGAATCTCCACAAGCTGAGGAGGAATTCGAAGACCAAGAAGCAACCCTTGCGCAGATGCGTGGCCGGCTGGAAGCTCTCAAGAGCTAGTACATCTTGCAAACTCAGAGCGTTGTCTTGTCTATTTTTTATTAAGTCGTTTACACTCCAAGACTGCTGCGTTTGGAGATTCGTGTCATTCCATCTATTCTACAAGGCTGGGCCTGCACATAGTGAATTCTTTGCAAAATAATATGTAGTCTCATGTCCGTTTGACAATGAGACAATAAGTCAATTTAGACAAAGGAGAGTCAAAGAATTGCCTCTCTTGGGGCTCAATCTTATCCAATCAAGTTGGTGTTTCTGTCGGGCCGCCAAAAAGGGTTTAGTGTGGAATAGGCAACGCCTGCTTGCCCCCTCTCCTCACGATCTCATATCCTGCCTCCTTTGAAGACTCATCCTATCTGCTCAAACTTCATCCTTTTCTGAGAATTACCGTCATCTCGATTTCTCCTTAAACGCGACTTAAAATCTTAGGCCGCCTATTATTCACACGTTCCGACTTTTCTGAACTTGCAAATCGCCTGCTTTGCTATTCTATCTCCGCCATCATCATGTCTGCCAACCTTGATAAGTCGCTTGATGATCTCGTCGGCAGCCGTCGTCAGACCGCTCGCAACTCTCGTCGCCGCGGCGGTGCCCGCCGTGCCGCGACTAAGCCTTCCGCCGTTGGTGGTGTGAAGAAGTCGACCAAGGCTGCCCCCAAGCCTGCCGCTCACCCAGCTCCTGTCGCCCAGACTGGTTCCAGCAAGATTCTTGTCAGCGGATTGGTAAGCTCTTGCTCTTCTGATGTTTCCACTTGTACGTGTGCTAATCCTGTCAGCCTTCCGATGTGTCTGAGGCCAATGTCAAGGTATGTTGATCTAAAGGCTCTCATATTGGCTCCCATCGCCATCTCTTTTCTCGAGAATGTCGCGGCGCAAACGATTTCGACCGCCCTTTTTGGACCTCTCTCTCCTCCCGCATCGATGGATATTCCTCGATGCACGGCACACAGTGTGCTCCTTCTACATGTCTCTGGAAATATATACACATTGCTGGCGCTCTGCGAGACAAGAAGTTGAGCTGTACTGTAGTACGGTGAAAAGACGTACATGGCTCGTGTCGATTCCCACATGGAAATCCGCCCGCCTTGTTCTCTGAGTACTGTGCCGAGGATGATTGGTGAAAATCAATCATCCTGACCTCTCTTCATGGGCATCTCCTTCATGTTTTCTACTTGGATATCCATATGGGCATCAGCGAGCGCATCAGTGGAACAGTGGTCAACTGGTTCAAGGTTCAGAGGGCAGACTGAAACCTACCTATTCGAGACTCCTGTCTCAAATATCTCTCCGTGAAGAGTCTCGCTGTTATGGGGTGATTACCTATTCTGGTGACTTAGAGAGGTTCAAACTGTGTCTACCATGGCACTACTTTTTGGGATGGCGTGTCCATGGGCAAATGGATTTCAGTTGACAATCTGCCTTGATGGCGGTGACGTGAAAACTGCTTCTGTTGAAGGACTGGTTGTGATCGCTTGATGGATTTACGGATGAAGTTGAAAATCCATACTACTATGGATACTTGTTGGCATGTGACGTTCCATTGCGTGGGACGACCTTGCGATTTGTCGGATGGGGTTGTGATTATGGAGCTACATGTTCCATTTTCAAATGTTGGATGAAACGGACGATCAATTGATACTTGTGCTCGCTGATGCCCTCTCATTTTTGGCTCTCATCGTTTGCGCCGCCACCTTTCGCCACTCGGGAATCGCGCTCTCACCAAAACTGTGTCGAGAACATACTGATCGTCTTTGTTCACGCTATAGGAATACTTCAACAAGTCCGCTGGCCCCGTCAGGCGGGTCATGCTCACCTACAACCAGAATGGCACTAGCCGTGGCATCGCCTCCATCCAATTCAACAGGGCAGACACCGCTGCCAAGGCTACCAAGGAACTCAACGGACTCCTCGTCGATGGTCGCCCTATGAAGGTAAATCCTTCGACTCTAGCTAACCCCAGCTGCAACATTGGCTAACTCATATAATAGATCGAAGTTGTCTATGATGCCTCTCACGTTCCTGCTGCCCCTGCTTCTAAGCCTCTCACTGAGCGCATTGCGTAAGTTGATGTCCGTTCTAGCAAAGTCTGCGTTCATATGCTTATTCATTCACAGTCACAAGGCTCGACCCAAGTCCGCCGCTACTCCCAAGGCTAAGGAAACTAAGGCCTCCGCTACTGAGAAGGGAACCCGCCGCGGTAAGGGCGGCGCTCGTTCTCGTGGCCGCGTTACCGGCCGTGGAAAGCCCAAGACTATTGAGGAGCTTGATGCTGAGATGGTCGACTACTTCTCCGCCGATGCGCCCCCTGCTGAAGGCACTGCTCCCGCCAACGGCACTGTCCCCCAGGCCAGCGCCAACCAGGACATCGGCATGGCCGACGAGATCTCCTAAGCGTTCAATTCTTGCTTTCGTTTTTCTCTCATGACGGCTCCTACAACATACCAGTTTCGCAAATATTCTCGGGAGTTCTTTATGGTTGATGCGCGGGTCTTATCTCCTTCGATGCTCCTTACCTTTTCTTCGACTTCTTTCTTTTCGCTAGCTGTGTTTCTCTACTTTTTTTTTGTTCTTGTTTGCTAGTACCAACAGGCTTAATTCTTTCATGTCTTTTGCAGAAGTCGGTGGAGGAAAGCATGTATCTACACTCACGAAGGAACATTACCGATAATTGATTTTCGAACTATCCAATCCCTTCAAAGTTCCAAACCCTCCCGACTCCCTGCTAAAAGAACATGCTATCTCAAACGCCAAACCCCGACCCTTATATCCAGCCAAACAAGAAACACAGCCTTATCAAATATCTACACAAATCACCCCGCTTCTAAAACACACCAGCTCTGGTCATGACATCATGAAACTGCTCCAAAGTAACACCAGCACTCAACCCAGCGCCCCCATTCCCCTCAAGAATCATATCCTTGAGTAAGTCATCACCCACACTATCCTCCTTCAAGTCGCGCGCAATGCGCCGCAAATGCGACAGTGTAATGGGCCCATCCGTGCCGCGCGTAAATAGCTGGTACGCATCATCCACCTCAGCAGCCATGGCGTCATCATCGCGCGAGCGCAGCTTAGCTGCTGCTATCGAGACGAAGGGATTGTAGGGCACGTATCCGCTGAGAGTTGGATCGAGCGCGGACAGGATTTCTGCGAGTTCGGTTGAATCGGTGGGTGGAAGGCCGAGAGCGCTGTTGAAGGGAGAGTTGTTAGTTTAGTTGCAGCTTGGGAGTAGGGCGTTGAGGCGGGGGTTGTAGGTAGTGTCGATGTGAATGGTTGTAGAGAGAGGTGGGAAGCTTACACCAGTGCTTTGCGCACATCTTCGCGGGGAATGACCCCTTCCTTCTCGTCTGGGAAGTCTGCGTTCTTGTCGGAGAATAGTTGGAACACTTCTTTGATTTCGTTCTCTTCTTCGGCGGTGATGTTGTTCTCCTTCGCGAGCTTTGATGCGCGTCCGCGTTTTGGTGGTGCGGAGGAGCTAGCTGCGCCTCCGCGCTTTTTGGGAGGCTTTGAGGGTGTCAGCTTCGGTTGGGTATTGGAGATGTCTGGGATTTCTTACCATGTGGGTATTGGTAAAAGTTGAGGGCTTTACAAGGATGTTGGTATGGATAGAATGAGGATCTGAGTGAAGGTGGGGAGATAGCGGAAAACGATCTATGGATGCAGCCAGATGCAGACAGCTTCACGTTATATAAAATTTATGCGCATAAATTATTGAAAACATGTTAAAATTATAAATTTGGGAAATTGTATTGGGCTCTTAGTCTACTACTATATCTATGACTTTCTAAAGTAGATTTCTATATCTAGACCACATACTAGCCCTGGAGGCAGTATATAATGAGGAACGAGATCTCATCAACTCCACATTTCATTTAGGTAAAGTAGAAATAGTTTAAAATATAAAAAAATATCAAAAACTAAGTATTCAGTATCAAATATCACATACAAAATGCTCTATAGAATACCATCGAAGGTGATAGCAGCCCTGGCATCCGTAGACGCTGACGTTATCGGATTGGCGCCTGGCACTTCGACCTTGAAAGAGCTCTCAATTTTCAGATCGCTTTCTCTTCTATTATCTTCATCATGGATGTCTCGCTATATGTCTACGACCTTTCAAAGGTAAGTTTTCCAATTCTACACGCGGTAAATATCAATTAATTTTGAATATAGGGTCTGGCCCGGATGGTATGTTCAACACAATAATGAAAGCGAGCAGTTTCTAATTTATACAGTACTCCCTTGCTCTAACAGGAACACAAATGGATGCCATCTATCACACATCTATTGTCCTCAATGGAGTTGAATATTACTTCGGCCAGGGTATCCAGACCTCTGCTCCAGGGAGTACCCATCATGGACAGCCCATGGAGATCGTGAAGTTGGGTACTACTGAGCTTCCAAATGAGGTTATTGAAGAATACCTTGGCTCATTGGCAACCATTTATACACCCGAGGTTTGTTCATGAACGACTTGAGCAACCGAACTATGGCTAACAGCTTTAGTCCTACGACCTGTTTCTTCACAACTGCAATAACTTTACTCAAGACCTTTCAATGTTTCTGGTGGGTAAAAGTATTCCAGAGCATATTATCAACCTACCTCGCACTTTCCTTGAAACCCCATTTGGGCAGATGATGAAACCTCAGATCGAGAGTGCTCTCAAGGGCGTTACTCAAGGCACCGGGACAGGTCCTGCTCCCGGGCCTAGTGCTCAACCGACCACAGCAAGGAATGTTCCTCCCGCACCGCAGGCAGTGATACAACCAGGGACGGGGACAGTCCGCATGGTGAGCAATCTCAGCCAGCTACAAAGTGAGCTGAATGGTGCTTCCCATTCCTGCGCCGTTATTTTCTTCACATCGTCAACATGTCCACCCTGCAAGGCTGTCTACCCAACATATGACCAACTTGCAGCGGAAGCGGGTGAGCGAGGTACTCTTATCAAAGTCGATATCGGCGTGGCTCGCGATGTTGGCATGCAGTACAGTGTCCGCTCAACTCCTACCTTTATGACATTTTTGAAGGGACAAAAGCTGGATCAATGGAGCGGCGCAACCCCGGCCAAGCTAGTGGGAAACGTTCGTATGTTGTTAGAGATGGCACATCCGGCCCACCCCCATCGTCAACTACGACTTCCCAGTCTTCAGCGAGAGATTTCGACCTTCGTCATGTATAAGAAGGTCCCGCCGCTCGAAAAGCTCCTCCAAAAGCTTCCTGCCGAATTCAAGGAAGGCCACGGTGTTGCAGAGGTGATTGAATTTGTGAAGCAGCGTCACTCAACCTCCGAGCCTGTCGCTGATATCAGGGTCCCTGATTTGCATACATTTGCCACAACCTTGACCTCTACATACTCGACGCTTCCCAGTGGCAGTCATTTTGCCGTGGTTGATCTAGTTCGTCTTCTTTTGCTTGACCCACGTGCAAGTGGCTACTTTGCCGAAGAAGCCCAGCACGCAACCCTCCTCACTCTCCTTGCACCGCTATCCCAAGACGATCTCTCCTCATGTCCATACAATCTCCGCATTATGGCCCTCCAACTAGCATGCAATCTTTTCAGCACACCTCTCTACCCAGAGCAACTCACCTCCTCCTCATCCCCACTCCGCGAGACCTGCCTCCGTCTCGCGACCAACTCCCTCCTAGACTCACAAACCAGCCTGCGTGTTGTCGCTGCCTCTTTTGCGTACAATCTTGCCTCATTCAATCATAACTCCCGAATCAATGGGAACCCTGATCCTCTATCCGAGGAAGATCAGGTCGAATTGACGGCGTCGTTGCTTGAGGCTGTTTCGCGTGAGAACGAGAGCGTGGAATCCTTGCATGGGTTGCTGTTTGCCCTTGGGCTACTGGTTTACGAAGCTCCAATGGATGGGTCTCTGATTGATCTTTGTCGCGCTATGAGTGTGGCGGAGACGATTTCTGGAAAAACAAAGGTCCAGGCGGTACAGAAGGAGCCGCTGCTTAAGGAGATAGGAGAACTGTTTACCAAGGGGCTGTAATTATTGAATTTCTGCATGATCTCCAATCAGAGTATACGTGAACTCGAATTCTTGGAAAGCTTGATGATATACCGAACCATCTCCTGAAACATTTATTCGTATATAGACTTACAACAAGTTTCTCTTTTGTTATCGACCTTTCTCACACCTTTGGGTTATTTAAGTACGTATTCAATTGACCTAATGAAGAGAACTATACATCTCATGTGAACACATCGAGGACGACTAGAGAAGAGTCAGCGCATATCAACTTGGTAGTATTTTATACTTTCATATCATATAGTGCCTTTCGGCCCGACATGTTTATAAAGGGCTTCTAGGTACAGAGTCAGGGATATAGTAGTTTTATATTACCAATCAAGTCGGGTATCATCGGACTAAATATAAAACGGGGAGCTATACCCCGACTCCGCCGCATGCGTAAATATAACCATATACCACTCCGGATTCGTTAAAAAACTTCACATTCTTGCACAATCCGACGCCTTACCGGCGACATCTCGGTATTATCCCGAGACCCACATCGGCTACTCTCGGTATCAGTCATCAACCAGACTTAAATCCTAAAGAGATCAAGTTGATCTTCGAACACCTCGTTTGATCTCTCAATGGAGAACATCACCCACCACATCGTGGCCATTGAGGCCGTCCATTGCCCAATCCCAGAATTCAATCTACCAGGGCCTCATACTCGCGCAGTCCACCGATGGACAGACCCCGCAGATCTACACAGCCGCATCAAAGATGCCACAATCATCGTGACAACAACGATACGCCTGTCAGCAGAGGCTCTCAGCCCTGAAGTAACCCCAAATCTCCGTCTTGTAGTAATCATGGCGACCGGCACAGACTGTGTCGATATAGCAGCTGCATCCGCACGAGGAATCCCCGTGTGCAACTGTCCTGGCTGTAACATCGACAGTGTCAGCCAACACGCTATTGGACTTTACTTCGCGACTCGACGGAAGTTCGTCGAACTACACAATGCCACAGTTGCAGTTCCTGCGGATTTATCTCTTGATACTGAATGGAAGACGAATGGCTCGTTACTCAGTCGGGTTCGTGCACCGGACGGACAGGCCCCGTTGCTGTGTAGCGATGAGACACTCTGTATCGTCGGGTACGGATCGCTAGGTAAACGCATCGAGGGCATGGCACGGGGTCTTGGGATGAATGTGATTATCGCTGAACGGAAGGGTGCATCTCCTCGAGAGGGCCGGGTTCTGTTCGAAGATGGGTTGAAAAAGTCGACTGTGGTTGTTTTGTGCTTGCCGCGGAGTGCGGAGACGCTTAACATGATCTCTACAGCGGAGTTCCAGATTATGTCCCCACATGCTGTGTTGGTTAATGTTGCGAGAGGTGGAATTGTCGACGAGCAAGCCTTGGTTGAAGCTCTCAAGGGAGGAGCGATTTCAGGTGCGGCTACGGATGTTTACGCGACGGAACCTGCTGGGAGAGGTGATTCCCCGTTGATAAGCCCGGAAGCGGCTGGGTTGAATTTGGTGTTGACGCCTCATCTTGCTTGGTATTCTGAGAGGACTTTGCAAAACCTCCAGGCTGCGTTGAAGAGCACGATTGAGAAGTGGTGCGCTGGTGAGATTATTAATCAGGTGCGATAGTCTGGAGATTTTGGTCATTTGTAGATACATTTAACAATTAGATTATAGATTACCTTGTAAAGCAAGGCATATGGGTCATCTCAACGAATGAACCCAGAAAACTACATGAACCACTTACATTTTCCTTTCCAATGACTTAAACTTCACACTCCAAATACAATAAGATCTGAGGGTTTCAACCATCATGGAAGATCCCAAAGCAGGTACATACCTGGCTGGTCCCGATCACAATTGGTGTTCTCTTTGCGGCCGAATCACCTTCGTATACGGCAGTCTCTAACCGCCTACAGAGTTTGCCTTGTGATATGAGCATTTTGCACATCGAATACACCAACATCACACCAATTTCTATATTCCGCCTTCTCCAGCCTTCTATCTATAAAAATAAGAAGGGGGAAATACCTTGCAGACAGATACCAACAGGCGTGTATCTAAGAATACCATGAGGGACTACTAAAATGACTACAGAAGATACTAAGACCACATAAGCGGTCGAAACCGATGATACTTTCGCTGATGGTGCTTGCTAATGTGAAATACTAGAATTGGTTAAAAGGAGTGATTCGCAGTGCAGATATCGCCAGCTGCGTTTGGATGTTGAGTCTTTTATTGTATCTCGTATCTCGAGTTATGTTTCCCCCAATCAAGTCTTCTCGGGGAGGACAGTCCGATGGTCCTTGCCGAGAAATGATAGCCACTTTCGAACCGGAGCACCCTTTTTTAATTGGCTACTTCACACCAGATTGGGGCTGATGTCTTGAGCTTGGATCTAGGAATGTAAGTCAATATTGATTTGAAATCCAGTTGCGAGTTTGCAAGACAGGGAATCCACGCCAACGCGGCCTCCAAATATTCGTGCTTTCACACGTTAATCCCGTTTCATCATCTAGCCATAAGGCCCGACCTTGACATATCTCGTATTTTAGTATGAGGGACAGCGGATTATGGTAATTTGTGCGTTGTGCCTACGAACTATGACTGTATCTCGGTCAGGGTACCATGTCCAGATGCAATAATTCAGTATATCGACGATCTCTTCCTATTCAATATCTACAGTATCTGGGCTTAGTCCCGATCAAGTTCTATTGTTATACTCCCGCTTACTCTGATTCCTGCACAGTGCTTACTGATCTTTCTGCCTATCCGAATATCAAAACTCACAAGCACATGCAACATTCCATCACTCTGAAAACACACATCACTAAGTTAATATGATTTGATACCCAAAATCCAACATCAGATTATCAGATGATATTGTTCTACACGGAATTTTCCCCGATAGGCACTTGTATCATCTTGGAATGTGATTTCGCAATATACCGGATTTATCTTGGTAACAACAAAACACAGAGTTGAAGCATGTGCCCGAAACCCATTCCATGCCCCGACCACTTGATATCGCGTTGTGTTGTGTTGGTGCAACACATCCACGAATAGCGTAAATGCAGAGTGACAAAAGATAGTAACGTCAGTAGCGATGCGACTATTTGCAACGGAATCAACTCCAACGATACTGTATACACTGTATACTGTAGAAGTTATACTTGTGATAAGGAAGACAGTGGTAAACCCCAAACACTATACTCCGTACAGCCCCATTTAAGCCTCCATAGCTAGTACCGACCCGAGTAAACATTTAACCGCCGACTAATCCCCGCCAACGAGAGGTGCACGTTGGAATCAGGCGACCTGGACAAGATACTAAATGAGAGCAGCCCAACTGTAACTTCATGATATTATCCGATGCTGATGAAATACTTAGATGTACATTCCTGAGATTATCAATCATTCCCGGTTACTAAGATGCGGCATCCCCGATCTCACTGTTGCATTTCAGACAGTAAGGCGTGTCATACACGGCAATAAGCTCTTACAGCCTCACTGTTTGGGTGCGGAGGTGAGGCGGTTACTCAAGCGGGGAACACGAGGCAGGGCTGACGATCGGCTGTTGGATTCTATATACTTTTTCGGGCAACAGGTTACATCTACAACGTGGCAGGGAGTTAGGTATAGACAAGAAAGTATAGTGTGATTTAGAAATTACTGTTTTAGATGATTTTACTTGATTAAGGATATTCCGGTTTCAGGATATGGTCAATGTGCTTAGTTTAGGCTACCTAATGTGCGGAACGGCTATTGACAAGTGTGTGATATGGCACGTGGCGGCAATATTCCGAGAACAGATCACAGAGCGCTGTTGGAAATTGCAGAAATCACAAAGCGTCGAAGACAATGAAAACAAATGGTGGGGGTATACAAGACGGGGTATCGAAACAAGACGCTGCGCTGGGAAAACAGATTCATGAAGCCGAGAACAATAAAAAAGAAACACCGGTTCCTCATGGATGCAAGCCTTAGGGTAGGCATAAAATGGTCAAATGATGACTTAAATCAAGGCGCTGCAACTCCATGTAAGAACATGATCCCTGTGGGATGGGGGAAATAATGGATTCGCTGAAAAGAAAAAACAAAAAAAAAAAGAAAAAAAACAAATGCGAAAGTTGGGAAATGAGTCAGAAAGCCGGATGAACCAGCGGTGTGTGCGAAGGATGAGGTGACGGAGGTGACGGAGGTGACAGGAGGTGACGGTGGGATTTCGAGAACCGCCGACAGCGAGATATTAGGTAAGCCGCGTGGGGGCCCGCGGGCCCTATATCCGGGCGATGTCGGCCCATGTGGTCACATCCACGAAATACCACCCGGTGAAGCATAGATGTGGCTGATCGTGGAATGTTGTGTTCCTCAGATTGAGGCGCCCCGTGTCGAAGTTTGTGAGGTGAGATCGCGGGTATCACGGTAGAAGAAAAAAAATAATGTAAAGTCGAGAATAGGGCACTTGGGGTGGGTCTCTGCACCGGGGAGATGCGGGGGTGAAAATTAAAAGATAAGGCGAGATAATGACATCGGGAAGAGAAAGTGGCGTTATTCGGAGAGCGCCTGCGCTGCACCGGGAATCATCGGTGAGTTTACTGACTGAGCACCTTGGATGCTGAGTGAGCGCGTCGTTTGGGAGTAGGCACGACTCGGCGCTTCTTGCGCTTCGATGTCTCTCGCTCTGTCACAATGCTCTGCTTTGCTGAACGGAGAGCTTGGGTTGCGCGAGCGTGGGCTTCAACCTTGGCGAGAAAATTGGCCCGATCTTGCTGTTCGGCGATAATGCGCATGCGTTGAAGTTGCTGTTCCATAGTCACCGAGGAGATGGCCGCGGCATCTTGGTTGATAGCTTCCTCCACTTCCTTCTCGGCCCCCGAATTCTCTGGCATCCACAGAAGATCGTCATCAGAGAGGAAGGCGCTAGCACAGGAGTCGGCTGTGTCGTTGCTTGAAAGGGAAGGACGGTTGGGCCAAGAGGGGAAGGCATAAGCTGCTCCCATCTCACTAGAGAAAGAGGACTTGCGTGGGTTGATGTCGAGAAGAGAGTCACTAGGAGTTGGTGGAGGAGCGAAAGGACTTGACATAGAAGAAGAGGCGCTGCCACTCCAGGCAAAGGTGGGTTGTGCTGGATCGGTGCTGGCGATAGGAGCTGCCGCCTTTGGAAGCGACATCTCATGGAGACGTGACTGAATAGGAATCATGATGGCGGATATGAGATAATGTTGAAGAGGGTTGGAAGTACCAGGGCCCAGTATGTGATGGTGTAGAAAGGTGTAAGGTGAAATGAAGAATGGAAGAGGTGGAGAGGGTGTTTATCAATGATCGGTGTAAAGAGTCCACACACACACAAATAGATATCAAAGATCAAAGCCGGGGAAAGACTTCTAGACCTCCCGATAGACACCCTTGCAGTCTCGAAAATCAAATTCCCAAAAATGGAAAAAAGAAATAAAGAAAAAACCCCCAAAAAGGAAATTCGAAAATAAAAAAAGGATAAAATGAATAATAAAAATAAAAATAAAATCAGAACAATCAGGCGGAAGGGGGTTTCCGGCAAACAAAGGGTTGTCGATCCTTGGAACTGATCGACCCCAAAAAAAATAAAAATAAAAATAAAATGAAATCCAAATTGGAATTTATTTTATTATTTTCTTTTTTTTTGGGATTTCTGACACACACGGGGAAATATCGATTCCCCGGTTTAGCGCGTTCTTCAAATCTTTGTGTATCAAAGACTCTGATATAATCTGAACTCCCTTGCGGCAAAAGAAAGGTGTCCCCAGGCCAAAGATCTCCGATCTCAAAAATCAAATTGTTTGGAGTATTTTCCAGTTCTGATGATAATTCTCCAATAATCATGCCTCGGATTCACCGCTTCGTTCGGGGAAGTAAAAAAAAATGAGTCGAATCTGCAGGCCTAACTTGAATTTGCAGCCCTAATTGAACCCAAACAGATCTTCGTAGAGGAATCAAGTTGGGCGTTTTGGCGGTCACAGGTGATAACACGTCGATTATTTGGAAGATGAAGAGAAATCTATACCCCCACGGGAGAACGAACTATCTATCTTCTTTTAAACAACAACAGGAAGGGAATTCCCCCGTGTCTCCACCTCGGGCCAAGTCTAAAGTCCGTGGAGGATTCGATTTTATAATCTAGAAGCTTTTAGTTCGGAATCTAAATGAAAAAAGAGAATCTAAGGATTTGAAACGGTTCCCGCTGCCTCGGAACTTCCTGATTGCCCCGGTTTAGCGGGTAAATGCAGTTCCTCGGCAATTCATAATTTGCCGTCAAAATTATCGGTGCTACTCCTTCTAGTTATACGGAGGACGGAGGACAACATTGTTCTTTTAAGAGAATCCTCCCGAGAAATGTCCGTCTGATTTTCGCACAAATCACAGGACACCCCACAGTCACACCGAGGCTCTAGTGGATTCCCTTTCACATTTGATTTTTGAGTCTAGATCCCAAAGTCTAGACCACTTAAAACAAAGACATTTCCCATCTATCGATTGTACTAATTTTCGGAAATGTCATGCTCCTTTCCGTTCAATCTGTCATCTTTTATGTCTTTTATGATATACCAGAACCAGATGACTTGCTTAATGCAAGTCTAGCGCCTACGGGGAAGAAGTTGACGCTTTTCCCCGTTCCAAGTGGATCAATCCATTATCCTGGGTGTCCCAAACGACACTCTCCCGTTCGGGCGATCGCCAGGTCTCCATCATACTCATCATATTCAACCTATACTAGTACTTTGGCAAATTTATATATCAAATTCCCCGACAGCGCCAACGGAATGTGAAATACAAATCCCCCGCGCCTCTAGCTCCATAATTACTGCTTCCGCGTCCCGGCCCGCCGGGGAACCTGAGAAAAACATCCCATAGAAAGGGATGAAGCGGGGGGTCACCGACCCAGGAAATCAAATTCTGATCTACGTGACAGCTCCGGTTCAACGCGTTGCCACTCCCGGTGACTCCGTACTCCACTTACAATGAAATCATATGGAAATAGTTCAGGCTTGTGAGAATCCGGATGGGGCCGCGGTCTACTATCGATATCGCGCGTCACGTTCAGATCCCCCTTTCCAGGCACTCGGTGCCTTAATTGATCTTCAACGCATGTCCTGTTACCTATCTCCTGGGTTTCTGGTGGAGTTCCGCGCCGGGGAACTGGGATGCTCAAGCTCCTATATTGATTTGATATTAACGGAAGCATGTGAATCTTCCGGAGAATACGGATTAAAATGAGTACAAAAGTGCTGTTTCATAGACCGAAAGCTAGACCGAAAGCTAGAGCTCCGTCCACCGGCTTTACCTCGGTTATGTTGATCTCTATGCAACTTTGCGAAGCTCATCCTGGGGTCAAAGACCAAAGACAATGTAGATTTGCATGCAGATATTTATTGTGAGATCCAATGCATAGTCGAAGGTTGGATTGCGTAGCTCCCTTTCGTACAAAAGAGCTTGGATCCACACCGGCCCCTTCCAGCCTTTCCCGGGTTTCCCTGCAGATTATACGATGCACCTCATATGCGGTTCATATGCAAGATCTCTGAACTAAAGTTGCAACACAGACGGTTCTCTTGCATACATTTAATGGGGACTGAAGAAAAGAGGGTTGAATATAGAATCCATACTATCTACCACTATCCACGATGTTTGGCATATTTTAATGTCTGGAGTTATATCAACTCGGGCCGAGGTCTGACCTTAAGTAAGATTGTGATAGAATCAAGTTTTTACCCTTCACCGCAATAATTCCATATGTACTTTTGGTTTTTTGCCACAATCCTATGCAGCTCATTCCAAGGCTGACTTTAAAATATATAAAGATATTTGAGAATGGAAATATACACCCCATGGGGGGGTTTTGACCCACATTCCGTGAGCGGAGATTTTGAAGAATGTGAGATAAATTCTGTACAGTGCAGTATGAGTAACCTAAGGATCATGCCGGGACACCATCCGCGGTTTCGGCTGCATCAATTGACAAGGGTTTAATAGGTGACCGGTTGACGGTGTACCCGAGACGTGTCCATGAGGCGTGCTTTAAGTGTCAAGCATATCCCAATGAAATCCCCCTGATTCATCACAGGGACTGTGCTTACATGGGCTAGAATTTTCGCACGGATAGCACACTCGTAAGCCCATCTAGACCAACGCCAACCATTATCATGATTGTGAGATCAGACAAGCCATCTCTGAGACCGCTACAGCAATCATCGTCATTGGATACAAATCATCGCCGTCGTCCCTTCGGCTGACTCCAATCAAATCATCCTATCTGATTATCCCTGAGTCAGAACTTACTACCAAACTCACAGTCTGACCGATATTTGCGATCGGATAATATGCGATCGTCACGGTCGCTTTTCCGTGGGGGGTCCTCCGTACAATTTAGGAAATTTCGCATAAATCAGGGGGCTCCGTTCCATGAACGTTCATGCGGAGTAATTTCGGTCCTTTTCGAGAACGTTATGTGCAAAGCCGGGAAATGCGGTAGTCCGTGATGTATGTTGTAGAATTTACGGAGTAGAGATTCATCGACTTGCCTACTTCGGCTTAGCAATTGCTTTGTCCTAGCCGTTGTGCCTGTAGGATGCCGGGCAGGAATGCTTCGCGACGTTTCAATCCTGGGTACTGACATCCGCGCTCTGCGCGTCTAGATGCTACCGTAGATTTTGATGTGTAAAAAAAGCATCATCCTGGTTGTACAGGCAACATCGTATGCCCGACCGAGGGACAATATCCGAACAGGGTCGTTGAGGATATCCCGTTATGATCCTGGTCGGCGCTAAAGTGACATGGGTTCGTTGCCTTATCATCGATGCACAGGATAGACTGGCGGTGAATTGTGTTTCCTTCCTATTTGACTTGAAATATGCATCTGAATTTGGGCAGCTATACGGAGATGTTTGGGGACTTTTGTTGGACTTGCGACCGAAATTGTTTGACCTGGAAGGGTCAAAGGAATGCCTGTCTAGTTTCATATCTTGTTATTATTTCTGTCCTCTTTGGTATCAAGCTAGCAAGTAATCTTGGAATACTTTCTTGAATAGAAGTGGGGCAGACCCTTATATTAAGCCAAGCTCAACTATATAGTCGCTTTTTCTCAGGTTATTCTACAAAGGCAAAATATAAAACACTGGAATAGTTGACAGAGTGTGTGACTAAAAGTGATGGGTTTGACTTTCATTTTGATTATATATATATATATATATATAGGTATAGGTCAGACTATCGAACCAAATGGTTTAGTACCTCAAATCAACCGGGCCCGATCAAGTTTTGTTCCTTTTTTTTCCCTTTTGATATTCAAATCAATGCATTAATTGAAGATATTTAACTCCAAATCTCTCTAATAGAGTCAATATACACATCCGTCCCCATAAACCCTTCAAGTATATCCACCTAGAGAGACAAAGAAAACGAAGAAATAGAAGACGAATCCGAACCTTCAGAGGCACTCAGCATTGGAATAAGAGGAGTAGCAGAACACGGCCTAAGCACCCATCGCCGCTCAGCACCAACACCCTTGATAGGAACCCAAGAGTGATTTATATGCTTCCTCCCAACCTCCACCCGACATTCCCCAAACGCTTTCCTCATTCGACGATCAAGTTTACTTTCCCTGTGAACTCGATCCTCTCCCTGGAAAAGCATCTGTCTCCGTTCAGATACAATCACCACCCCACAATCGAAATCATCCAAATACATCGATGCCACCTCCAGCCGGAGACTATCCCAGTCTATATTATCCGGGATCCATTCCTGCACTGGCCGTAAGGTACATGGTTCATAGACCCATTTAGGTGTCCAGCATTCGAAGTTCAACGGCATCCTGATACGGGATCGCCCGCTCCATAGTATCCATTTGTTGCGGGTTGGAACTAACGTGCTGCCTCCTTCGAGGAGGGCCAGGATGTGGCCCATTCGGAGGAAGTTATCTGAGCTGATAGATAACTTGGTGAATTCGGAGTCGGATCTCTTGATGATTTCGAGGACGCCGATTGATGATGTCGGTGGTTGTTGGAGTAGCATTCGTTTCCAGCTGGCGTCTTTTCGAAGATAGATTTTGAGCTTGCGACGCTCTGGTTCCCGCAGGGGAAATCTGCTTATATTGGCGATTTTTGACTCTGGGGTTTGTTGCTGTTTGAGGAAGAATTGGGCCCAGAGGATATCTGCTAGGAGTGGATTGCGAAGGCGTTGTGAGGGATCTGAGATCCCGAATTTGGAAGGTTTGAAGAAGAGGGACTCTTGGAGTTTGATTGATGTTTTGATCATGGTGTTCCATGTGCGAGATACACGTTGAGCGGATGTTAATAGGGTTCTCATGTCTGTATGTAGAAGAATGTTCTCAAGTAGCTCATTGATGAGCAATACGTTATGCGGTTGCTGTGACATTATTGAAGATGTAGAATATTCCTAATGAATTAGAATTGGAACAATGAGCTTTATCAAGTGTCGGGGACAATTCCATACCCTATGACGACAGATAGGAAATGGGGACCCGGGGGACATTCGTGATCTATACAGACTCGGGTGCAACTTCAAGGATGTTCATTCAACGTCAGTCTGAGAAAGGAGCAAGTTTGATCTGCGTCACAACTGCTGATTGCCAGTAGAACTCGCTGTAAATGTAAAAAGAAGCTTCAAATAGAATGTTGCGAGAAAGGGGGGTCTTCACGTACTTTTATGTCGTGGCCCCAAGGTACTTAGGTGATTCCGGACCTACGCTGGGTCTTCACAAGGTGCTCATGTCTAAATGCGGGGATTATTCTTAGAAGCTGAATCATCGAAGATTGCTATCAGGGTTGACCGAGTTGCTAGGAGATGCAATCTATGGCGAATGAACCTACTAAATTGCAGTCAAATCGATGTCAATCCAAATGAATTGTTTCAAGAAATCAATTCCTGCGTTGGAATTCCCATAATAGTACACTAATTTTTACACAAAATACTCCAAAACATAGTCGAGCTCAAATCAACGCCTCAAATGGAACGCGGTATCGGGTATCATGATAATGCAGTAGCCGGCCACAAAGCTCGGCTATGCGGACAAAGGAAATAAAAAGAGAAAAACGTATGGGGAAGAAATGATCATGAGATGATGGTAGAGGGCGAGTCCAGTTCATCAGTCCGTTCAGCATCAGTGGCAATCACGCTCGAAATCTTCGAAGACGAGTCGACAGGAGGAAAATCGTCCATCGGCAACGAGATACTGGTTTCACGGGAAGTAGCAGATTCGAAGTCGGTGACAGTAGACGGCGTGGAAATGTTCCTTGGTTCTACACTTCCGAACTGAGTAGACTCTGCATATAGGTCATGTTCTGCAGTTGCAGATGGAGTCGAACACGGCGAGACGGACTCATCCACAGCTTCGTAGAACAGCATAAAGGCACCTCCTTGTGACATCACATGACCTTCGCTAACCATCTGCACGTCATCGTCGCTGAGGCGCCACCAACGCTCCGGCTTGTCCTTATCACCCTCAGCTTGAAGGATCTCGTCTGGCGCAGGAGCTGTGAATTCCGATGTCGGATATTTGCGGTAGCAGATATAGTGTCCATTCTCGTGTCGGCCGTAATGGGTAATGATTGCGCGTAATTGATATTGTCTGCTGGGGACTTGAATGGATTCCCCAGGCTGTGGAAGCATGGACCGCGAGGGGTTTGTTTCCCACTGTTCAGAAATGTCGCCAGATTTGCTGAGAGAACGGGCGCCAAGACACCAATTGTTCAAATCGATCATTTGAGGGAACGCGACTGCCGCGAGATTCTTTTCCAAATTCCCAGTCATCTCGTCAAAAACACTACGATTAATGTGGATAGCGAGACAGCGCGGAGCCCGCGCAATGACGGCTTGTCGAGATTTCGTGGTTGAGATTCGATTTTTTGAGTTGATGTGGCACTTGTTTGCCAATGTAGTTTCGCTGAAATCATTGCTTTCCAAAGCCGCCTTGACAGCCTCCAATCGCGAGTGGGCTGACAGTTTTACAGCATCGAATGGTCGAGGTTCGTCGGAGCTGTCTGCTGAACTGTCATCGGATTCAAATCCACTGATCAGGTTGAGAAGCTGCTCCTGTCGATGCAACAGCGTGCATTTAGCGCATTCCACGCCTTCAATAGGCTCAAGCGTCATATATTGGTCCAAACAGTCGCGAACATCATACGAGGATCTTCTGCCCAGAGGAACAGTGAGACAATTGAAAGGGATTAACGAAAGCCCTTCAGTCCATCCACATTTCATGCACCCTACCCGTTGAGCGAGTAGGCCTTCCAGAGGATTGCAAGATGAAACCCTGTCAAGATAAAGCTTATCTGTCGATGAGGGCGATTCGGTTTCCGAAGGGCCCGTCGAGTCGTCATAGTCGCTGTCTCGAAATATGTTCTCATCGGGTCCTGCGATTTTCAATCCCATATTTAAAGTAGCTCCCCGTGAGCAAATTTCAGCCTCATGGTCAATTTGGTCAAGCAACTTGGAAAAATACTCTTGCGCATCTTGCTGTTGCCAGCTACTCATAGACTTCAGAGGCCCAGAGATCCACAGCTTGGTTCCGCCTTTGGAGGCGCTATTCAGACGGTCGATAAGGTCTAGGAGTGCTTTGTGCGTCGAGATAGAAGCCTTGCCGGAGAGGTTGTCCACGTTGTGTTCCAGAAACTCGGTGAGATATTTCAAAGAAGCCAGTCCCTGTATGATGCTATTCTGGAAACACGAGTTGTTCCAGTTTCCAAGCCCCGGGGGTGCGACATCCTCGGTATTCCCCAGCAACGCATTTCCGAAGATAGAGAGTGATCTTGACCGGGAGAAAAAGGGAAAGTAGACATTGTTGTCTAAGCCGAGTATCCGTTTCATGGCGTCGCTTTTATCCTGAAAGGTCAAAGGAGAGGCTAGGGAGTTGGGGTCGGAGGTTGATACGCGAGGGTCCAAAGCGATAACAATCCGAGAGGGTGTAAAATAGACGATGAGATCCCAGGGGAGCTGGAATAGCGATATGGGAACAAGTCCGAGGTAGCCGAGGAAGATAGGAATCGAAATTAAAACAAGGAATATGTATGCTAGTGTTTGATTGTTTTGTAAAGTCGTGAAGGGGGATTCATAATGACTGTTGCGGCTTGCGTACTGATCTGGCCGGTTGGAAGAGATCTCAGAGCGCCCGTTGCGGGTGTTCATTGTCAATAAAGCCAGAAGGGTATCTGTGGCAAGAGAAATCTACCAGCATAAGCAGTAGCATGGGGTTATAGAGAACGTCTGAGTGTTAAGTCATGTGTAGAATAGGACTTGAAGGTATACATGTTTGCGCGGAAAAGGTGCACATTTGGTTGTCTTCGTTCTCCGTAAACTTTTTTTTATCGATAGCGATTCCACCCCACGACCTGTGGAGATTGATAATTCTTCCAAAACAACAACCATGGCGAAGAGTAAAAGTAAGTCGGCTACGAAAAAATATATTGATATTTGGGCTAATATTTGAACAGACCAGTCCCAGCGTTCCCGCGCAGCACGGAGGGCGGCCTCCCCAAGTCTCGACCTTGACAAGTCGGTGCTTGCACTGCCCAGAGCAGAATCTCCTACCACAACAAGGCCTTCGGTTCTGGCCGACCGTGCCACTGCTGGTATTAAGAAAAAGCAGAACAAAAATGATAAGATTTCAAGGGCCCAGCGGTTAAGGCAACAAAAGGGAATGGACCGAGCTGAGGCCGTGATGGATCAATTGGAAATCAAAAAGGCTAAAAGTGTGGCTCGCGGCAGGACCGTCAATTCCCGAAGAGTATGAACCCAGAAATCATCATTTCGTTCGGGTGTACAGTTGCTCACATTGAATTAGGCTGATTGGGAAGATACCAACCGCAAAACCCTGTCATTCAACGCTCTTCGACAAGACGACGACGATGAGGATGACGAAGATGACGAGGAGATGGCCGAAGATTCTGCACCTTCTGGGATTCCTGTCGCAAAGAATGTCTTCCAAATCCCAACCGAAGCCTTGATCGCAACCGAAGACTCAACCGAAGGCTCCAATCTCGTAACGGACGACACTGCGACTATTGATGAAGCTGACGAGATCACTTGAACAACCCCAGAGCGGGCCTGTGTGATATAAGTTGAACATTGTTGATGGGCTCATTTTCTTGGCCTTAATTGGTTGATCATGCGTTCGATTTCAGTGGCTGCGGGGCCAGATGCTTTAGTGCGGAGGAGTTCCAAGGTGTTAAGGTCCTTAGTCTTTTGTGCCTCTTCTCCGGCCTTCACGATCATACCGCATTTCACCCACATCTCGATCCTCTCAGCAGGGGGCAAGTGGCTGCACTTTGGCACGAATCCTGAAGCAAGTTTTGTGTTTCCAGCACCTAAAATCTCGTTGTAAAAAGGCTGCTTTGTGTGAGCATCTGTTCCAGTAGTATAGGATTTTCGACTGTCTTACCTCCCATCCGATTGGGGATTTCTTGAGTTTAGAGATCTCCTCCAGCTCACCCCAGTCACGTTTAGCTACCAAAGCTCTCAGTCTCAACCACCAAAATGTCTTTTCAGGCATTTTGAATTCACTTTGCATCTTGTGTGCTCTTTTACCGTAACCACCTCTGACAAGTCTGTAGACAGTCTCATTGAGGCTAAGACCAAGAAACTCGTTGTTGTCTGCCAAGTCTTTATCCAATGCGTCTTGGGCTTTCAAAAGCTGGGAGGCCTCAGAGACTAGCTTTTGGTTTAGAACCACTGTCGGTTCTTTGGAATCTGACAAGAGGCGAGATGCTAGGTGAAGTTTCTCGGTCTGGCGTGTTAGATCTGTATCACGCAATGCTTCTGATAGTAGCACATTAGCGCCATCAATGGGCCGATCATCTTGGTAGAACAGGTCTTTTAGCAACTCGATGTCATCGCCTCGTGCGGCAGTCTCCACAAGTGCAGAAGCCATTGGGCGAGTGTTGATCATTCTGAAGAAGCTTGCTAAAGGAAGCTTGCTCTTAAGATGCAGAAGCACGTAATTCACCAAGTCATCATCGCCACTCTCAATTGCCTTATCTAGAGCAAGCTCATCTTCTTCCATATTCAAAAGCAGAGGAACTTGCTTGCCGCCCCGTGGTTCATGGTTGAGCAATTGGGTAGCTAGGTGAGATCGTCCCTCGTCATAAGCAGCTTGAGCGATAGCCTCAAACGAGATTCCCGGCTTTCCATCGAGTCGCTGGACAATAAGCTTGCACACAGCTTCGTCATCAACAGTCGAGACCTTCACCTTTTGGCTTGCCCAATGGACATAGATTTTATCTGCGGGGATCTGTAGGTATTCGGAAACCTTTATTGCAAGCAGATATTCATGTCGGCTGATTAAGCGTTCAATGAGTCCTTCCGGTGTGAGGCGCAGGTATTGCTCATATGATAATGGCATCCCGATCTTATAGTCTCTCATTGCTTTGAGAACGCGTAGTTTTTCAGTCATCTCCACGAACTCATCGCTATTGTAAAGTTCGAGGACAGATTTGCCAAACGACGCAGCTTTCAACAGGCGCTTCTGCCAATAGGCGTCGAATTCATGCCCCGCTGCTTTAATGCAAGTGTCAACTGCCGATGGTAAACTCGATCGGATGCGCTGGATGTTCTCGTCAGCCTTGGGTGATTTTTTCTCCAGTTGGTCTACTGAATCCAGTAGCACAGAAGCGGGGGAAGACGACCCAAGACGGAATATCTCCTCGGTAACACCTGGAAATTGTCAATGGTAGTCCGGAATTTGCTTTGGGATGCTGACATACCAGCGACCTTGTGCATGAATTCGCATGTGTCATTAGTTATGAGACGAACTCCATCGAACTCTGGTATGACATGCACCCGGCCATCATAGTAATACCTAGGACGATTAGAATATGCTTGCAGATATTGTATAAAGGAGACCTCTCACTTTGATGCAACTCCGTTGGGCCCAACAAGATGAATTTCATCCTCCCATCCAAGGATGACAGCATCATCGCCACACCAATTCACGGTATTTGGCGGAACCCGTGATTTTGAATCGTATTCGCTAAACTTGTTCTGGAAGTCATTGCTGACTACCCATAACTTCCCTTCTGCGGTGAAAAGTGCGACAAAGCGCCCTGTTGGTGATACACTGATATGTTTGAATGGACCATCTTGCAGAACCTTGTCTTCTGCTTCTGTTGAGTCGATTAAAAAGATGGTCTTGTCAACAGCCAAGAGAACCTCGACAGAGCGTGAGAGTGTATGGGCAGGTGGAATTAAAGCCCATGATGATACCTCACCCTCTGGGCAAGGTGCCAAGAGCCGCGGACGCGGCTCATCATATTTGGATACGGCAATTAGCTGGTTATTGGACAGCAATGCAACGAGGCCTGATGACCAAAACTGACAGGCTCTCACGCCATACTCTTCGGCACCCTGTTACATTATTAGTTTCTGCACACTATGAATAGGACAGGCTGTCATCATGTCTTACATTTCCGAGAGAGAAAGATGTAAACTCGCCGTCTAATCCGAAGTAGCGTCGCACTGTTCCGTCCTCAGAAACGACCAAGAGCTCTTCCTTATCGGACCAGCCTAGTCCACGAATAGTGGCTTGTTCCCACTAAAATAAGTTAGTAGATTCATCATGATTCGATTCTAAATTGGAAACAAACGTTTATACGATTGATTTTCTGTCCAGAGCATGAATAAACATCAATTGTGGAGCGGGAACCCTGTCCGTCGCGAAGCCTAAATGGCTTGCTTTCATCGCGATAAAGCGCTGATATCCACGTTAGTCCCAGATCTCCGATTCTCCAATGGGGACTTACCGATAGCTCCTCCGTAAGGGGCGCCCGCGACAATGTAGTTCTCTAACTCGACGTCGTCCTCAAAGATGGCATCATACACGGCGATTTTGCGATAAAAGCTGTCTCCAACCTTTTCCCAGTTTGCTAGTGGGTTGGGTGGCATGACTGTGGATATGATCACAGATGAGGCACTGAATCCTTTAGTTGGATGTTCGAGCTGTTGATGGGGGTCACACGGGCTAGACCCGAACGGGTGATCTTGTCGCCTTGATTCTCAGGCGGAATTCCCCACCACAATCCTCAACTTCACTTGATAGTTGCTGCATCTTCATTGGCCAACTCTTTCCAAATCATGGATTATACAGATCTTGCTGATATTGCTCGAGAATTATCTGACCTTGAAGTAGCCCTTCTATTGTGCCTTGTTGCCCGCGAACATTGCTTGATTGAGACCACCAGACACTGTATGAATGACCTAGCCAAAGAACTCGCCTTAGTATGTCAACGCAATTGGTCAGAATATCGAGATGATATCTAATGAGAGATAGATTGGCTCCACTACATTCAACTACTCATATTGCATCCTTGACTGTTCATCTGCAACATCTATTGATGATATCTTTAATGATGTTCTTACTCCGGATGCACGCGCGAACTATCACCCATCGCGTCCATGGCTGAACACTGAAACAGTATGTTAATCTCAACTTATGCTATCGTTATTATTCCTATATACTAATAAAATCAGTCAAGCAAACGTTCCTCATATAAGAGTCTTGGGGATTATAGCAAACCGCCAGCTCCATCTTCACATGCCAGCAGTAATGTTGTCAATATTATAGTCGCCAAAAACTTCAATTTTGTGAATGATGATATCCAAATGCAGATGCTGCAGGTACGTATCCCGATGGACAATTCAGTAAAGACAATACTGATGTGGAATAGTTAATGCGATCAAGGGAGTTGGTCACTGAAACCGGGACCTTGAGCGCGCCTCAGGACTTTCTTTTCATCCCTCTTGTGGCACGAGATTCGGATCAGCTCCAACCACCTTTGAAATCACACATGGTAGGTATTATCTGTCTACGTCCATTCTGACTGCTTTACTTTAGCTAATGCTGCGATAGAATGACAATCTTCTCATTTCTCATTTCCACAGCCCGGAGGCTGGGTATACCTATCTTGAAGAGAATGACTGGCTTTCGGATGGACAAATGTCCGCTTCCTCTGTTATTCATAAGTCGAAGGGCAAGCAAACGAAGAGTGGTACAGTCAGCCCGTTGGTAAGTTTGATGTCATTCCAATCTACCTTGATTTTAGAATCTCGAAGTGAACATAGCAATCTGACACGGACTCATGAACTTACAGATGATGGATCAACTTCGAGAAGCAAGTGCATCGGTGAGCACAAGCGCAGAAGTCGTTCGATATATCCAAGATATCGTCGTATTTCTGCGGCTCAGTCGCGCGGTTGCGGGTGGCGTAACTGCCAATGCAAATATTCAATTTTCTCGGTTTGCACAGTGAGTCCAAACATATCACCCACGAAACCACTTACGCTGGCCCATCTTATTGGTTTTACTCTACAGACTTCTAGCTCCTCTGCATGGTATCGATTATATGACTCCCTCCATCGTGGCGCTAGCCGCCAGGAAAGTCTTTCGGCACCGCATTGTTGTCACTCCCCCCGGCGAGGATCGTAGTTTGCAGTATGGGAGTAACTTACATGCGGTATCCCACGTTCTCGCTGACGTGACGCCGGATTCAATACTGGATGGCGTTCTGGCGCTCGAGCCGCCTCTATGATATTCCAATGCACCCGCTTAGCTATTCTTGATTACTGCATTAGATACCCAACTGATATATATATTCCAAGTTGTGTGCTTATACAATTCAATTCGTGGGGAGTCAAATCCCACTATATCAATTTCAGTATTCGCGCCTAAAGTGGAATTAAGAAAGCTCGAGTCAGGTTGCGGCGGTCATGTGTATTTTCAATCCATTAGGAAGGCTGCGTGGGCCTACCTTCCAGTTCATATGTGATTTGATATTTCCAATGCTAAGTTGAGGCTATACATGTAGATAATCACACCAGCAATACAGCGATAAATATCCTATGTCCAACTTTCACCTACCAGTACTCGGCTTCAACCTCAAGAACAGGTCTGGGGGCGTGTACTTCTCGTCCACAATTCCGTTTCCAGAATCAGGCCCGTCAGGTGTTAAACAAAGGTTACCGTGAACTGCACCAGCGGGCTGTTGTTTTAACGTCTCCATGGCTTTCGAGTGCGTGCGCCACTCAGACAAAACAACGTCAATCTCAGTCTTGGAGTCACCGGCAATAGCATCCATCTTGATGTCGTTTCTGTCATAGCCAAAGGGGTCTTCCAACTGCGAGCCTATTCCCTCAATACCATACAGTGTGAAGATAACAAGGCTGACAATGGGGATGGCCCACCATCCCATCTCATCGACCATAGCAAACGGTAAAACACAGCCAAACAGAGCGAGAACTTGTTTTTGGTGAATCCTGGTTTAAGGTCAGTGATTGAAACATACAGGCCTGACTCAACACGCATTAGAACCTTGAAACTTACAAATGAGCCACTGGAATCGGAGTCAACTTGATCGTTTCCATCCTTCCATATGCATCAGTCAATGCATTCAACTGAGCCTGCATTTGACTAGCACCAGGCGCAGAATACCAATCACGTTCTTCGCCACGCTTAATAAACCCATCAATGAAAAAGGTCAACTGGAAAGGAAGGCCCAATCCCTCATCTTCATGACCCTCAAGGCCCGCAGGTAACAGGTTGGCATATTCAGGGTTATAAAGGGTGGATGGATGCATGTTCAAATGCTCATCGACAGAGTTTCCAAAAACCCAAGCAGCGTTCCATTCAGCGCGCAAATGATTTTTCACGGCATACGGGATAGCCATGAGGATTCGAATAGTACGCTCGATATCCTCGCGCTCTTCAGCGGTAGGTGGTCCCCGCTTCGAGCTGTAGCTATTTGTTGCGATTGTGCGGACCAGGTTGCGCACGCAGGTGTTGAGTGTGTTCATTCCGTTTCGCCCATCCCAGAATCGATTGTAGGATGTTTGGTTGCGGAAGACAAGCATTAGACCTACGACAATAGATAAAGATGGAATCTATTTTTGCTATGTTTAGTTGCTGTTTCGTATGGTTGGTTGGGGATACATACGATTGTGCTAGGTAGACCGACAGTCTCGAATACATAAGTGTCCAAGTAAACAATCAAGGCAGTGAATAGAGCATGCAGAGAGACTGGGACTAATATGGCACCATGGATTGCACCTTTGATAAAGCGAAATACAAGTGGCCATCTGCTCAATATTAGTATATGTGGATGATTGGTAGATATTGATTAGTAGCTCACCTTCTTGGCTTTGCCCGCGATGATAGCTGATGAGGATGGGTGCCACGGCGTTGATGGTGACCTTGGATTGTAGTGTTTTGACGACTCAAGGTCGGAGTGGGTGGCTCGCTGAAGTTTAACCTCATCTTGTTCAAGATCCTAGACGGTATGCTGTACTCCTTACTCAACCAAACATTCAAGTCCGGGGGAGATTGAGATTGGGACCAGCCGTCAATGGCGGGTCCGACTCTTTGGTTCCGGACCCACTTGGCATTACTAGCGCTATCACGTGGATATACAACAGTTGGCTATATCGCAAATTGAACAAACTACATGCTATTGTGAAAATGACTTCACTGTCCTTAGTTTTGCTACTTTGAGATCTCCGTTACATAAAGTATAGTACAATGCATATTTGAGCCAATGAACATGTGGATGCACAAGGGGGCAAATCTGACGTACAGATTCTACATGCATGTACATAAACCTTGGAACGCCTCTCTTCTAGTTCTGACAACCCTTTCAAACCAAGCGGTCCATTCCATATCATAATGCAAGAAATTCTAGTAATAACCTGCCCAAGCGGCAGACAATACTCCCATCTCATCCCTCTCTTGAACACCAACCCCAGATTCAAACTCCGTCTAGCAGCCCACACCATCGAATCCGCCTCTCGCCTAAAACCACCTACCCAGATGCCGAAATACAGACATGCGACACATCCTCCCTCGCAGAATGCCGCAAACTTCTCAGCAACGCAACCTCAGTCTACCAGGTGGGACCCTCTCTCTACTCCCGTGAAATGGAAATCGGGACCAACATGATCGACGCCGCCGTCGCCGAGAGCCAACAGCCAGAAACGAACTTGAAGCACTTCGTCTATTCCAGCGTTCTTGGCACACAGCATCGAAACCTCATGCAACACGACCACAAAAGCCGCATCGAAGAAAGACTGCTATTAAGTCCTCTAAACTTCACAATTCTCCAACCAACCAATTTCATGGATATATACTCGGTCGCTGCACTCGCAAAACTCGAGGAACCCTCTAGCGAGCATATATGGAACCTCTATAATCCATATGTTGCTAATAGTTTAGTTGCGCTCAGAGATCTAGCTGAAGCCGGGGCCCGGGTTTTGGACGAGAGGGAACCACACTATTTCGCTCAGTATCCGCTGTGCTCAACCTTCCCGTTATCTGATGCGGGTTTTATTAAGATTATGGAAAAGCATATTGGTAAGGAAATCAATGTTCCTACTCCTACTTTTGAAAAGGGTGTTAGCAAGCTTCTCGGGCTTTTATATGCCGGAGAGAGCTGCATGTATAGTGGGGATCATGTGGATTCGGATCTTAGATGGCCGGCCTCACAGGGTGATCTACGTCCGGATATTACACGGGACGAGGCTGAGAGGCTGATTTTGTTTGATAATCGACGTGGATTGAAAGGGAATCCTAGTGTACTCAGGTGGTTGATTGGGAGGGAGCCTACGACTGTTGATGAGTGGGTGAAGATTCAAGTGGGAGGCTAGTTGAAAGCCTATTCTTCCAACAAAGTAGGATAACTACAAGTGAAGTATGAATTTATATAGTGAGCCTCCTGCTTGTTTTGATGCGAATGACAAAAGTGATTGGAACTTCCATTTTGGCTCGGGATGCCGATGAAACTTTAATTACATCCCCCGATTTTCCGAGTTGTGATACCATCCATGGATAAGCTGAGAAGAGACAACTTTGAAATTTAACACTCTGAAGCTTCAACTTATATTCTACTACAGTCACAGCCAATAGGGTCTCGAGGCAAGAGAAAGAGGGGTAAGAATATCGTGATCATTTCACAACTTGATCGCTACAAATTACCATGGCCTCCTTACTTGATCTACCAGCTGAGATTCGTCTGATAATATACTCACATTTACTCAAACCGAATGAATATGTGAAGAGCTATCGAAAGCTGAAGGATACTTGGTCAACACCGGGCGGTGGTCCTCTTTGCGCTATTCCTCGACCTTATGTGAAGCGATATACACCATCCATTCTGCTCCTCAACAAAAAGATCACTATAGAAGCTCTTCACTACCTATATCGAATATCTCTCAACCTCTACGGCACACCCAGCACATATTTCGTCATGCGTCAGATGGATATTACAGAATTCATCAGCGAGCACTATCTGCAGAGAATCCATCATGGTGTTCTGCGACTAAATCACGCCAACAAGCATTTTGTCCTTTCGCTTTTAGACATATGGTGTGCCGAGAATCAGCTGGAGCGACTCGATGTGTATCGTCCCAAGACTGAGCTTGACAGTCAGCACTGGAAAGTTGTAGAAAGCAGAGTGAGTTACATCGATGAGAAACATAGGATATATTCTGATGGCTTTGCTAGCTCGGGACCTTCTCGAGTATGGTCCCCGTTGTATTCCACGAGGTCGATGATCCGTTAAAGGTCAAGGCCTCCATGGCTATTTAAATATGTACATAGGCAGGCAGTGAAAAGATTGCTGTACGAGTAGACGAGTCAAACCGAACATGTTATTACCTAGTAATAATAAAAACAATCTGAAGGCTAACGAAAGAATGTTCCTGGATCAGATGTGCTGGGGGATGTGCTGGGGTTCAAAACAGTCCCAGACCACGAGTGGGTATCAGTAAGTTTTCGGGAGGGGACAAAGGAAAAAGAAAACGCTGAGTCGCCATGACGAATGAGAGTAGATAGAAGAGATACGCGCTATTGAACAATGCAAACAGTGTATATGAAGTGCGCACCCGAAGAAGCCAACGCAGACATGGTTCCTTGCAATGGTGATACCGTAGAATGCCCAGATGATAACCCCCTCAGAAGGGTAGATGCCAAAAAAAGGGATGAATATGTATTAAGAATGCCCAAAGCCCTCGCTTCCCAGAATTAGTTCGACCCGGAGCGATGCATTAGGGCATTCCTGCTCGGCCATCAAAAGCCAAAGGGCCCGAGTCATTTCGTGGAGTCAATGGGTTGTCATCAGACGTTTCTGAGCGCACTGGTGTGTCAGTTCGTAGCTGTGATTGGCGACCAGATGGCACACTGAGTGGTTGTGTCGGTTGCCACCCGGGGATGTTAACAGTGGCACTGCGAGCGAGGTCATCGGTGCTTGAGTTAGGGGCGGGCGAGGCTGAGCTTCGAGTGTCGTCGGTTTGCTGGTCATCCTGTAGATGCAGGTTCTCAACATTGTTCACCAAGTTTTCTTCGGCAAGATCGCCGAGCTGACCAGGCGGTCCGCTATTTGTTTCGACAACTGAAGGTCCTTCGGTCTCAAGCTGCTCCCCGGAGTCGTTGGATGCCCTATCTTCTGTCGGTTCTTTCTCTCGTTTTTCCTCCGAGTCATTCGAGTCATCAACCTCGGCGCTGAGATCGGTGAACGCCCGACAGTTCGGGCATTGGAACATTGGGTAATCCGGGGAGTGGAGGAGACGACTGATGCATTTGTAATGCCAGACGTGCGCGCAGGCTGCCATGAACAAACATTGATAGGGCCGCTTTATTATAGTTAATAAATGTAGGATTGGCAGGCGAAAAAAAGGAAGAAACGAACCAAGACAGAGCCAAGGCAAATCGAGCATTCACGACAACCTGAATAATCAGACGTCTCACCCTTGCCCAAGTTTTTGATCAGGCTTTCTGTGTTTTTGCTGGAATCTTTGTAAGTATCACACGGCACCTCCGGACAATAAGTAAGATCTCACTTGAACTCATTAGGCTGCTGCTGCCACGACCGATTACATTCAATCCGAATCCGAACACATCGGAAGATCATTTCTTCTCCACCTCGGAAGTCGATACCTAACTGCACGATATCGCCATCTTTGATGGAGTACAGACGAGACACCATATTTGGCTGACTCAAGCGCATGTGGTTCAAAAATGTTCCGGAAGAGCTACCAACATCCTTGATGTGCCACTGACCATTCACGTATAAAAACTCGCAGTGTTTCCGACTAACAACCTTTGATTTGAACCCGACTGGAGCATCCGAGGGTTCGGTCGGGTTAGGAAGGGGTACACCATCACGCTCTGAGTATCGACCGACACGAATCACGCAGCTCTCTGATGGCAAGGTTCGGGCGACTGGGGCGAAAGGCAACGAGGGCCTTGAGCTCTGGAGGGAGTCTTGATAGGGAAAGAACCGAATGGTCGCCTTGGTCTCCGGTTTTGAAGGGGTCGTCTGCCCCTCTACAGGAGCGCTAGTGGGCTCGACCACATTATTTTGAACAGTGCCTGGTTCAGGGGACGGGGTGGGCTCCTGAGAGTTGTTTGTGGCACGCTCTAACGTGCGAGGTGGCGGACGATGGACGGCCGAAGAGCTCCTCAAACGTGCCATAGAGCTGGGTGTTCGGGTAACGTCGTTGGATGGGGTAGAAGTGGAAGGCGTAGAAGAGGCCGACTCGGTGGACGAGACTTGACTATTGCGTTCGGCAGCAAACCCGTAACTCGGTGCGGGCGCAGATGTGTAACGAGAGAGGGGTGGGTGGTCAGGTTCAGGACATGGGGCCGAATTTGGAAAGATGGAGGCTGAATTCGAGGATCGCCAAGAAATTCTACTCAAACTGTGTCTATACGAGTGCCCGGGTAAAGATGACAGATTCTGGGTGTAAGTTCGTAAACTGAAGCGACGCAGGCGACTGGGGCGAGGGTTGTCAGGGAGGGAGGTGGAGGCGGTGACTGAAGTAGACATGGATTCGATTTCGCGACCATGAAAGAATAACATGCAGATGAAATAGTGCCCAGAGATTCGAGGGGCAACGTCGGGGATCTGCGAATGGGGTGATGCGCAAAGATTACCAAGACATCAGGGGAGGTAAGGGGATTGAGAAGCAAAGAAGTGAAACAAAGCTAAGGGAAGTTTTATTTGTATATCTCTCCTCTTTCCCTTTGTTAACATTTGACAGTCGGTTATTATGCCCTGACAGTCATCATTTCTTGGCAGTTTCCCCGCATATATATTTACTTCTACATTACTCCGTATAGGATAATATAAAGTACCTACTCTCTATATGATCTAAAGAGCAGATATAATATAACATGGTAAAACATGAAGAGAACGATGTTCCCATCGAAGTAAGTATATTGTATAAGACTAGCTCCATGTAGACCTAATCCTATATGACCTAAATCAAATTAGTTATGTACAACATGGGAAGCATCTGAGCAGATATAGTAAAGTGGTCTATGCTTTGACAGATTACTATAGAGTATAGAGTATACTCTGTACATACTCTTAATCTGAGGCAAAAGTAAACAGAACTAAACTATACATTTGATCTGCATACCCTATAAGCATTCCATGTGATATCCAAAAAAAATTAACACTAACACTCTATGTGACTATATCTGGTGATCATTTGCGTCACTTACAAAATCACAAGAGCAAAGCTGATGCCTCTATTGGTGCACATGTGTATAGCGTTGCACGGACCCTCGGGAGGCTGGAAATTTGTTGAAGACGGGAGATAAAAGGTAGAAGAAGTTTTAACTATTAGAACGTTGAAGGATATATATTGTACTACGTACATATGTACAGTGTTGTATGTGTAGATGCAGTTGATCTCCTATTCCGGATTGGTCAGCTTTAAGAGCTCCCCCGGGGCCCCGGAGCCGATGATGTATGTGTTGGAGCTTAAAGAAATATTGTATGGAGTAAAACATTTGAAGATCGAGAATTTGAAGATAATAAACATGAATGTATAATATCAAAGAGAAAAAAAAAATAGAATTAGATTGAAATAGTCAATTGAAACACTTAAATGTAGCCATTTAATCTCAAGTTTCTGCCTGAGGAGACTAGTTCGATCTCTCCCCCCTCCCTTAACAGATTGGAACTTCCTTCCTTCAAGTATCAGGAGGCTTCCCTCCAGTGACATTTTTTTTTCTCCCATCACGCGCCAGTTTTCCCTTGTGTTTCCTTCAGCTTCGGGTTTATTCGACTTCCTTAATCTTACCCCATTCATCGACCGTTCGCCTTTCACCTCTATCTCTGACTTCATAGGACCGCGCCCGATGCGGGCCTAGCCACAATGAGTGGAATTGCGAATGCCTGTCTGTCCTGCTTTTCAGCAGTAGACCGATGGTGTCATATCACAGCATGTCTCGGTCCCATCGGAGCTCGATCTCGAGACGGTATCTACGAAACCACCTTGGCTGATAATGAGCGAGAAGCGGTATCAGATCTTCTGGGCTACTTAGAGAACGTATGTGCTACCCAATCCACCATTCTACCTCGTTACCTTTCCATTTTATCAATCAGAGTCTGGGCCTTGGTTTGCCTGGGTACCGCTCTATTCCGTTCATACCGCTAACTTCTAGTGTACAGCGCGCGGAGACCGACTTCTTCCACGGCGAGCCACTACGAGCTTTGAGTACCCTGGTTTATTCTGAAAACGTCGACTTGCAAAGAAGCGCTAGCTTAACATTTGCTGAGATTACAGAGCGAGGTGCGTATCGTCGCTGGGATGACAATGATGCAATACCTGACTTTTGGTCTTATCTGTAGATGTGCGCGAGGTCGATCGCGATACCCTCGAACCCATCCTCTTCCTCCTTCAAAGCTCAGATATCGAAGTTCAACGTGCTGCTAGTGCGGCGCTGGGCAATCTCGCCGTAAATGGTTCGTGTTCACCCCTCCTCACCTCCTTTCCTGCTTCCTCCTCGGTCGCTAACTTGATGCAGCTGAGAACAAGGTCTTGATCGTCACCCTCGGGGGGCTGGCTCCCCTGATTCGCCAGATGATGTCGCCCAATGTTGAGGTACAGTGCAATGCGGTTGGGTGTATCACCAATCTCGCGACCCATGAGGAGAACAAGGCCAAGATTGCTCGCTCTGGTGCTCTAGGTCCACTCATTCGCCTGGCCAAGTCGAAGGATATGCGTGTGCAGCGAAATGCGACAGGTGCACTGCTTAATATGACACATTCCGGTAGGCGACTTCGATTGGTTCATATGGAAAAGGGCCGTTTCTCTAACATGGAAATTAGATGACAACCGACAGCAACTTGTCAATGCCGGCGCCATTCCCGTACTCGTGCATCTCCTCTCATCCCCCGACGTTGACGTTCAATACTACTGCACAACAGCTCTTAGCAATATCGCCGTTGACTCGACCAATCGCAAGCGACTCGCCCAAACCGAGTCGCGCCTCGTTCAATCATTGGTTCATCTTATGGATTCATCTACCCCGAAAGTCCAATGCCAAGCGGCGCTCGCCCTGCGCAACCTCGCCTCTGATGAGAAATACCAACTTGAAATCGTTCGGGCAAAGGGCCTATCTCCACTACTACGACTTCTACAATCCTCCTACCTTCCTCTCATCTTATCCGCCGTCGCTTGTATCCGCAACATTTCTATCCATCCTCTTAACGAATCCCCTATTATCGAAGCGGGCTTCTTGAAGCCGTTGGTGGATCTTCTAGGGTCGACCGACAACGAAGAGATTCAATGTCACGCTATATCCACTCTTCGCAATCTTGCTGCTAGCTCCGATCGCAACAAAGAACTTGTCTTGCAGGCCGGAGCAGTACAGAAGTGCAAGGACTTGGTCCTGCGTGTTCCACTTACAGTCCAGTCTGAGATGACTGCTGCAATCGCTGTGCTGGCTCTCAGCGAAGAGCTGAAGCCGCACCTTCTCAACCTAGGAGTCTTCGACGTCTTGATTCCTCTGACAAACTCTGAAAGCATTGAGGTACAAGGCAACAGCGCAGCTGCTTTGGGCAATCTATCCTCGAAAGGTATTCTACTTTTCCCTTAACTATCCTTATCTTTCTGCGTCCCGTTAACATATACTAACAAAACTGCAGTTGGCGATTATTCGATGTTTGTTCGCGACTGGGCAGACACCAATGGCGGCATCCATGGCTATCTTCACCGCTTCCTTGCTAGTGGAGATCCAACTTTCCAGCACATTGCCATCTGGACCCTCCTCCAACTACTTGAGTCCGAGGACAAGAAGCTCATTGGATATATTGCACGATCCGAAGACATCGTACACTTGGTCAAGACTATCTCTGACAAGAATATTGAGTCGGATGAAGAAGAAGTGGATGATGGTGAGGGTGAAGTTATTACGCTTGCCCGTCGCTGCCTTGAGCTGGTTGGAGCTGGTCCTAAGCAGACCCTGGTGGAAGCTTGAATCCTATGTTTCTAATTATCCCATTATTTTCTCGGTTCTCTGTCATGTCAGCCTTTTCTGTGTGACTCTTTCTTTCCCCGCCAAGGGGTATTGTATGGACATTAAATCCAGTTATTATTCACTTTCGTCAGCGGGCATTTGGAGTGATACGGATTCTTTTTATCTCTGTTGTTGTTATATGTCCAAAGTATTTCTGGGCCGGTGCCGCTGTCTTCCGCATACACTGTTTATTCATGTTAGATATGGGCTCTATAATTAATAGCCTGACAGATGGACTACAAATTGTAATTGAAAACATGTAGCATGATGTAGAGTGGTGGATACAAGCTGTCGGAATAACCTAAACCCGGGCCGTATTATAGCTCCCTTAAAAAAAAGCTGCCCTTTGCAAACTCTAGAACTCTTCCACCTCAAAATTGGCCAACACCAATTTTTCTTACAACATGGCTTCCCTACCACCTATTGCCATTCCTGGCCAACGCCTTGGCCCTTTATCCACATATTCTGCAGGCCCCGGCACACATGTTCAGCAGTCCTTCATCTACGCCTCCATCGCCGGCCCCGTGATTGCAGACCCTGCACACCCGAAGTCACAAACAAGACCAACCCTCAGAGTTTCACGAGTGATGTCTCCAAAAGACCAAGCAGGCTCACCCCCAGCTGTTCCCGGCGCCGCATCCCCAATGATGTCGAAGCCCCGCTACAACACCCTCCCCGCCGTGGACTCCATCGTTCTCGCCCGAGTGACCCGCGTGCAGAAGCGACAAGCCACGGTCTCCATTCTCGTCGTACTAGACGAATCGGCATCACAATCTCAAGACCAATCACGATCCACCTCTGACAATGACAATGTTGCCTCCATCCTCACATCTGCCGCCAACCCAGAGAACCACAGCAGCACTGATGAACTGCGCTTCCAGGCACTTATCCGGAAAGAAGACGTGCGGGCTGTTGAGAAGGACCGTGTCGTCATGGATGAGATGTTCCGTGTCGGCGATATCATTCGTGGCTCGGTTATCTCCCTAGGCGATCAGAGCTTTTACTACATCACTACCGCACGCAATGATCTCGGCGTTGTCATGGCTCGCAGCGAAGCTGGTAACATGATGTTTCCTGTTAGCTGGAAGGAAATGAGAGATCCTGTAAGTGGAACTAGTGAGCAGAGGAAGGTCGCCCGGCCGTTCTGAGACAATGCAATTGTTCGAACTCGGTCCCCTCCTTGCATGGCTTTTGGCTTTCCCTTTGAACGGCCAACGGCTTCGTGCCCTCTACCTCTACTGTTAACTAGCCACATAGTGGTTCGACAAACAACAACAACCAAGCAGACTTTGCCCCTGTCCACCATATGTCTGTGGCAGGTTTAGCCCATCCCCTGAGAGAATTGTCTTTCTACTTCCGGGATCCATGGGTGTTAACAAAACTACAACCCCCCAACCTTCACTGCGAGGGATGTCTTTCAAGCCCCCACACTTGTTCCATGCTCTCAAACAGCAGCATCCCGCTTGAGCATGATGACTCTCATGTTTCATGAATCTGGGAACCACCCCGCGTTTGACTCGATTGAATGCCAATGTGTGCTCCTGGACATGTATTATTGACATTGATAATGACTTCAGAATAAAGATACCCAACGGAGGCATGATTGAAAAATCCGTGTCATTTCCGTCCTTCCCTTTTCTTCGACCCTCGACTGCAGTCTGCCATCTGTGGTCACTTTTCTCCTTGCTCGTCTTTCCAAGTAGAGAGGCATCAACGCCGCTCCTCGTAGACCCAATTGGGTAACCCTCCTTAGTATACACGGTCGAGACCTATGCCATGTCGGACTGTGTTTGTCAAGTGAGGAAGATTGAAGTTTTTCTTTTGAAGAACACGCAGGAGACTCTCATCTTCTGTGAACCTCCAATTATTCATCTATCATGTCAAAGTCTGCTCAGTGTGACTTGACAGATGTTTGCGGAGTGACATGTCCAACCAATCCATATATCCTATCTTGATCTCAAAAGAACCAAAATGAAATAATGAAATGCAAATATATCTCCCATTTTTGAACTCTATCAGAATAAATAGTACACCAACCTTATTTCTTCAATGTCTTCTGTTTCTCAGCATCAATCAACTTACGTCCCTGAACAACCAGGCCCTTGCGACTGCGCACAGCATCCATATACCGCTTAGCAACATTCTCCTTATCAGCAAGCTCACCCAGATCCTCAAGTTCTTCCTCGGTAGCAGGAACCCAGAACGGATCCTCGTCGAGAGCTTCGAAGCCCGCGAAGATCAGTTGCGGTTGCGCGGCGCCGGACGTTCGCTTGCGGATCTCCTCAGCGAAACCGAATGACTCGGCTACGGGGAGAAGCGCCAGGATCGTGAAGAATGGTGTTCCTTCTTTCATTATTTCGGATTGGATGCGGCCTCGGCGGCGGGTGACTACTGCGTAGACCTTTCCTAGGACCTCGGCTGGAGTAGAGATGGTGTTAGTTGTGGGTTTTGCGTATGCTAGGGAAATACTTACTGGTGGCTTGAATCTCGCAACTGTACATCGCGAGCATGATCCGAGGACTCCAGTCCAGGAAACCGGCCGAGATACCTTCACGGACTAGTCTGATGGACTCGCCTGTCAACCGGCCCATATCGAGCTCATCGCCGGCACTAGATTGCACAGATAGGTCTTCTAGGAACACGGCCACGCCTTGCATAGGCTCCTGGCACATAGGGCCTTGGGCCGTTGCGAGCTGGAACGCATACGCGATCTTGTCGTTGAAGTCACGCACGAGTAGTGCTTGGTGGTTGTCACCGTCGATATGTTGCTTGATGTCATCGGCCAAGCTAGGAAGGAGTTAGATCCGAACGATACACACGGTGTTTTCGATACTCACAATTTCTCGCATGTGTTTACTGCAGTTGCATCAATCAGAATGTTAGGTCCGACTCTTCGGGGTCCGAACGCGGTGATTCGGTTCACAACGTTCTTCCATAGCTCCTTGTCTTCCTTGACCTCGTCGTTGAACAGCTTATTAAGTCCTTCGCGGAACTCCTGCTTGGAGAGAATGTTGCCTTCAGGAGCCTCGCCTGTACCGTCAACGGCAGCTTCGGCTGCGTTTTCGGTCTCTGTCTTTCCTTCGGTCTCAGAGCGCTTCTCCAATTGGAGCTGTTTGATAGTTCCGACTTGTTTAGTCAGGAATTCTGTCACGGCCGCTGGCATCGGCATCACGCGCAGACGTAGGGTCATTTGCTTGGAAGCAGAAACCGTCAGAACGGCTCCACGTCCGAGTTCGGGGTTCTTGGGTGCAGCCATTTCGGGGCTATCGACAATAGTTTCACGGTAAGGGACGATAGCCTCGCCAGTCTGGATTTCGCAACGTGCGAAACGCTCCCGCAGATCCGTCACACAACGCTCTAGGTGCAGTTCACCTGCTGTGAGGATAACGTGTTCACCGCTAGGGAGCACTTCGTACTGCGCACAAGGATCACTTTGTTCAAGCAAGCGCAAACCGGTAACCATTTTGCTCAGGTCCGCCGGGTTGACTGGTTCCAGCGCGACTCGGACGATGGGTGGCATGCTCAGCGACACACCAGCCAAGTTGATACTTCCTTCGAGTCGGCTGCACAGGGTGCCTGTCTTCAAGACGTGGCCTGCGAGACCTCCAATTCCGAACACCACACCAGCTGGCACGGAAGTGAGAGGCTCGAGAGCTCTGCCCATCATTAGGTACAGATCTGTGACTATGACCTTCTTTGGCTCCGGGCTGGCGTGAGGGTTGGCTGGGGAGAACTTGGGTGGGAGGACATAGATCTCATCACCAACAGTAAGAGTTCCGGAATAGAGTCGGGCGAAACCAATAAGATGATCAGGGTCATCCTTCTCTACTGGCTCTTCTGGCTCATCGATCGTCTCGGTGATCAATGAAGTGGCTTCGAAAATTTGTGTCATGCGGTCAATGTCATCTTCTTGTCCATTACTCCGAGCTTCTGCCTGCATCTTTGCAATCTCCTCACGCTTGCGGCGCGCGAGTTCAATGGCTTCGCCCGAAGTCATTGCGCCTTCTTTGCGCCTCTTATTAGACAGAAGCTCGCTCTCCGGGATGGCAACCATCTTGCTGACGTATGCCACGACGGGCTCCTCGGGTCCTGTCTTGAAATCCACCATGGCGGTCTTGATATCATCGGCAATGAAAGCTGCGCCAGGCGATGTCTTAATCATTTCCGGTAGTCGGGCGGCTTGCGCAGCGGGAGGACTGGGGAGATATTCAATGACGGAAACTAGCAAGGCAGTGGATAGCGGTAGCCATTGAGAGAACAGTGTGTTCATAATGTTCTTAGGGTCGCGTCCGCGCAAGATATATACCGGGATGTTAATATTGAGCGATTTAGTGATCTTCTCCAATAACACAGGGTCACTAGTAACAGTCAATATCACCGTTGACACGATACTTAGGCTCATTGTAAACTTACCCTTTGCCCTTGTCACCACCAGTGGTGGCTTGATAAGCTGCCCAAATACTATCCAAGACTAGTTGGACGAACATGGGCTTCAAAGCACGTCCCTTCAGGTGCTTCACACCCAAAACACGTTTAGTTTTGGGGTCTAGATAATAATCACCCCAGAGTACTTTCTCCAGAACCGTTCGCTTGATTCCGAGCTTCTTCTCGTAAATGGCGGCGAATTGCCGGATTGTGAAAGCCCAACCATCGACAGCACTGCAAAAGATGACGTTATTTTTCTCAGGTGCAAAATAAAGATCCTCGTCGTCGCGCTCTTCAAATTCAGTTCCTTCAGCGACACTTGGTGCAGATTCATCATCTGCCGACGACTTTTTATCTTGATCCCGAGCAGCAGCAGCGTTGACACGGTCTTCCATACGCTCACGCCACTGTAAATCTTCTTCCATGCGCTCGCCCTGGTAGAAACTACCGATAACAGCATTGACCTGTTCCAACAGCCGACTGAGATGCGAAAAAGCCTCAGAAGGGCTCATCTTGAGCTCTGTTACCAGGCGATCCATTTTGTTAATAACCAAGATTGGCTTCAACTGCTCGACCCAAGTTTGTCGCAGGACTGTCACGGTCTGACTACAGACACCTTCGACTGCGTCAACGAGCACAACTGCACCGTCACAAAGACGAGACGCGGTTGACACCTCGCTGCTGAAATCGATATGACCAGGTGAATCGATCAGGTTGATCAGATACTCCTTGGACACTGGGTCGGCGTCCGGGCTTGGCCGGCGGAGCATTGAGAAGAACAGTGAGATGGCTGAGGACTCCATTGTGATACCTCGAAGCTGCTCATCTGGACGAGAGTCCAGGTAGCGGATCTTACCGGCCAGCTTGGGTGAAATGATGCCATTTGTGGCAATAAGACTATCTGTCAAAGATGTCTTGCCATGATCCTAGAAATTCAAAAGAAAAGATGAGAATTTCAGATATAGAAAAAATTTCTAACTGTGAATTTCTTGACTTACAACGTGGGCCAAAATGCAGATCTGGTGGTTGAGATTAGTATAAAGCCCTGACATCAGACATCACAGTGGGATGGAGGGGCACACGCACATTTCTTATGTCCTCGGGCTTCCGCTGTAAGCGGACCAGCTGGTCGACATTAACCACAGGCATCTTGGCTGATAATGAGAGACCAAGAGTTGTAAAAGAAAGGCGACTGGATCCCGCAAGAGAAAAAAAAAAGTTGCAAAAGTTGCTGATAAAGATGCGACCTTGGCCGGGACCTTCAACAGCACTTCAAATTATTATTTCCGGCCCTTAAGTTGGAGTTATATAGACTGAATATTGACATTAGTATCTATATATATTCTTATATATGATTGGTATTGACCTTAACAGTCTTTAATCTTATGACGCTATACAATTCCCGTTTTGTAATCCTTCTATTGACTCATTATGAGTCCTCAAACGCCTTGGCCGAGTCAACCATCCACCTGGAAGCTGGCGCAAAGAAATATTCTACTTTTCAGCCCTTGCAGGACTCTCATTCCTCGTCGAAGGAAAGCTTGATCTTCTTGGGCTTCTTGGATTTCTTCAAAGTCGCTTTGGGCTGGACTTCTTCGGCTTCTGCATTGTCTTCACCCACCACTTTGGCCTGTTTTCGTTTCCTCTGGCCTCCAACTTCAGTGAGATTGTTCTGTTTGCTGGTAGAATGTTCTGTTTGGGATTTGTCTTGATCGCCAGCGGAGTTATCCTTTAAGTTGCTGGCCTCATCCTCTCCCTTTGGGCCGCTTTCTTCAACCAATGCTTTGTATTCCTCCTTGGAAATCACCTCGTTGCTTTCTTCATCAAGGTAGGTAGGCTCGTCATCGTCGTCGTCCTTATTGACTTTGAGTCTGGTGGGTCGTAAGGCAGGTCGCTCTAAGCGACCGGTGTTGTCTCCATATTGGCCCCGGAGCTTCTGGAGAAATGCAGGCTGCTTTGCATCTGTGTAACATATTAGAATGATATACGACAATTTATAAAGGCGTGGAGCGACATACCATATTCAAACTTTGGGTTTTTAGGCATGATGATGACGCTGTATTTGCTTGCTAGCTTTCAAGTGAAGCTTTGTACTTGGACTGCTCTCTGCCTATTTTGTAGATCATTGAGAAATATCCATTCTGTTCAATCAAAATAGATCGGTTATCTCTATGTGCAAAAAGACCAAGAATTAGAGAACTTCCAAAGTCGATAGCTGCATGGTTATTAAGGTGATCAATTGCGACCAACCAGTTACTGAATCTGATTGGTATATTTTATCCACCGCTCTATCTACCGCCTACCCTAACCTCATATATAAAAATCGAAGAGGCTAGATATATTCTGCCAGCACTATTTGCCTGACTTACGTCACTGCTGGTCGCAATATTCCGCCCTATTACACCGCTTTCTAGCTCAATGCGCTAAACCGCAATAGGACTCATCGAAAAGTCCAAGGAGCCGTTTCGCGTCAAGTCCTCTCATCAACCCTCATCAACCAATCCCAATTAACTATGCTTTGTGCTAGTAAGTGGCCTCATATTGATAGCCATTTTGTGCTCTTCTATGAAATGAGTTTTTTTGACTGACCTTTTCCTATAGTCTCCGGAGAAGCACCTCAAGTGCCCGTCGTCTCTACCAAGAGCGGTAAGTCCTCGAAATCATCTTGCGCGCACGACATCAATCTCATAATTAAACAGGCAGTGTATTTGAAAAACGCCTCATTGAGGCATACATTGCCGAACATGGCAAAGATCCCGTGAACGGCGAGGAGCTTACTACCGACGATCTCATTGATCTCAAGTCGCAACGCATTGTCCGACCCCGACCCCCTACCCTCACATCCATCCCGTCTCTTCTCGGAGTTTTCCAAGAAGAATGGGATGCTTTGGCTTTGGAAACCTTCACTTTGCAGCAAAACCTGGCACAGACACGGCGCGAGCTAAGTGCGGCGCTCTACCAGTACGATGCTGCGGTGCGAGTGATCGCGCGCGTGACGCAGGAGAGGGATGAGGCCCGTGACGCACTCTCGAACGTTTCTGTCGGTGCCACTCGCACCGGGGGCGAGGCTATGCAGGTGGACTCTACGGGCTTGCCCCAGGCAGTGTTGGAACGGATTGAGAGCACACAGGCAGCGTACGTGGAATTGGTGCTTTGTATCTTTCATCTTTGGATCGACGGCTAACTATTGGACAGGCTATCTAAGACCCGGCGTAAGCGCACAGTCCCTGAAGGATGGGCATCGAGTGAGACTATTTCCACATTTAAACCGACTGAGACCTCCGATCCTCTCTACCCCGGTGGCCGTGCTTTGTCTATCAACGCAACTGGTGAAATGGCTCTCGTTGGTGGTGTTGACGGTGTGGTTGGCGTCTACTCGCTCACTCAGAAGAGTGTCGTACAGACCCTCAAGACAGATGGCGCAGTCACCGGTGCGACATGGGCAGGAAACAAGGCCGTTGTTGGCTCCTCTACTGGCTCCGTCAAGGTCTTTGAGAATGGCGCTGAAGTTGCAAGCTTCGCCTCCCATGCTGGTGAGGTGACAGCTGTCACAGTTCACGCTACTGGTGATATTGCTGCCTCCGTTGGTGTCGATAAGAGTTATGTGCTTTATGATCTTGCCACAAACACCGTGGTTTCTCAGATTTTCTGTGATGCAGGTGAGAAGTCACCCTATGAAACACATGTACCCAAGCCCTATGCTAATTGATTTTATTCAGCTCTACTGTCTGTCAGCTTCCACCCCGATGGTCACTTGATCGCTGCTGGTGGTGCAGATGGACAAGTCAAGATCTTTGATGTCAAGACGGGCGCCGCTGCTGCAGACTATGCGATGTCTGGCCCTGTCAAATGTTTGTTCTTCTCTGAGAATGGTACCTATTTGGCTGCAGTGGCCGCGCAGTCCACCACTGTGTCGATCTGGGATCTTCGCAGCTCCAAGGAAACCAAGGTGCTCGATACAGGAAGCCAGATCGAGTCAATCTTCTGGGACTACACTGGCCAATTCCTCTTGACTGGTGGACCCAGTGGAGTGACTGTCCAGCAGTACTCCAAGGCATCCAAGGCGTGGTCAGAGCCTCTGCGGAGTGCAGTCCCTGCTGTTTCGGTTGCTTGGGGATCAGCTGCTCAGAGTATTGTGGCATTGAATGAGGCGGGTGCGATCACAGTGCTAGCGGCACAATCATGATCACCAGAAAAATGTAATATCAGATCACGCTATTCTCTGGGTTTTCAATGGTGTTTGTTTTGGAAAACTGCAGCTCTTGAAGCCATGATATTCACAGACAATGAATTTCCAGATGGATATTCACATGTAAACTTAGTCATGAATGAAAGATCATGTGAATTCATATCTTTAATTGAATCAATCTTGCTACTTGATATGACATATGGATAGTGACAAATATCTACAGAATCAAGTTAAATATCTGCTCCTAGAGCCACTTGATCTCGCCCACTTGGAATCTTCTCAACCCGATAAACTTTACGTATGAGTCCACACCGCCTTATAACGCTGGCAGAGCGCGACCGCCTTTCGACTCGACCTAGAAACAAAGATGGATTTCACTCTTGCTCTTTCACCTACCTGGTGGCCTTCAATTTCCTCTTTTTCTCCAAAATACCACTCCTTGACCCCAGCAGTAGGTTATTCAATGAATGAAACCCCTGGCGTCCAGTTCATGGGCGCCAGAAACAAGGTAAGCCTTCATCAGCCGTGAAACGGGCGGGGCACCTGATCAGATCACCAAGAACACAGCTAATAAGATTACTCTTGCTCTCAGCGAACACGTCGTGAAATGTCCACAGAAAATGATGGAAGCGGCGATTCCGTCTGGGAAGACCACTTCCATCCCCCTCGCTCCAACCACGCCCGATCTGAATCTACCCGCTTGCCACCCAGAAGACCTGGGGATGGTCTCGACTACCGCCGGCCAGTGACGCTTTCGCATGGAGAGAATGTCGTTATTGACTTGACAGACGAGCCGGACTCTCCCCCTCGCCGTTCGGGGCTACAGTTTCCCCAAGATTTGATGAACCGCACGTCCCCTCCGGCCGATCATCCTACTGTGATTGATCTCGAAGCCGAGCCAACGGTTGATCCAGTACACTCTTCGCCAAACAGTGATGATGTTCAGTTTCTTGAGTCTATTTCCGTCAGACCAAGACCAATAGAACCCAGGTTCATAGACAGCAATGGTATTCCAATGCACTATCCCCCATACACACGATCAGCGCGAGGATCGGGACTTGGACGATCGAGAAGAGAAGAAGAGGATATTATGCTTGCTGGGCGTCGACTCTATGAGCGATTAGAGTCGATGCGTGGAACGATTCTTCTTGGAGCGCCCGATTATACTCAACCTAGTCAGCCACCGCCCTCGTCCCGTCGATCATCGTATAAAGGGCTCAGCCCGGCCCCAGAGGGATTCACTCGGCTTTTGGCGGAAGATGACGTTCCTGTCTGTCCGAACTGCGAGGAAGAGTTGGGAACGGGGGAAGGGCTGAAACAACAAATTCATATCGCAAAACCATGTGGTCACGTGAGTATTCACATCCTCTTAAGCTAATAAAGTCCATTGTGTAAACTAACTGTTTTTTCAGGTATATTGTGGTGAGTGCGCTACGAATCGGGCCATCTCCAAGGCTAAGAAGGCAGCTTCGAAAACCAAGCCGTTCTCAAAATGCCAAGTTGCAGGTTGCAATAAACCTGTGAGCAGCCCGGCAGCCATGTACCACCTTTATCTGTGATTTATCCTGGGCATTTCTTTTTGCGGGCACTCATTTGCATTCTGGTGTTGCGGCCATATTCTTTCCTCATTTCGTCGATACCCAAGATGCATGGAGCTGGCGGGCGTTTATTTCAATATCGATCTATATCAAATCATGAGCCGTCCAGGGCTCTCTTATACATTTTCTGTGCCTCATGGCTCATCTTGTGTAGATAAATCCCATTGTTCAATGGGTACAGTATCTCTGTAACCTACTAGACTATCTATTCACTATTTGGCTTTGATGGAATGTCATTGAACTTAACTTGGGTAAACTTGAATAATCGGTCGAGATTCTTACTACCATCATTTACCAAAATGGGAGGAATGATTTAACGAGCGCCGTTTTTGGTCCCAAAATAACCATTCAAACCCATTCAATGGCAGTAGTTTTGTAGAACCCTATTATTAAATAGTAGATCCATAACTATACTATATCTCTTCTGGAGCTTTCCTATTTTACTATCATAGTGGCTTTGTTGAGGTTGATAGTTTAGAGTGGATATTTAAACTAGCACGTGATGGACAAACTCCACCTTGGGCAATGCTTATTTTCCTATTTCTGGCCTCTAATTGGATGGTCTTGTCATTAGTGTGGTGTGAACCGGGTAGTTGTGGGGGGGGGGTCTTATGTAATGCTAAAAAGGGTTAACTAACTACCCATATCAAAAATGGCTACGGAAACTTACGCCAAGTATTCGATAGAACCCGACCCTCTCATAGTGGTAAAGCACATATGACTGAAACTTCATATGTAGTATACCTAGGCATATCCCATAGCAAATACATATCCTTTTCAAGGTCTGAATCTCTACTTCCTATTTAGGTCAACCTTGGAACCGAACCCCATCAGCGCCTCTGGGAAATGGGTCGTGCTGAAACAGAGCAGACGTGTAAATGGGACGTTACAGGTGGTGAACTACGTGCGTTGGAGAAATTTCTCAGATCTATGATGGCGTTCGAACCGGCGGAACGACCTACAGCGGATCAGCTCCCGAAGTCTGAGTATATGGTAAAGTGGGCGTTACCTGCATGGGAAAGGCAGAAAAGGCAGAAGAAGCTGGAAAATGCTAAACCTGTAGATGGGGAGCATTAGGCTGCATCTATGTAAGCAGGAAGGGTCAACCTTGGAACGGATATGCTTTAGCTAAGATATTGCCAATGTCGTTGTCTCGTTGGATGAAGAGCATTATTCCTCATCCCAAGAAATAGTTGTCATTGCATTTCATTGCATTTCATTACTGTCATACCTTTGTTGGATAACCTTTCAAATTTGCATTATTTGACTAATAGTACATGAAGAAGATCCGCTCCTTTCTGAACCTCAATTCAAGTCATCTCTGAAACAACTCCCAGAACATACCTCTGGCACTCAAGAGTTGTTGTGGTGCTCCCATTTCACACACAGTGCCATGATCCAGGATCATGATCAAATCCGAATCCATCAAAGTATTGATCTGGTGGGCAATCGAGATGACAGTCCGTCCTTTCAGTCGCTCATGAAGAAGCTCCGTGGCCAGTTTCTCCGCGTGCTCATCGAAACCACCAGTAGGCTCATCCATGATGACTATTTTACCAGGTGATAAGATAGCACGGGCAATGCAGAAGATCTGCTTTTGACCATTGGACAGATTAGTTGAATCGATATCCGCGTTCAGGCCACCATGCTCGCTAATCTGACTCCAAAGCCCGACTCCCTCTAGGGCAGAGATGATCTCCGAATCATCAACTGCGGATGATATTCCGAGGGAAATATTTTCACGGACAGAACCGGGAAGAAGAAGGGGGCTTTGGGAGATTGGGACCAATGCAGAATGAAACATCTGTTTGGGAACAGTTGAGATGTTGATGTCATCGATGTAGATTCCGCCGGACGTGATCGTTGCGAGAGAGAAAATGCAAGCAAGTAAAGAACTCTTCCCACTATTGAACTTCTTAGTTATCCCTTATTCATAAGAGCCTTTCTAGACTTACCTTCCAGTTCGCCCACAAATGCTGAGTTTCTGTCCACCATGCAGTGTAAACGAGATGTCCCGTACAACTGCACTAGAATCATGCTCCCTAAGAGCAATATTAGTCTTTTGATTTATTTCAATTTGCCTTGAAGAGCAATGCTCAAAGAGACACTTACCCATATGACGCAGAAACCCTTCGAAATACTATTCGACCTTGCGAAGGCCAGCCCTCTGGACAAGCTATTTCTCTTCTAGCAATAGGCTGTAGCTGTGGGTCATTGGCAAATCGTTTGAGTCTTGCAAGTGCGCCCAGAGAAGTCTCAAGCTGTGTCCAATTGGTGATCAATAATGTTAACGTTGAGTTGAATGAAAGCAAGTTCACAAGAGCAACACCGACAGCCCCAGAGGTACTTTGCTTTGTCACAAAAACAGCCAATGCAACCAGAACAGTGGCAATTCCCGCAACAAGTAGATCCAAAACAACACGTAACCACTGTTGGATGGAATACATGATGTAGAATGGTTTATGGGACGTGTCCAGAAGGTCTGTGTTTCGATCTGCAAACTGACGTTGCCAATTAAATGCACGCACTGTAGTCAGTCCTTCTGTTGTCTCCAGAAAGTGGGTGTAAAGAGGAGACTTTGCCTCGAGATCGATGAGTCTGATCTGTCGTGAAGTACGCAAGTAGAAAGTCTGGATCATCCATACTGCAAGGATGCAGAACGGGATCACGATAGCCATGTAGTTTGATCCAGTAGAAATTAAGGCTCCTTGTGCGATACAGGTTAAAAAGGCTACTCGATAGTCAGCATTTAACTATCTGGTACCGTTGGAGAAAAAAGGGTATTTCATACTCTGAAGTGTAACGCCGAAGGCAACTGGAAGCTGCATGTCGAGAAGAGACATGTCTTGGCTAAACCTGGAGATATTCAAAAGTTTCAAGTTGGTATATCTATTGAAAACCAAGATATTGGTGTGTAGCAAATCCGTGGCTTACCTATTGACCAAACTTCCTGTGTCTATCCGGGCCAGACTCGGCCACGGCGATCTAAAACATTATCGGCAACAAATTTAGTCTAATATTGAAGGGATCTCTCTTACTAACCTCATTATTGTGTCTAGGAAGATTTTATGCAAAGTTATCGGCGGACCTGGGAGTAGCCCAGACAAAAAAGAACCTAGGATGTATGAGATATCTTCATAAATGCAGAATATGCAGTGCTTCAAACATACCCGATAAAAGTTCCTATCGCAATGATGGCGATGAACGAAACGCCAACGTAGGAACCAAGATAAAGATGGTTTCTTCCAGGAACCGAGCTACACCACCAGCTAAGTATGACCTCTGTGAGGGTATATAGTAACATTGACTCTGGATGTATCTGCTATTAGGTATACTCACGTGGAAAGGCAGTGCAAAACACGTATAGGGTTGCGAATAGCAGCGCTAGCCCAAATGCCCACCAACCGAGCGAATTGATGTAATAGCCGTAAAGCGAGATGTCCCCAATACCTCGCGATATATTAGAAGTGGTCTCTCTTTCCCGTGTTTCTCCGACTTGATTATTTGCTTCCTGTGTCTGCCCGAGGTTGGAGTCACTCTCTTCGATCTCGCTGTGTTCAAGGCCCGCGGAATATGAAAGGCTCAGTATGTACTGATTCTTTTCCACAAGCTCTTCGAAAGACCCTTGACCTTCCATATGACCGTCCTTTGAAAGAACAATCACATTGTCGGCTTCTTTCAGATGTTTCTCTGGTGAAATATGGGGATTGGTCAGCGCCATAAATATTTTTAAGTGGTAAATTTAGTCTAACCCGCTGTTGTCACAAGAATGGTTGCGATACCGACTCTCTTGGCCAGGCCAGAACGACCAAGCACTTGCTGGAAGATTGACCTCGATGTCACTGCGTCCAAGGCGCCGAAGATGTCATCTAAAACCAGCAAAGATGGCCTTGCATAGATTGCTCTAGCCAAAGCCTAATCCAAAAAGATTAGCAGCCAAATGATATGAGGTCGCCGGTATACTTACCACTCGCTGCTTCAGTCCTCCACTAAGCTGGGCTCCCGAGCTCCCAGTTACTGTGTCAAGGCCAAGAGGAAGGCCAATTCTTCCAACATCCAGGGCACAGGCATATATCACCTCTCTGAGCCACTGCTGGTCAATGGGCGATTCGCCGATGATGTTTGTTCTTAGTGTACCATTGAATATCCATGGTGATTGCTGACAATACGCCATTTTGACAGAGCCAAGATAGAATGTTCCTTCTGTGCGGTGCATCTCACCCAGCATGGCTTTGAGTAAGGACGACTTGCCAGAACCAGTAGGGCCAGTAATGACTGAAAACGAAGCGTGCTGTATCTTCAGCGGTAGTCCACGGAGTATCACAGGGGCATCTAAGCTCAAGCTAAAGCAGCAATCAGTCATGCAGACAAGAGCCTCGGACTGAGTTGGTACTAATTGAAGTTCCATTCCCGAGGCGCTTGCAGGCACCAAATGTTCATCAGTGGATGGATCTTCGTCCACTCGGCTTTTCTTGCGAAGAAATTCTTGGATCCGACCAAAACAACCAATAGCGGATGCCAATTTAGTCAACGAGACAGATAACAGTACCACCGGCTCTGTCAAAAGAGAAATCAAGGACAAAGCTGTGAAAGAAACATCGGTCCTGGGTGTCTCTAGCCCAAGGTTCAGCTGTGTAGCGGCGTACACAGCTATAGTTAAAGCGGGGGCGATGAAAGTCGATATCGCGCTCAAAACATTGACACCGACAATCATTATCGTTAATGAGAAAGGGCTGGGCGAACTTGAACCCAATCAAACAAAGGCGAGGGGCGACTGCCGCTGCCACTGTCCACTTCAAGTCGTAGGTGATGTTACAGAACAGTGCGAGCCGTCGTATGCATTTCGCTAGAAGCCATAATTAGTATCAAGGTTACACATCCTATCTCACTTGGACATTCGCCTTCGTTGTTCATCCATTGCTGATGATGGCGAGAGGTAATGAGCTTGGAACTGAGACCTTCGTCCAGGGGAAAGAGATTATCGAGGGATAAGTTGCCTCGGAAGCCACCAATGAATAGCCGGTTGAGCCACCAGTAGGTACTGTGACTGAAGATTCCGGCTGAACTTTCTGGTGATATATGGCCGTATCGCAGAAAAAACAGTTTATGCGTCTCCAGCAGGAGCAACAGGGAAGAGATTGTGAGTGCAACTGTCGCTATCGCTGCGATGGGGTGATTTGCAGGATGTAGCAGCCACAAAGTCCGAACTTGGGCGATTCCAAATATTATGCTTCCTAGCAAATAAATGCAAATCAAACTCGAGGGCCCCAGTGAAAAAATGTCCTCGACTGCCAATAGGTTATGCAACGCCCAAGTACTAACCACCGCGACTACGGCGGATGGAATCGACATCTTTGTTTTTGGAGAGTTCGACAAACACCACAAAATGAGGAGAGCAATCTTCAGTAAGAGTAGTATTCTGGATAATACCTGCGTGGTACCCCAAAGTCAAATTAGCTTTCAAGCCAACGTCTGGAAACACGGAGGCAAAAGGAAGACCTACACTTTTCAATCTAGAAGCACAAACGTACACGAAGTCGGGATCTGCGAATGGGATTTTATGGAGCAACCGAAAAAGACATAGAATAAGGAACAAGAGATCCGGAGTCAAAGCCAGAATCGCCTGTTCAAAGAGCAAGGTAAAGTCAAACTCGCGACGGCATGGCAGCACTCGTGGTCCGAAGTGAGTGTCGGCTGAAATATCGCACTCCATCTTGACTTTTCTTTCAAGTGAAACATTCAGGTGGAATGTCAGAGAGATGAGTGGGGGAAGAGAGGGAAGAGAGGGAAGGAGGATCAGATATGAAAGGCCAGAGGATGATCGAACGGTCACACGTGCTCCTTCTAGGTGTGCGATACAAACACACGCCTTCCAGAACTGGTCAAATAGATTACATACTACCTAGGTACTTATGTTTGTAATTCAAGAGGTAAATGTGGTGGTTATTGAATCTACATACAAGAGTATCTGCGGCTCTTTCCCAGAAGTACTAAGATTCCCCGAGCCTCCGAATCATTGCATGACTCGCTACCTTTTTCTCTTGATGTCTTGAGGTTTCTCTTTGGATATTCACCGGTACTGGACCCAATGTCTTTCTACGTTTGTTCAAACTTCCGTATCTCAAGTATCTCAATACTTAAAGTAGCACGGATTTGACGATTGGAGCATTATTGAACTCTCAGTCCCTCAATAATATGCAGTACAAATTAACATACTCTATCCCCATTGCCCAAGACATCATTTCCACAGGTCCACCATTTAAAGCTAAGCCATCTAGCCTATGAAAGGCAACTGGAATTGAGATCATTACCGCATGTATACTGGTGATACTATTCAAAATGGGTCGGGTATGCCTATTACAGCAAAATCCAGCTATGACGAGTTAAGTGAGGTACAGGAAAGCGTTTATCAATAATATCCTGTAAATATTGCTATTTGACTTAAAAGCTCTATACAAAAGAAAACACATACCACAGAATCTGCATTTGCAGTAACCCGATCTATGGCAGACTTTTTTTAAGTCTCAACAGGCACAGCATGCATTTCCATCCACTCAGTTAACTTATCAAATCGGCGACATTTGTGGTGCGTAGAGAAATCTGCTTCGCCCCCAAGCGGCTTGGATTCATCCAACCTCACCAGTGCGGGCGTCACGTCAACTGTACACATGAGATGAATACGCAATGTCTCAATACAGTGGTTGATATGGGTTCTTGACATCTCCTGAGATCTCTGAAATCCTTCAGGTGGCACTTCATATGAGTCCAGGTACGTGTACTGTCGGATCATGTTCTAACGCGAGAAATTGAAATTAGTGACTCAAATCATATATCTACATATATATGTTGTTATCCACATACCAGACAGTGTAGCTGATGGAACACTTCAACGTTAGCTTCGGCACCTCCACCATATTGTGCAGGTGTTAGCTTCCAATTCACATCCATCGACCGATTGAGGGAGGGCAACCTGTCCAAAGGAATGTTGATATCGTTGTCTATACATTTTGAGCAGCTTAGTCAAAGGTTAAATTCACTGCAGTACTCACGTCTCCAAAGACGACTCCATGCGAGTTCTAATTTGGGAGTCGGTGACCCCCGATAGATGGACTCCTGATCGAACTCGTTTGCCCAGTCGACCTCGTAATATTCTACTGCCTCTGACATTGGAGCTAGAATGGTCGCAATTAGCAATTTTTTCAAGGGGACTAGGTCACTTGGCTGGGCAGTTTAAACCCTACAGTAAGATGATAATTGCATCGCACATTTTAACTTACTGGGTGCAAGAATAGTGAGCGATGCAGCAAACAGCAAGCAGGCTCCTCCGAACAATCCAATAGAAATAGCCGTTAGAAACATGGTCTGGCAGCAACTTCGATGGGTGTGGGATTTTCTTTCTCCGATGAGAGGCAAATTGTGTTGCTCTCCGTGTTCTTCTACTGAGAGGTCTTCTTGAGATTGCGGTACCCTCGTATAAGATGACGTGGCCATCGTTTTACTTATACTCAATATTAATGCTTTAACACTCTTATGAGTAAGCCCAGGATATTGGGAAGTAACTAGAATATAATGAATGAAAGAGCCGATGAATTGCGCCGATTGGCGACGATTCCCAAGGCCTGAACCAAGCAGAAAATCCTCAAGATAGTTATTGAAAAAGCTTAAAGGGGTCTTTCAATCTGAATTTGTCCCGATATTCCGGTATAAATGTAGTATCTATCAGGGAAACCCGTACCTACTAGCCCTACGACCGAAGGACATATGGAAGTATCTTACAACTAGGTAATTATTCCTCTTACCCATTGGGGCCAATTCTGGCATATTGAAATTGCTTCTCATGCATTGTTAATTGGTGGAACATAAACACCCATGAGTATGTCTAGTTAGGTATTGACGGGTCGCTTCAGTAAGTACATTTGCTCCTGGGACTTTAGCGACGCATCTACGTCCAAATTCCTATAAAGATGTGCCATTTCCCACGATTATACACAATCTGTTTCTTTATTCTATAAAATTTGCACACATATAAGAGCTTAACTTTTCTCTCCCATCCTGTTAGAATGAGATTCGCGTCTGCTTTGTTTGTTGCGCTCGCTGCCTCTTTTGTGGCTGCAGTCCCCGTTAGTTAGCTTGCCCAATGAAGTATCTGCCGGTTATTGGTTCATCAAGGCCTACGATGGAGAACACTCTCCCAATCAGGACATTGCTGCCGCTTTCCAGGATGACAAGGCTGCTCAAAGTACTAAAGAGGATGCTACCGGTCTCTTTTACAAGATAGCCTGTGATGGGGCGAAACAGGTCACAGCAAAGGTCAGTATAATCTCTATTAACCTTCAATAAAATAAGTCACTAGATAGGGCAGTAGAACTCATCCTGTTAGTATATTGCACGATCAAGCGAACTTCTATGAGATCCCAGGAGCGTTTCATGGAGCCCTCATTTGTAACGTACAACACAATTCAATTAAATTTGAAATTATTTTATCCACAAATCGGTCATTACTTACGTCCTAGTTAGTTATTCAAATAGTACAAATGAACTTTAGCCCATATCTCGAGCTAAACGCAGCCCCTAAACGCAGCCCAATATTGATGTCTAAAGACGGAAAGGCCCATTGCAATATTCTTCGGTTATCTAACGTTTTGCTTTGGCAACACATATATAGTGGATTTGAAAGAAGAGAGAGGAGAGATGTCCCAAACTTTGTAGTTTCTAGGGATGCCCAGGAAGGGAGAACAAGTGGATATAAATTGAAGTAGAAACCACCGCCTGAGGTGCCTTTTGTCAAGAGGTCTTTCTCCCTCTTGTAGAGAACATCTTTCTACTATCCTACCTCATGGGTACATTACTTTGAATGAACGATGTGTTTTCGAATAGCTCCATGGTCATTTTTAGTAAGGGACTTTTGTTGATGGCCTTTCAGGGCTCAACAATTTTGGCGTTCATATAGTTCGTTAGCAGTTATATCGAGCGTTACATTATAAAATGTACTGTTTTGCTGATCCTTGTACAACTTATTGATGTCCTACTTAATCGATTTCATGTAGCACTTTGCTGGCTAATAATAACTAAACAACATCATACATAGGCAGGCATGTAGTTACCAGAAGTAGTCGAAGTACGTAGGCTTCGGCGGCTATTCTTGGTGCATTTTATAATTTCTAGACTTGCTTAATTACCCCATGGAGAACTTCCTCTATGTATCACTCAGCAAATTATTGGATATCGGAATAACATTTACAAGTCCTTTGCGGACGTCACGGGTCCGGTCAAAAGGCAGGCATCGAGACATTCAAGCCAGAAGTTGCAGAGGAAACCCAGTGCGGAAATACTACCTACGTTGCAAATGCAAGCATGTACATACGGACACGACATATGTGCAAGCTTGCAACATCCTAACTTGTATATCTCAACCACAGCACAAAATCAAAGACGGACATACTCGAATATGAAATATAGGTGAATCTTGAGTACAATTGATCATTGCAGACTTGTTGTCCTCAAATTGATGCAGGCTCGAATTTGGTATGCATAAAATATGGTCAAAACACCATTGGCTTCCAGGTAGCAAATAGACAAGAATGAAGAAATAAAACAGAACCCAGGTCAATAGTACAGTATATTGCAGTGGGGACACCTGATAGTCACCACTGCTGGGAGAACAAGAACCGTGAAGAAAAATGAAACACCCCCGTCTAGACACCCCGAAGATCGCCGTGGTATGGTGACCAGATACCACGCACACTCTCGTTCAAACTTGTGACCGGCTTCTTGACTCGCTTCAACTTCTCTCCACTGGCTTCTTTGAGGAGATTTGCTTTCCTCAGGATTTCAGAGGGTTCCAGGTTCCGTACACATACGGGCTTCTCACGGCCGTTGATGTAGGTGCCCTTGATTAGAGGGTGCTTCTGTGGTCGGGGAGAGACGCGGATCTCAATCTGAGGGTTTTCGCGAGCGAAGTTGGCGAGGTTTTTCTGCAAGAAAGCACTGCGACGTTCAATGTCAGTACGGATGTTTATGGAAAGTCAAATTGCACCATTTAGGATACACCTACACCATGCCCTTTGAGCTGCCCGCCGAGTTGCAGTAATGGAAGTCAAGGCGTTTGCATTGTAGGATAAAGGCACCGGCGCCGTTCTAAACAGATAACCTTGGTCAGTTCGGCAATTGGATCTCAAAGATCTGAACTTCACATACTCTGGCTGCCGTAGAAGTTCTAATTCCGCGCAACGGCATCGTTCTAGTCGTCAATAGTTATCGTCGTAGTTTACAAGCCGCGATGGCTCTCCGGGGCATTTTCTAGCTCACGTGACCAGCGAAGGCGGTGAGTGTGCAGCACCAATGGCGGGTGCAGTGAACTTCCATCATTCGACGCTAAGACCAGAACTGCGACGCGAAGCTCTCACTCCTGATCAACTTCCACACATCGTCTTCACTCCACACCCCGACTTTGTCAGCATTGGGTTCGTAACTCAATATGACAGACAAGCTCCCCCCGCCGCTTTTGGCGCTATTCCAACCTCGTCCACCCCTTCGATATCTGCCTCCAAGCGATCGCGCACCAGATGACTGCCAGAAGAGCACCATCTCTGGAGTTGCGCAGTTCCTTGCCGATGCTAAAACTTTCGCCGATGAAGTCCCCTATAATGCAACTGAAAGCTGGGTGCAGCGCAAGTTGCGTCAGAAAATTGAGAAGAAAGAGCGGCTAGAGAAGCAGATAGCCGAAGGACTGCAAAACTGTACGATTTGTCTTCTTTTCAAATTGTTTTAATTTCAAAGGGCTAACATGGCTATATCTTATAGTCAATCCAGAGAAAGATCCTCAAGCTCGAGGTGATCCATTCAAGACACTCTTTGTTGCACGTCTCAGCTATGATGTCAAAGAAGCCGACTTGGAACGAGAGTTTGGCCGATTTGGCCCAATCGAAAGAGTACGTCTGGCTTTTCTTATGCTTTATGAAAATTATAAGCGCTAAATCGTTGTGACAGATTACCCTCGTTAAAGATACAGTATCAGAGAAGAAAAAGAAACCCCACCAAGGCTATGCATTCATCGTGTATGAGCGCGAGAAAGATATGAAAGGTATCACCCCACCGTGCCAAATAGGTTGGCATTAACCCAACCTTTTTATTCCGTCATGCGGTAAGAAATGGTGCTAATACCAGTTATTTCCCCAATATCAGCGGCCTACAAAGAAACAGATGGCATCCGAATCAAAGACCGACGAGTCCTGGTAGATGTCGAGCGTGGCCGCACCACCAAGGGGTGGAAGCCTCGCCGCTTTGGTGGCGGTCTCGGAGGGCGCGGATACACTAAGGCCATGCCGTCCCGCCCCGGTGGCCCTGGTTTCAACGCACCATCTGGACCTGGTGGGTATGGAGGCGGATTCCGCGGAGGCTTCGGTGGCAGAGGTGGAGGTGGTGGATTCCGTGGAGGAGGTTTCCGCGGCGGTGATCGTGGCGGTGATCGCTTTGGTGGTCCTCGCGGTGGTATCGGATACCAGGGTAACCGTGGCGGCTTCGGTGGACAGGCTCCCCCCAACGCCCCCTCCGGCCCCGGCGGTGGACGCAGTGGAGGTTTCAGAGGTGGCTTCGGCGGTGATCGTGGCGGTGACCGTGGTCCCGGTGGCAGATTCGACCGTGGTGTAACCGGCAGCAATTCAGAGCCTGTGCGGCCTCGAGACAGCTTTGCCGATCGTGACCGCCGCGACTATGACCGCGACGACCGTTACAGAGATCGTGATCGTGACCGCATGGGAGACCGAGGAATGGGAGATCGAAACGGAGGAGACCGATTCCGCGACCGGGATCGTGAGCGTGGTGGCGATAGGTATGGCGGCAGCCGCGATGGTGGTCGCGACGGCGGCCGTGATGGCCGGGAGGATTACGGACGCAAGCGAAACCGTGAGGATGAACCTGGACACGATGATCCTCGTTCCAGGAGAAGGTACTAGGCCTTCACTTATCCCCCGGATCTTACCTCTTTCCGATCAAAGTCTGGGTTTGCTGGTGGGTATAACTGATCTACCCTGTTTCCATGACTCCTTCTCAAGGGTAAGGGGGTGAATCATGAATTTGGCCCATGTGCAATTCGGTCCATTGTAACGATCACAACCGTCAATATTTCCACCTCATTCCGCGATTTCAGCATCAAACCTCCATGTCAGAGAGGTTATCCTCTATCCATATCCCCTGCTTGGTCCACATAAAGTCCCTGGCAGATGGAAACTCATGAATTGTGCTTGTATTCCCCGTTCTCCCTCTTTTTGTTTCCCTTGGTGTCTTCTTTTTTCACTTGTGTTGCAATGCTCTTTCTTTTTTTCCCCTTTTCATCCCCTCGGTCCTAATGAGATTTCGTTTACTCTGCAGGGGTAAGTATTTGTATTTTAGTCGGTCCGCGTGAAATGGAATCTGGTGAACCATCAGGTAGGACCAGGTAAGGACCATATGAAATGACTGAAGGCAGGTATCTTGCTAGATAGATGAAAGTCTAGGCAATACAGCTAGCGGTTCTGCACTACGGTTGATAAATATCCAAGAATGAGGTAAATTTGTAGACTTTTTTTCGACCTGGTATCCCGAATCTAGTCATAGGCTCATAATCCAGCAGGAGGGAAAAGTCCCCCATATAAGGATGAGAGAAAGAGAGATAAAACACACAAGTCTTCAATATATTTGCAAAGAAAGCGCCCTCACCAAACTCCATAAGATGCCCAGCAGAGTTCTTTTTTTCGGCCACACGGAAGCCGAATGGGAAAGAGAAAGAGAAATAAAAAACGGAAAAATATGTAGATCCCCATCTATGCATCGACATCCATTCCACCCTCAGTCTCGAGGAGCTTGACCTCCTCGGTACTCCGCGTCCAGTAGGCCTTGAGATCGACCTTGAACTCGGACGAGGTGACACCGAACATCTTCATCAATGTAGTCTGTCGTGAGTCCAGAGTCTCTCCCTCTTTGCATACGGGGTAGCCATCCTGACCCTCAGTCAACTCAAGCATGACCTTGCCCTTAACCAGACGGGTGGGGACACCGAGCTTGCGGAGGGCGGGCTCAATGGTGTGGCTGACAGGCTCGTCCTGCTCAGCGGGAATCTCGCCGGCACGAGCAGTGACCAGGCCGTTGGGAATGGTGAAAGAGCGGGTGGCCACGGTTCCAGCGCGGGCAAAATCCTGGGGACGGAAGTTCTCGAAGTATTCGATCACTGATTCCGGAGTGCGGGAGGTGAAGAGCAATCCAACGGCGCCGGCGAGGAAAGGAGTGAGTTTGCGCAGGTTGGGAGCGGCTTCGCTTTCAATGTCAGCGCCAAGGGCCTTGCCCATGACCTTAGTCTTGCCGAAGAAAACTCTGGAATGACATTATTAGATAACTGATCTTGGTTGAAGGATTTGCGTATCAATATTTGATATCGGATCCATCGCTGGTATTCAAGCGCTTTTTCCGATTCAATATCTCGAGCAAATTCCGATTGGAATAATGATTCTTACCGGCTGTCACCGAATTCAGTGCGCACATCCTTCAAGTAGGTGTTACGCATGTTATCAACCGCAAAGACAAAAAGGTGATCATATTCCTCGATACATTCCCGAATGTTGGCGAATAGCCGGCGGGTCTGCTCCTTGTGATCTTTCTTGGCAGTCTTCGACTCGTGGACGACGCGCGCGCGCTTTGAACGAGGCATGATGAATTATGATTTTAGAATTGGTGGTTCAATGATTTCAGACAGAAGGTTGGATGTTTCCCCCACAGACATTTTTTCTTCGCTGATAACCGGATTAACCTACCGCCGGGCTTATCCAACGCTAACCTGAATGGGGCAATCAGCTGTGATCTCTCAGCGTCAGTTCACTGCAGTTGCGCTTGCTTTGAACACTCGTTTCACTGATTTTACGGAGCTAGGCGTATTGTCGCCTGCAGAGGCTGAGTCCGGACAATGCTGGACTTCATGGACTACATCCAGCTATCCTTCGCCGAGGCGACCCACTGGAATCGCGACAACTCGTACTCGTCACTCAACACCACCGCTCAATGTATGCAACTGATTTATCTCTGAGAGTCTATTATGCGATAAGGAGACTACTGATCTAACATATTTGGTGCAGCGATCCTAGACTTCTCGACCCCCGAACGATTGCGCGTTCATCTTTCGTCACTGGCGACTCCCCATTTTGCGACCAGTTACACACTCGGCACCGTTGGATTACTCGATGGATCTGTGTCGTACCTATTTAGCACTGTTCCATTCAACGACTTACCAAGTGGAAGCGCGTCAATCCCGCTTCGAAAGATATCCCCGGGATACCGCCAAGTACAGGCCCCCGCCGCCCCGATCCAGACCTGGGGATGGGACTCCCTATTAGACGGCGTGAGCATCCCCGGGCTCAAGGACGCAACTCGCACAGAACAACCAAATAATAAAGATGGAGAAAATAGTAGAGAAAATGAGGCAAAGAGGAAAGCTACTCTCCTCCATGCTTCTCTCCATCTTCCACCTCCCACCACTCTATATGCTCTCTTTCTACGCAGAATCTCTACCAATATGCAGCTGTCATTAGCCGTCTGCTCAACTCAGGGACCGCCGCAATCCAAGTCCGCACCACAGGCCTCAGTGCTCACCCAGCTATCCCACGACACGGGCAAGTACAGCAACGAGTACCTCTTCAGCACAGACAATGCCCTATTCGGATGGCGCGGACTCTGGAACTTCGGCCCAGACCCTCGCTACACTCGCAGCGATGTGCCGCCGCCATTGTCACTCCTTTCTGCAGGCGCAGAAGCATACTATTCCCCTATCTCATCACTGATCGGCATGTCAACCGGCCTGCGATTCACCACATTACCAGCAGCCACAGAGGTCCCGCCATCATCATCACACTCCAGCATCCCAACACCCATCTCAACCTTTCCTTACACTCTAACACTAACATTGGCCCCGATTGTGGGCTCTTTATCAACAACCTACTCCCTCCGCGCGTCGCCCAATCTGGCCTTCAGCTCGCGGTTCGGCTTTAACGTCTACAGCTGGGAAAGCGAAATGGTCGCTGGCTGCGAGCTGTGGCGTCAAACCAAGAAATCAAGCTCCTCCACTGATGACGATCTCGAATGGGCACGCCGCAAAATGCGCATGCATGACTTCGGCGTTTCCCTGCCTGGCTCACCGAGCTCCCCGCTCCTAGAAGACCCGGCTCGTCCCGAGGGCCTCATGGGCTCCAATGCTCATAGCGAGGCTGAGACGAGCGATTCAGTCATTAAGCTCCGCATTGACCAGTCTTGGAATGTGCGGCTTCTCTGGGAAGGCCGGGTTAAGGAGCTTCTGGTGAGCGCGGGCGTCGGGCTGGGTCCTGGTTCGTTCTCATTGTCGCCTTCTGTTTCTTCGGCTTCGCCCAGCGGCGCGGCTCAGAGTGGAGGAGGCACTCCCGGGATGTCGTATTGGCGTGGGGTTGGGGTCTCGGTCTTGTACTCTTCATGAGTTGCGTGCTAGCTAAAATCATAGTTGTTCTCTAGGCTCGTATTATTGGACAGTCTGATAGGTGAATAACCGCTCCGCTAGCCCTGGGGGGTAGCAACGATTATATGTTATCGAAATATACTTCAGAATTGTACATAGATTCATGATAATTTACTTGACATTCGAAGCTTTTATCTTCTGACGCCTACATGTCAGAGCTATTTACTCTGATAATAGGGGCACTATTGGGGTATTAGTTTCTTTGAGAAACCCTTTAGATGCGGGCGTTGATGATGTCGACGACTACAGATATTAGTTAGTACCAATGATGGTGAATAGTTTCGATAGATGGAAAACTTACAGGCAGGCTTCAAGCTGGCACCGCCAACCAAGAAACCGTCAACATCGGGCTGAGTAGCGAGCTCGCGGCAGTTCTTTTCGCTGACGGAGCCACCGTAGATGATGCGAACGCTCTCCTGGGCGTGGGCAGAGATGGACTCGGCGAGCCACTTGCGGATAGCGGCGTGGACCTCCTGAGCCTGCTCAGTGGTGGCGACCTTTCCGGTACCAATAGCCCTACATATAGATATTAGATATGTCCAGGGATATGCAATGGAGTAGGTTCATACCAGACGGGCTCGTAGGCAATGACAACCTTGTCCCACTGCTCAGCGCTGAGCTCCTTGGCGGCAGCGTTAAGCTGGCGGGTCACGACCTCGATGGTCTTGTTGGCCTCACGCTCCTGCATAAAAAATCGGGTGTGAGCGGGATGTATTTAGAAAAGATATACCCGGTCTTGACCCGATGACCCACTATCGGGACGAAAATGGGAAATCCGGGTAGGAATGACGTACCTCAAGGGTCTCTCCGATGCAGAAGATGACAGAGACACCACCCTCAATGGCGGCCTTGGTCTTGCGGGCGATGAACTATTGGCCAAGTTAGTGTATGCTTCATTTGGGTGTAGAGTTCGCCGGTAGAGGAATTGGGTATACATACCTCATCAGTCTCCTTCAGGATCACACGGCGCTCGCTGTGGCCGATGACAGCCCAGTTAATCTTGTTATCACGGAGCTGCTCAACGCTGATCTCGCCGGTGAAAGCACCGTTGGGCTTGTCGTAGACGTTCTGGGCAGCAACACCGATCTTGGGGTCGGCGAGCTCGCGGGTCAGAGCGAGGTAGATGGCGGGGGGAGAGATGACGACCTCGGTGCTGTCGTCGAGCTTAGCGGTATTGAGGTTCTTCACGATTTCGGTGATGCTCTGAGCAACACCGTTCCTTTATAGGGTCAATTGCGCTGTCTTTCATAAAACGAGTAGGCATAGCTAAAAGTGAGGGGCTTTAGACCGCGGGGTAGCGAAGCTCGAGATAACATACATCTTGAAGTTACCACCGACGAAGAATTGGCGAGGCATATTGAATGATTATGGGGATTGAAGAGGGAAAAAAGAGGTTTTTTGAGGGATGTTGATAGCTATGGAAGAGGAAGAAGAGAGAAGTAAATTGGCGCAGATGGAGGGGCATTGTGGCCTGAATTATGAGGTGTCGATTATGACATCGGTCTCCCTCGGGGCTCACCGGGGGTTTCCATAGCCGGGGTAACAGGTGGACATCATACGTTTAGATTTGCTTCAGCTTTTGACAGTGGTCATCCAATCTCTTTTCTTTCAAAAAGGAAAAAGAACTATCGAAACGTGAGGACTCAATGAGTTCATGCACTACATCTTCCGAGGATCTCATTAACTACATATATAAGGAGTTAACCACGCAAAAAATTATTCAAGACGTCTTCTCACACTAAACACTGATCACATTCTGTTTATATGAATCTAACATTCAAACTAACTGCGCAATAAACTAATTCTTTCAAGAAAGCCGTATCAATATCAAAGTCCATAGCAAACCAACGTATCAGTCACTCAGCTTCTCTCTTCTCCTTGATCGCACAACGACAGGTACAGCGACATGTTGCTGACACATTCTTCACTGGCTGACGGCGCGCCTCAGAAAGCGTTCTCTTCAGCCATTTCTCCCGATGTCCAAGGCTTGCTTCACGGTGATCAAGCATTCGGCTTCGAATCTCATTATCGTTGATTAGCTGCATTCGATACCTTTTACCAGGCACTGAGCCTGATCGAGCGGTCTCAGCCCGTCTTAGACCAAAATTGTTGGCTGGAGACACCTCATGGTCACGGGGAAGATAATTCCTGTCGTGTCTTCTGTCAAGGCTACGGCTTTGGGACTTTCGGAAAGGATGAGGCCCATAAATCAACTCGCGGCGATAAGAACCGCCAGGCTGTTGTCGGAGAGAGGCCGGGATTGGTTGTGGCTCTTGACACTCGGTCTCGGTCTCGGTCTCCATGCTTTCTGGGTCATCTGTTGCTGAGCTTTCGTCGGATTGATCAGAAAGCATAGATGCATCATCTGAGTCGCTGTTCTCCGATGAATGATTTGAAGTATGCCCCAGGCTGATACTGCTGCTGTTTGTGGCACCGAAAGCTAGACTTCCTAGTCCATTGTTGATGGTTGAAGTTGACCTGGCAGATTCACCCATATGTTTTGCCGATGCTGCTGGGTGGCTTGTCTCAACATTTGGGCGCGTGGCTTCAAAATGGCCATCCGGGTATGCAGAACGCTGGGTTGAATTCAATCGTGCAAGAGGGCTCATCACTGGAGCCAGTTGGGAAGGCAGCAGTCGAAGTTTAGGCGGCAAAATATTCCCATTTTGATCCGACGCCAGAGGATGGTCTCTGTGATGAGACCACATGGGTGAATCCGGCTGGAGTTGTTTTCCAATGGCCACCGAACCACCCATGGCGGTCCGGGAATATGCTTGGGGCTTCATGGGTGTTTGCATGATGATGACATCCATGGAGACTATTTCATAGTCGCCACGACGAGCATATTGGCCCTTGAACAACTTTTTGTGTTCTTTGATATAGACGCAGCTCCACTCAACAAGTGGATTCTTGTGTCTTTGTTCGTCAATCAATTGATTTATATGAGCGCGCCTAGTATCGGAGGAGAGGCTTTGATATTGCAGCGCCACGGACTTTTTATTTGCCCTCTTCCGAACCATTTTGAAGTACTCTTCTTGATTCAGGTGCATGACTACCCGTTTCACGCATCTCCAGGTTGCACTTTCTTTGGGCATAGCCTTGGAAAAGCTGAAGCCGATGAAGCCCTCATACACAGGGCTCGTTGGTTCGGAGCTGGAATCTTTCTGGGCATATTGCAACTGGCCGGCCGAAGACAAAGGGTTTATGTTTTGGATGTCTTTTGAGATTTGCATCGAATTGTCGACATTAAGGGTAGACATTGTTTCGGAAGGATCTCTTTGTTCCTTGCTTTGAAAGTGATGTCACTTATTATAATTTATCTGATTCTTTGATGGGTAGAGAGCGACATTTATATATCTTTATTCGTACTAACTTATACGTATATCTGCATATGGTGTCATTTGATTCTTGTTCTCACCCGGGTAGATTGAGGCTGACGATCAATACAAGTGGGGGCCAATCCCGATGAACATGTTCAGCCGCTTGATCGCCCGGGTAAATTATATTTATAGACCTTGGGATCTATACGAGAAATCATCTGATAAGTCAAGGCAAAAGCTGCCTAATTCCGTCCCATCTTGCGCTCTTTGTTCATTGTTCCAAACTCTTCGAGGTAAGTTATTTCGAGGGGCTCCTTTCATTTAGAGAACCTTTGTCTATTCTGACAATGCATTATACCTTCTTTGAAAGTTGTATATAAACCCTCGCTCCTTCAGCTTTCCTCCTCCTTCACACACTTCTTTTCTCCATTTGATTGATTATTCAACCATGACCGAAAATATGAGCATTGATCCACAGGATCCTCACGGTTTTGATTACCTCCTAGGAAGAGACTTGGGTGCAATCAAGGGGAATTATACCTATCGGTGTCCCGTGTCAAAGCACTACGGATTCACCTATGAGGATAGCTTCTCTCACAATGCCGAAGATCTTTTAGACCCCAAAAGCACATTGTCCCAAAGGTATCCCCAAGTGAGTCAGGTTCTTCGAGAACGCCTAGGGGTAGCGTTTGCCAAACGGAATAACGAGGAATACTCAAGGTGTAATTGCCAGGATAATTTAGGCTTCAGGTGCGACAGTGAAGTATTTCAAAAAGAGGGCCTTACTTATTATGACGATTTTATCCGTCTAAGTGCTGAGGGAAAGACCACTGCCAAGGCAGTATGCATTTGTCCGGACCTTAAAGAGCGAGTGCAGATATACGGATTTATAGGTGCAGGAAGTAAGACCACTCTCTCCCCTTGATGTCTTCTGTATTCATTGCTAACTTATCACAGCATTTGGTGCCACGTTTATTGCACGCGAGAAAGGCGCACCTGGGGTTTCCTTGGAGGACCTTGAACAATTCGCAATCAAATCTCAAGTCCACACAACACGATGGATGGACAGGAAGAAAGGTTACCCACCTCAGATGACACCATTTCGTGAGCCCAACGGAGATACACGGTATATTCCAGAAGAAGCTCTCCTTTTGATCTATCTCGATGATAGCGAAAGGTTCCCACGGCTCGACTCGGTCTACACTCACGGTATGCTAACAGCAATTCTTATGACTCCCTGTGTCGATCCTAGCTCTGAAGCTGTTTCAGCTATTGATGAAAGCCACTTTGACAGGATCAAGTCAAAGGGGGCCATACCGCGCATCCGAAAGAGATATCCCCTGTTCCCAGCTTTCGACGGTAGCCATCTTATGTCAGACACCAAAGAGCCTCCAGTAGGGGAAGTAGAGGGCTGTAAAATTGCATCTCAGCTTCTCCAAGCCATGATAGAATTGGCTGATATGAGCGTCTGCCATGCCGACATGTCGGTAACAAATTATCTTATGGACCAAGACCTGAACGTTCAACTAATCGATCTTGGAATGACTTACTTCTCACTTAGGAAATCGGGGTTCATGAGGAACCAAAACCATTTTATTCCCTACCACGAGTACCAAATGATGCCTGAGCGAGCTATCGAACTGGAAAAATACGACAATTGGAGGGATCCATGCCATGATGATGTTGGTATCGAAACGATCCACTTACCTATGGATGAGCGGGACATTTGTGTATGGAAATATTCAACGCTCGTATACGGATTTCTTCATGGATTCTGGCCCTGGGATGAACCTGAGCCAGTGCCGAGTGGCTTGGAGTGGCACGCTAGGTATAATGGGCCTTACAATGACCCATACTATCCGGTAGTCAAAAGCAGACGCAAGAGAATGATTAACGAGGATGCAGCAATCAACGAATCACTCTCACAGGATTGTAAGGATGTGTTACAAGCCACATTATCTAGAGATAAGTCTGACCGGCCCTCGTTGGAAGAGCTATCGTCATTTCCTTGGTTCTCTCGATGGTCTGCTGAAGAAGTCGAGTCTGGTCGCCCTTTAAAACGACCTTTTATCAAGGACTTCCATGATGCTAACCGTGAGGATGGCCGAAAAGGTTTCCCATGGCCAAGTATATCACTGGACCAAGGTATGTCAGTTCCCGTCATCAACAGCCCGATATATAATTCTTCTGATTCGGCCGGATCTTCTTCTGTTTCATCTGATTATTCTACATATTCCGATGAATCTGATGATTGTGAATATGAGGAAGCACCTCCTTCTCAACACGAGGGAGGTTCGTCCCTTTAGAAGGCATCAACTTGATTGAGGCTTTCAGCTTTATATGTGGAGAATAGTGTTTAAACAGCTGCAAGTTGAATTGAATTCGATAGCAAAATATTATGACATATGAATAATTTCTTGCTGTCGAGCACACGTAGGTATAATGTGGGTTTGTGTAAATCTACCCAGTTCACGGCTAGACGCCTTCGGCGTGTTGAAGAAAATGCGGGTTGAAAATGATGGATTAATGTGTAGAGGCAATAAACTTCGACTTCCCATTTAAGTAATAAATACTTCAAGAATCGCGTTCTTCTTTACGCGGATCAATAATCACCGAAAGATGGGAACCATGACATCCGTTCCCAAGATTAGGCGCATCCAGGATTATAGGCTAACAGAGGGCTAGAAGAAGAAGGCAACCTTGGAAAGGAGAGAGGAAGGAGAAACCTTCATTGTTTACCCCAGGCGTCATCACGTGCAGCTAAGGACACCAGGAATCGTGAACTTCCACTTCACCACTTCCAATTGACGACTTTCTGTTCTATACCTGTCCGTTTTTCAATGACCAATGGTTTATTAGATTCCTTGCTAACTACTACGAAGGAAAATTTCCCAATATATCCTCTTCAACATCGCCATTGCGTCGAATACAATCACAATGTCCTCCAGTCAGGGGCCTCCCTCGCCACCCACTGCTTCGTTGAACTCATCCAAACCAGTCAATGACAACATTTTGTATCGGTGTTTGATACTTCTAGCAATCCAAGTTTATAGGCGTATTCGACCTCGAAAGGGGAGCGTTCTTATGCTAACGAATGGACTATGCGTCAAGTATGGGCGCCATGTTCATTTATCTGAAGCATCAACAATGCAGTTCATCTCGCAACATACATCTATCCCGGTACCAAAAGTGTTATGTGCATTTACACGTAATGGGATGACATATATCTTGATGGAAAGGATCAAGGGAGATATGATCGGCAAAGGATGGGTGAATCGAAGCGAGGATTCAAAAACGAAACTTCTTTCGCAGTTAGCAGGAATGATTCGCGAGATGCGGGCACTCCAGCCCTCACAATTCAATAAGGCTGGAGTTGCTTCTGTTGATGGCGGATCGCTTTTTGACTGTCGTATTCCGGGCCCTTCGTTACGCTTCGGTCCCTTTGATACTATCCAGGATTTCCATCGGCATTTGCGCATGGGCATGGAATTCGATTCAAGGCTTAGTCCTGAAATCCAGGAATTCATCAAACAACAAAGCAAGTCTTGGCCTCTGGTTCTCACTCACGGCGACCTTAGCAGCCTTAACATTCTTGCACGTGGGGATGATATCGTTGGTATTATTGATTGGGAAACTGCTGGTTGGTATCCATCATATTGGGAATACACCACCGCCTACCAAGTCAACCCGCAAAACTCTTTTTGGGTCCATGAGATTGACAAGTTCCTGCAACCAATGCCCGAAGAGCTGGCAATGGACCGGATTCGTCTAACATACTTTGGAGATGTCTAATTAATGCTGGCTTGTAACTCATACAATGGTCTCCTTCTGCTCTATCAAGTCATATGTTGGAGCAACTTCCATATCAAAGTTGCCTTGGCCATCAAAACGATGCTGATCTTTCTTCCGCTGACAATAATCCATCGCCCCGCTGCGCACTTTTTCCCACTCAGTGACACTCGTGCCTAAAGCCTTAGGATCGACCCCAAGCGTTTCCAAAGCCTCCTTTACCCAGGAAACACAGTTCCAACCTAGTTGGCCTTGCCGAATAGGCGTGTCCCGCAGAATTTTGACTAGGCGATTTCCATCCTCTACCTTCCCGACCGTGATACGAACAAGGAGCATGCTAGTAGGGGCAAGTCGACATTGGCGCTCCTCGAAGAGCCATGTAGAGTTCCCTCCCAGATCTATCCTCTCCTTTGCATGGTAACGGACCCCCGTACCACCCTTTGCTTCAATTTTTGGTCCCACGATCAGGGCCCAGTGGTATCTAGCTTGTATGGGACATCAGCCTTTCAGTTAATATCCGGCGAAGAAGTTTTCCGCACGATGAACTCACGTGTCCTCCTTGCCTGGCATGGTAGCTTTTCCCCCACGTGCGTAGAGAGCAACATGCAGGCGATCTTTGTTAGATGGCATTGCGCAAGCGATCTTGGAAAGTATAGCTAGAACTGGCACCAATTGGACCGGATGATACTCCAAAGTACTTAGAATAATAATATTAATTATTTATAAGTGGACGGTCTGGAGGGCTTTCTTTAGATCTATGTATAATCTCCCTAGTTGCCAATTATTTAATGGAAGTCGTAGCCGCTGTCTACGTGATTGGACGTTATGAGTGCTAACTTAGATTTATCATCCAATTCCATCTTCCCTAAGAATAGAATCAGGTTAGCGGGCGCTTAATCCATGTTTCATGCTCAAAATGTACGTTTAAGGCAGGAAATATAGTATTTCTGTAGTGCCACAGCGCTTCACCATTCGCCTTCGTGTTAGGAAAGTGGCAACTTGTTTCAACTCAGGTCGATCTAATTATGTTGTAGGTTAATATTTGACTGACATCCTGCAGGTGCTGTAATTGTGCTCGATGTGAAATAACTGCATTGGTTTCCGGGGCAAGCTATAGCCCAATCATTTGCCGCCGAGCTAAATAGCGTCAGAATGGGAACAAAGGAACAGAAATTATATCTCCATTAGCACGAAGCTGACTCGTAATTCCCACGCCAGTAGATTTCCACTAGGTCCTCCTAAGAATATGCTACTCGCCACAGATAAACTAATGCACTGCATGCTATCACATCACTCGCCGTTGTAGATCCTAGAGGTTTGCATATATTAGCGCTTTCCAAGAGTGAAGCAAACCCCATGAGGAGCAACATCTTGCCGCCAGAAATAATATCCATACAAGCTTCATACATATCCCTCAACTCTCTTTGTCTCGTGGCAGTTGCTAGTGACAGAACAGGGAAAAAGAGACATCAATACTGTGAACCAACAAACCCGCTGATGTTTATTGAATCCAGTCATTCTTGTATACCAAGATCGCTAATATCCTACTAGCGTACTTGACAGCTTCGATTTGACCATTTCAGTAAGAAGCGCTGTATTGTTGATTCTATTCGATTCCAAAAGTGAGGGATTTTCTACATATGATTACAGGGGTAAGAAGTCCATAAATACGGGCTTCTACCCAGGCATTTTGAGAAGATTAGACAGACAATAAGAAACAGCTGGCAAAAGCCCATACGAAATCCACTTTGGCAGGAAGCCGGATCTTCTACTATTCTTTGAATGTACCACCTCGCTGCCCATCTCTAAATTTTAACGATAATGACGAGTCTAGCTCTAAACCTACGTCTAAGTAAAGCACTGGGTCGCTGCCAGCCTGCCACCATGTTACACCACGGATCTTATGTCAACAGAGGATTCAGTGATCCATTCCATTCCAGAGAATCGAGACGAATATACTCACCAACCCAACGAAGGGTCACTGTAGAGAAACGCCGAGACGAGTATGAGTATCTACTTCCATAATGTTTATACGGAGTATATGATACAGGATTCAATCCTTGGAGATTCACTTCCTGCTTCATCTTATGTCTCTCTTTTCTATGTCTGCCATGTCTAATTTTCTATGTTTACTTTACCGAGAAGCGGTTGGCAGTTAATCCTCGGGGATTGACTGCTTGCCCGAGGATTGAATCCTATATCGTAAGCAAATATCATAGAAGCAGATAACCGCTTCTCGGTAAAGTGAACATAGGAAATGAGGCATGGTGGACATAGAAAAGAAAGACATAAGATGAAGCAGGAATTGTATATACAATTCGGCTCAATTCTCAGTTGAACTAAAAGGGAATTGATCAGGGAGTCCTGCATTGACATGAAATATGTGGTGTAGCAGTGTGGTAGGTGGGCAGTGACCCAGTGCTTTGCTTAGACATAGGTTGTAGGGGCATGCGGAGCTGGATGTATGAATATCTCTGGGATTTGGCGATAGGAGGCGAGATGGTACTTTTCCCTGACAGGCGTTCCGGTTGACACCAGGGGCTTGCAGTTGACTTCTCAATAAGCCTTTCCAAAATGATATTGCAGCGATGCTTGATATATGGAATCGCACATGGCCAATTTCGCCTCGCGGCCATTGTCTTCCTAGGTTGATACCGATGACTACAACACTGTCCTGCCTTTAGCAGATAGAGACGTCGGATGGCAAGAGGCCGAATACACTGGCCATTTGTCTATACTTCCAATTAGCCTAAGTTCCACGGATTATGAGCCAGTGGGCCCAGTATCCGTCAACTGGTGGCCAGATCGGCTGATCAACCAGGATAGCCACAGGTCCAGTATATACTGTGCATACGAGCTCGAACTTACGATTGATCACAGAGTACAAGTGACGAAAAATCCCTCATTCCTACAAGAGGGGCAAAGACGGCCAGATGTACCGTGCCTCCAGGCTTTGTGTTTGTAATAGTCCTTTGCCTTAGCGATGCTACTTGAATGCGGAGCAAGGAGTAGCAGTGAACCAACAGAGTATGCTCTGTTTCCTTCTAGTTGGTTTGAAATTTTGCGGTGTGCGTACAGGGTAACCTGGTTCGACCTCGGCAAAGAGAGCAAGCATAACCAGTGGATCGCCCGAGGAAGAAGGCGTCGCCAGCATCAACAAATTTCAAGATTGCCCTCATACTGACAGGCCTGGGTCTAGAGTAGCAGGAATATCTTTTGCAAGGTATAATAATAATAACAGCAGGGTAAAGTTCAATTAGGGCTCAAAACAGCAGGCCGCATTAACACCACTGTCATCAATGGCGCGTAACAGAGAAAGTCGTAATCATCGGCGAAGGCTGTCCAGTCTTGCCTGGAGGTCATCATCACTCGTATTGCCTCCGCCTCCAATGGCCTGTGCAACTCGAGTTTCATTCACCGGTGCTTTTTGTATGTGATCGGGTGTTTCACCAAGCTGTAGATGGAATATGTTAGTTCGCAGGGTCCACCTTCCGATGTTTGGGGCAGGGAAACAAACCGCCTGGTTCAGATCAACACCAATCTCGTCCAAAACCTCCTTCAAGATATCTTCTCCTTCCTCTTCTTCGCCTTCCATTCCTGTAGCCTCGTCGATCGCATCATCCATCATCTCTTGCCGTTGATCCATAACGTCATTTTCTCGTTCAAATTCCATCGCGATTCGTTGCAGTGCCGGGAGATTCATCTGTCTGTTCATACTACCCAGAAGCATCGTGGCTCCTTTCATAGACTGCATCATCTGCTCATTGCTTCGGACGGTCTTGAAAGCAGCGATAGTTAGCGCATCGCAGTATTAAGAGGGGCAGCGGAGGTCAGCTTGCGCATACCTGGATTCGTAGAGAAATAGCCTGTAATTGCGTGCGCATTTGATAGAACTTCTGAATGTATCTGTTCCTCGCCATATAATCAGCCAATGCTGCCACAATCAGTAAACAATCAAGAGGAACCGACCTCCGTGTCCGAACCAAGTCCTTGGCCTGGATCTTGCAGGCTCCAACTTGCCCGTTTTTGGCACTCTTCTTGATGTCCTGTACCAGCTTCTTCTCTTGGTTTTCTAGCTTCACTCTCTCCCGGTCAAGCTCCCGCTGTGTTCGATCCAAGGCACGCTGATGTTTACGCAGGCGCTCCGCGGGGGTCATGCGCTTTCCGAAAGCCCACTCGACGATCTGAGAGACCTCGTGTGAGTAAAATAGCCATTCTCAAAGATCTAATATGCGCCTTACATTCATGATTGCAACTAATAGTGCGCAGTCAGTTTGAGGCGAGAAGTAAATCTAAGTACAATGTAGGAGCCTGAGTAGAAACGGTGACATCAATGGCGGTATGGTAATATTACGGGCGCAATACTATGATACCGGGTCACATGTACGCTAATCCCCTTTGGGCTCGACGTCATGGGAAACCTTCCAAGAAATCGATCATCTCATAATCAAACAACCAAAAATACGACTTTTGTTGGATAGATGTCGCCCCCACGTTAATCTCTTTTATCCGTCATGAGTCAGGAATACCACCCCGGTGAAGGCTCGTCTTCCAGAGCTGGCTCGTCCAGGTTCTCAGGCGAGGAAGAATTTCCCGAGAAGAATCCTTTTTTCCGTCCCCCGCCGACTTATATGACTGTGGGCAACGGTTCGACTTCGGACAGCGCCACGGCCCTGATGACATCGCTAAACCAAGATTCTGGCTATGGAGGCAGCATTGCTGATACAGAGGAGGACGCAAGCTCTGCTTGGCGCGCAGGATTGATGGAAGACAGGCCGACTCCGGTGCATACTCCAACGCGCCCTGGAGAATGGAATCCCGCAGGTAGGTAACTCGAGGATATGCAATGGTGCGTTTAGAAGGGAGAAAGTTGAGCTAATTCATCTTGGGATACAGCTGAGCATGAGAAGCAAGTCGTTGCCAGTCATGTCTCTCAACTTCTCTAGTATGTCTCATCTCCCCGCGAACAACCCATCTATAGAAGTGAAAGACTTACAGTATTTCAAGCAACTCAAATCGAACCAAGCTGGCTCGCGCGATCTCCCGGACTATCGACACACTGAAGGAGCTCCAGGACATGAACCGCCAATGGCCCGCCCACTATCCCTCCGTCCAAAGCACGCCCTCATCCCCTGCGGACCGACCATCACTGCATCGAACTCAATCCGACCTTGGAGGCAATGATAGCAGATCCAGCTCCCCATCCCGACCAGATCTGAGGCGTGCGGCCACCTTGGCGGAGAGCGATGATTTGGGAGAATCCAGTGCCGCGGCCCAACGCCGTGTCCCGACGGAGCCTAGGTTGATGACTCCGCAAATTGCGCAAGAGTTCTCTATTCTTAAATTGGATCTAAAGCTCGGTGCTCTTTCGCAGGCAGAGCTAGTGCATTCGTTGGAAAAGGCATCGGTTGCCGCCCTTTTGGATGGAAAGATCAGCCAAAGCATGAAACATCTCCTCTCGCTGCGAGACAGAATTGAGGATACCTCAAGTAAGGTCCTGATTACGGGAGACTTGAATGCAGGCAAATCGACATTCTGCAATGCTCTCCTGCGCCGAAAGGTGTTGCCAGAGGACCAACAGCCTTGCACCAGCATCTTCTGTGAGGTTCTCGATGCACGCGAGAACGGCAGCATTGAAGAAGTCCACGCTGTGCACAAAGATACGCCATACAACCGCAATGACGAAAGCACCTTTGATGTCTATTCTCTTGCAGAACTCGAAGAGATAGTTATCGACAACACGAAGTACATGCAGTGCAAGGTCTACGTGAAAGATGTACGGTCTATCGACGAATCACTGCTCAACAACGGCGTGGTTGACATTGCTTTGATCGATGCACCTGGCTTGAACTCTGACTCGTTGAAAACCACGGCCGTCTTTGCTCGGCAGGAGGAGATCGACGTTGTTGTTTTTGTGGTTTCCGCCGCAAATCACTTCACATTGTCTGCGAAAGAGTTCATCTTGAATGCTGCACATGAGAAGGCATATATTTTCATGGTAGTTAACGGATTTGATCAAATTCGCGACAAGCAGCGCTGCGAACGCATGATCTTGGAGCAGATAGGCAAACTCAGCCCTCGCACATACAAGGAGGCTTCTGAACTTGTTCATTTCGTTTCAAGCAACGCTATACCTGTTGCGCCTGCTGTCTCGCAGTCTGGCTCCGGTGGTGACGGCGGCGGCTCTGATCCTCATGATGACGACGATGATAAGGACCCCAAGGATAAGGGCAAGGGCAAAGAACGGGAGAAACTTCAAGACTTCGAGAACCTTGAAGGAGCCTTGCGACGTTTCGTCCTTGAAAAGCGCTCCCGGTCCAAGCTTGCGCCTGCCAGAACTTATCTTCTGAATCTCTTGGCTGACCTTGGCTCCCTTGCCACAGTCAACCGTGATGTTGCACAGGCGGAGCTCAAGCGAGTGACCGATGAATTGGCGGAACTTGTACCGGCATTCGAGAACGGCAAGAAAAAGAAGGGAGAGGTTGCCGAGGGCGTCAACAAGGCTATCGACGAGTCATGCGATGACGTTTACAATCACACTCGCTCTACACTGACTAACACGATCACGCGTGTTTCTGATGCAGACCTCGGTGTCGAATACCATGGTCTCTTTTCAGCGTTCCAGTACGCTGAGGAACTAAAGCTGGCAATGCTGGATCAAATTGCTTCATCTGTCAACGACTGCGAGGACTACGCCCGAGAAAAGACCGTGCAGGGAGTTGGCTTTATCCAAAATATCGGTCTTCTGCACATTGGTGAAGACAAATTCACTCCACTCAGCTTCCGCGCGGATGCGATGTTCCGCCGTGGTCGCCGCCACACATTTGCCCGACAAGTCGACGCTGAAGTTGAGCTATGGGATTTCTTCGATGTTGCTGGTCTCTGGGAGCGCCAAGAGAAGATGGCAGGAACAGGCGTTGCAATGACTGCAGTCACTGTACTTGGTGGTAGAGCATTGGGCGGATTCAGTTGGGTGGATAGTGCATTGAGTGCTGTCAAAGTCATTGGCCCGAATAACATGCGCCGGCTGTTCTTGCCTAGCATTCTGGCTGCTGGTGAGTTTTCACATTCATTCTCACGAAGAATAACAATATACTAACTTCATACCAGCTGTTCTGACCACAGCTTATGTGCTCAGCTCCATCCCGACGACCCTTCCCTCCCGCCTGTCGCGGAAGATTGCTGCCACCCTTGCTGAGATGGACTATGTCCACTCAAATGCTAATCGAATCTCAACTGAAGTTCGCCGCATGCTGCGCATGCCTGCCGGAAATCTTCAAACCTGTCTATCTCAGGATATTGAGGATCTCGGCAGACGCAAGCAAGAGGTTACCAAAATCAAGCAGGAGAGCGATGTCGCGACCAAGTATTTCTCTAACCTGTTCCGAGACAGCAGCGAGAACCGCCGTTCTATCGAAAATCTGGATCTTGATGCTCCCTTGCCTGGCGGAATGGCTGCGGCAATGCAAACATAAGCCTAGGTCCTCCTTTGTACAACCACACTCATGATTCCTACGATGTTTCTTTTTCACTCTTTTTCTTCTACCTCCGAACTTGTACAGTTTTACTTTCTCTTCCCCATTCTTCATATTTACTTAACTCATACTATATCCTCCACGCCGGCTTTACGGTCATTTCTACCTCAGGTTTTCTTGCGCCGTTGGCTTATTTTATATCCAATGGGCGTGGAGGCGTGCACCAGAGGGAGTCTAATCCTTCCCCAAGATTCCCCCTTGAATTAAGATTGCATTTAGTTCAAAAATTCTCTTGCTAGTGATTTCAAGATCGATGGTTTCCACTTCGTCTTTCTTTGTCTCTAAAATGTCTAGTATCAGAATGCAGCTTCAACTCTTTCCAAGACGACTCGCTATCATTGATCGTGGCCTGGCGTGTAGCTTGCTTAGTATTGAACCAAATCGGGTTATCATTGACACCATTAGATATCGCTCTTTCAAAAACAATAGATAGACAAAAGAGGGCGCCATTCGCAATGCAATCCCCTTCGCCGATGAAAAAAAAAACCAAAAAAGACGTCCAACCTATGTGCAACAATCATTCATCATCTATTTTAACAGGCTGTTTCCTCGTCCTCCGGCCAGACCCCCACCCAATATCCTCCAACTCCCGCACTTCACCAACAAGCAAGCCCGAAGTCTCAGCCTTCATTGTCTTCCCAGACAACTTCCCAGCATCCCTCAGAAGCTCCGCTCTCATGGCAGCAGCATCGGAATCCTCATAGCCCAGTTGCGTCATCTGCGGTGCCTGGTTTTCCTCATCTTCATCCTCAGTCTGGGCTGGGAGTTTATCATTCAGGAAATCAAATTTCCCGCCGCTGAGCATGGATGATAGACTCTGTTCGACACGGCTGTTGCTGCGGGATATGGAATTGTCTCTAGTCGGTAGGGCACTTTCCAAGGCGCTACCGAGGCCGTCATCATTGAGTGTGTCAATCGAGCTAGCGCGTGAGACGGGGCCCGGGCCTTCTAGCACTCGGGCTGAAGAGTGGGATGGGGCGCGGCCGAGGAGGGGCTTGCGCTTTCGTCGGGGTGGATTTCCATCATCATTGGTAGTAGTGCTCTCGGATTGCTGTCGTGACTTGGCAGCGCGGGCTTGTTGTAAGAAGCCGCTCAGAGCGGTATCCAATGCGGATGGGCCCGTTTGCGGCGCCGAGTCTGTACTTGACGTGGGCTGTTTGGCGTTCGGTTCCTCTGGGGCTTGTTTGTCTGGTATCGTTGTCGGAGTTGGGGATCGTGACTCCGGAACGGAGGCTTTTGGTGCATCAGCTTCAAAGCCGTCACCGACGATGGGGATTGTTCGAGTTGTGGCGCTTTTCCCTGAACTTCGCTTCTCGGACATATTACGATTCGTGGACTCGGTAGAGATGTTGTATGGGGAATCCGCTCGCCGTTCATCAATTTGTCTGTCAGGTTGCTTTCGCTTAGCAGATGAAGAACCGAGTTTCTCTATGGTGCTAGCGTTTTGGGGTAATTGTCGTCGGACAATGTATGGCTCGTATGGCTTCTTTTGGCCAGTTTGAATAGATATCCAGAGCCAATCAGCAGACACTGCTGGTACCCCCCACTCGGCAGTATGTCGCAGTTTGTCCAGGTTGGCTGTTTTAGGGTCGTTGCAAATCAGGACGGATGCTTTTTGCGTTAAGAAATCCCCATATGTGGCGCCCATTAACTCTACCAGCTTTCGTAGGTGTAAAAGATCGATACGTCCAAAGCCGGTGGAACAAATCCGCAACTCCGGAAATCCTAGTGTCATTAGAGCAAGTTCGAACCTTACATTTTATGGAATCTCACCTGGTATAGGGAACTTGGGGAATGGAGTGCTCGCCACATGAGACTCTGGTGGAACAAAAGCTCGAGCATCAATACATCGTTCCAGCCACATCTCTGTCACAACCTCGCATTCAAAAGCCATTTCATCTGTTGACGGAATCTCTGACCTGGGAGTCTGATACGGCACCATGATGAACAGCCCATGTCCTATTTTGGGGATAGTAGGGCTAGAGAACGCATTCAGTGAATCCACCAACTGAGCTCCGTTATAAGTGAGATGTTCGCGCAGAACTTTTGTCTGGAAGATGCATTAGTTTCAAGGAAATGCAGGCAAGAGCATGGACACAAACCTGCTTAGAAGAGAACCCATTAATGAAGAAATAAGTCGCGTGTAGAAATCCGTTGTCTTTTGCGGGAGCAACCGGTAGCGGAAGACGAGACTGGGTGCTTTCAGAAAACGTAGACTCGCTGGCGAATGACTTATATGCCTGTATGACAGGCCTTGAGGCTTCGGGTGGTCCTCGTCCTTGTGGGTTCTTTTGGGGTCCAGTACTCTCGTTATTGTCGAATCCTGTTCCGACGATATCTCCCCAAATGCTTTCATTTTGATCCACCAACTTGGTACTTGCAGTCCTGCGTAATTTTCGAGGTCGTGGATTCAAAGTGCTCTCTTTGGTAGTGTTGTCCCTTCCAGAAGGGACCCTCTCTTTTGGCGCAGATCGATCCCATGCGCCAACACCTTGTTCTGCAGGTGGTAATAGCGGGTGATATGTCTGCTCGTCCAGTATCATTCCACGCTCGATGCTATCCGTAAACCATTTTAGCGAAACAATTTTGACATCCCATCGTGACGCGAATTTGTATTTTGCACCATCCGTGTCGCGCGCAATAAGATGTGTCACGGTTTTGGTCAGGTCTTTCCGATATTCAGCCCCGTTCTCCTCTGTTGTCTTCTGCATGTATTCTCGGAAAGTAACTAAGGCGCATTCGTTAGCATTGCTCTATTCTCAATTGTGGAAACCAACCAACTCACGGTCCGAGAACCCAGTGATGCAGATTTTGAGACCATGCAAAGCTGCCAGTCTGTACTGTTTCTCAAGTGCCTGTATGTCTATGTCCTCTCCCTGTGTCCACGAGTGTCGTACGGCCTCGATCCATTCCGGGTTCATTGCCACCACGTCATTCCGTTCCCTTGCAACGAATTTGTACTTCTCACTGTCCGTGTCGCCTACAAGCAAATGGGTGACGTCCGAAGTAAGATGGACACTGTGCATCGCGCCCATTTGCTCTGCCATTTGAGTCAATGGAGTCTGTGTAGAGGGAACGTAGGTCAGCCTGTGTTTGATGCTTCACAAATCACTGGGTCTCTATTTGACACATACCCTCTTCTCAATTTCAACAGAAGTAAAGCAAATGACGACACCCGCCAGAGGGTAGTCTTTGTCTATACATGGCTGATTAGCAATTCAAGCTCGAGTTAGACAAAAAGGATGTTCCACGTACTCGAAACAGCCATCCCTGCCATTCCTCATGGTCGCAGAGTGCAAACTGCTTCAATATCGAGCAATTGGCAAGGTACTGTCGTGCCTAGTGGTTAACAATATCTGGGTTGCGCATTCTCGTCCCGCGTGTTTTGCGGTAATTGACGATCACGTGACTATATGTCCCCTCGCATATTGTTGAATATACTCGAATGCAGGTACGCAATTTGCACTTAACTACAGATATAATCTACTTCTTACGTCGAGTTTATGTGAAGCATACTACTTCGTACCATAGCGTTGTTTTGAGTTAATGTGTTGGGATTATTGAATAGTTAACCCGAAGTATATATTTCAGGCAACTTATCACAATATAGTCGTTAATTGCCAACAAAAGTCTACTTGTTTGAATTTTTGTATAACATATAGTGCATCCATTTCTCAGAAAAACCCATAGCACCTTGAAACATACACAAAATCAAAACCCAGTGAGATAAATCCATATTCACTGTTGTTCGGACCTATACCTCGGTGGAGCTGTTATCCTTATCAGTGAATATCACGTGTAGATAATCGCGTCTGTAACGCGTTGCGGAAAATCGATCTGCGTCCATATCGAAATTGCCTGGCGCGACCTCATTGTCTTGGTTTGCATTCTGCATTTTATTTTATGCATTTTGCCAGATTCAGGGCGCGGGGAATACATATAATTCGATCGCTCTCTTTGACTTGTCCAAAGAGACCACCGAGTTCGTTTGCGTATTCATTCTCATCTCGAGCCGCCGCAACCCCCGAGAAAATGTTCAAGAAAGCACTCCAAGACCACCCAGGCAGTGGCAACAAGCCTCTCCACCAGACCGAACTATTGCGTACCAATGTAACGGCCCCTCCGAAGCCACAAATACAATTACAATCCGGTGGTGTCAAACGAAAGATCGAGGTCGCCGAGTCCTCGTTGGGGTCCCTTCATAACGCGGTTTATTTCGACGAAAATGACTTCGATGATGATCTGGACCTCGATGAGCCACAGCCATTAATAGCGCCGAGGATGGCTGGCCCCTCCATCTCTCAGACGGTCACATACCCAAGCCTTGACGCTTTATCAAGACCCGGCCAGTCTGTTTACGGCAACGAAAATCTAGCAGACGTCAATTACCCCGATCTTCCTTCCATATCCCAAGAAGCAGCAGCTCCCCCCAGCAGCGTGCAGTTACCGTGGTCGTCTTCGCCCCCCGCCCATTTCCAACCACCTGTGAAGAAACCTCGTACCCTTCCGTGGACTAAAGAAGAAGAGGAACCCCGCGAAGACAAGAAAAAGAGCTTTGTGACTCCGAAACATTCAAAACCCGTAGAACTATGGAACAAGTCCGAGAGTACCATCAAGGCGGAGCAGAAAGAGTTGCGACAAGAATACAAAAAGACCCAAAAAAGCGACGTGAAACCGAAAATACCGGATGGGAAGATTGCCACTGTTTTTCTGAGTGACGAGCAAAAAGCTGTTCTTGATGCTGTTGTCCACCGTGGAAAGAGCATGTTCTTCACTGGCTCTGCAGGAACGGGAAAATCGGTACTCATGAGGGAAATCATCGCGAAGTTGCGCAACAAATATCGCAAAGAGCCCGATCGAATTGCAGTCACAGCATCAACAGGTCTTGCGGCCTGCAACATCGGGGGCGTGACTCTCCATAGTTTTGCCGGCATTGGTCTAGGAAAAGAAGCAGTGCCCGAACTTGTGAAAAAGGTAGGGGGTTTCTACTATGTACTCACCCAGAATTGCGGATGCTAACAACCTCTAGATTAAGAAAAATCAGAAAGCTCGTAATCGCTGGCTGCGTACCAAGGTCCTTGTCGTTGATGAAGTCTCCATGGTAGATGGGGATCTATTTGATAAACTCGAAGAGATTGCCCGAAAGATCCGGAACAATGGCCGTCCTTTTGGAGGAATTCAGCTTGTTGTAACAGGCGACTTTTTCCAACTGCCTCCTGTCCCAGACGGAAGCAACCGAGAGGCAAAATTTGCATTTGCAGCTGCTTCCTGGACAACTTGTATCCAACATACTGTTCTTTTAACAAATATCTTCCGTCAACGAGATCCGGAGTTTGCTAACATGCTGAATGAAATGCGGCTGGGAAAAATTACACCCAGCACGATTGAGGCTTTCAGACGGCTCTCTCGCCCCCTTGATGTTAAAGACCAGATTGAAGCAACGGAACTGTACGTTTTATCCTTCAACTATACTGTGCTAAAGCTGACTTGTGAAAGGTTCCCAACGCGCGCTGAAGTGGAGGGTGCCAACTCTGCACGAATGGCCAGACTTTCTGGTGAGGTAATGAGGTTCAACGCAGTGGATTCCGGGACAATCCAGGACCCTCAGCATCGCGACAGACTGTTGTCAAACTGCATGGCCCCTCCTATGATTCAGTTGAAGAAGGGTGCTCAAGTGATGCTCATTAAGAATATGGAGGATTCGCTTGTCAATGGCTCTATTGGAAAGGTAGTAGCCTTCATGAGCGAGGATTACTTTGACTCCTACAAGGCGAATGACAAGAATTATACCGATGATGCGACTGCAAGCGATGACGAGCGGGCTCATCAGGCTCGGAAAAAGCTCAAACCTATGGGGTACAAAGAGGCCCCCGCCTCAATGGCCCGGAAATGGCCACTTGTCTCTTTTCTTCAGCCTGATGGGTCAGAACGGCATTTACTGTGTCAACCAGAGACGTGGAAGATTGAGCTTCCCAACGGAGAGGTGCAAGCCCAACGTCAACAAGTTCCGTTGATATTGGCGTGGGCTCTGTCGATCCACAAGGCCCAGGGCCAGACTCTTCAACGTGTGAAAGTTGATTTGGGCCGAGTGTTTGAAAAGGGCCAGGCGTATGTTGCACTGAGTCGAGCGGTGTCCCAGGAGGGACTACAGGTTACTCGCTTCGAGCCTCGCAAGGTGATGGTGCACCCCAAAGTGGTGGAATTCTATTCCAACCTCGTCACGATCACAGAGATTAATAAATCCAAGTCGTCAAGGGCTTTGAACCCAGATGACTTTGATGACGAAGACTTTTGATTCATCCATGGATATATAGGATTGCAAGGTTTCTCTTTTGTTTCCCAGATCAGAAATGATATTGATACCAATACATCTGATTTACATATCAAGCATGCATCATTTACTCTTAATAGCAATTAAATTCCAGCTTCTCCGTGGATTTATATGAATTTAAAGTTGTATCTCACCACCAATCTCTTGGGGTTCCAAGGTTCCAACCTTCCAAGGCGCGCACCGCTTATCGCTTATCGATAAGGCAAAGCACGTGACACCTGAGGTGTTTCACAGCGCTCTTTCGTCCTAACTCCATAGGGTCATCTCAAGTTTGACGCGCTTGCCAAGCAGATACGATTGCACGCTTGATGGTTGTTTAGCTGGATTACGAAAGCTCACAATCATCATGGCTTCTGAATTTATTGGCTACAATGTGCTGGTGACATTGAGAGAGCCACAGGGCGGAAAGCTGGTGGGCCAGGTCGCCAATGTGTTTGGCCAGCGCTTGCTACTCCAGGATGGTGAGCTATGAATGATTACAATATATATGCTATAATAATTAATCTTTCCATATTCAGTCACTTTTCTCTGGAACGGTCAATGCCTGCCGCAGTATTCTATTGATGCCTCTGCTATCATCGACCTCTCTCTTGAAACCAATACACAGGCTCCTCCACAGCGCCAGCAGCTACCTCAGCAGCTACCTCAGCATCAACATCAGCATCAACCTATTCCCCAGCTTCAAACCTATCCAGCAATGAATTTACCTCCAGCTCCCACTCAGTCTACTCCAACACAGCAGCAATTTACTGATCCGGCTATTCTGAGTTTTTCCAAAGCACCTCACATATCTAAAACGTTTGTTGAAAATGCTTCGACAGCTGTCCCCGCCAACCAAATTCCAGCAGCAGTCTCCGCCTCTTTGAGTGAGCCATTTAGCAGCCTGGAATTGAATGAAGACAGTGATAAGATCGGAATACAAGGGACACCCCACAAGACATTACTCCAAACCCCGCAGGAACTGTCACCTTCAAAGCAGACACCGAAGCGCAATCGACGTGGCAACCAAGAAAATGTGCGGGAGGAGAGAGGATATGTCGCTAAGCACGGCGCCGCAGCAAGCACCAACCCAAAGAGCAAAGGCTGGCGCCAAACTGCATTTGTGGAGCCAGCTGCCCCTGCATTCCAGGATTCACCCGAGGCTATGAGCCGGTCTGGAACCAAACTTCGCAAGAAGAAGTCACGCCGCTATGCCGAGGATCCAAGTGGCTGGGCAACCGAAGATGCTACTGATATCCAGGAGTTGGGCGAATTCGACTTTGCAAGCAACCTATCCAAATTTGACAAGCGAACTGTGTTTGAACAAATTCGAAATGACGACACTACCGCAGACGAGGAGCGTTTGGTGAGCTTCAACCGAAAAGTCAAGCCGGGCACCAACGGCGGAAAGAACCTACACTGGACGGAGAATGTACTTGATAGCCCACTGAACAGTGACACCGGGGATGATATCGAAGGAATTAGTGAAATCAAACTGAGCAGCGAGACGCTCTCCGGACGCGAGCGGTCAAGAGTGCCTGTACACGCCCAGCCTCCCCGCAAAGACACCGCGATACAGGCCCCGCCAATGGTTCCACAACTCAGTGCGCTTGGCCGCAGCCAGCTTCACGTCAACATTTCTCGTACAACCAGCCCTCGACCAGGCAGATCGTCAGTGTCGCCTATGATTGCTCCCAATGTGTCTGGTGCTGGATCCCTCCGGCTCACAACCACTAATCGCAGCTGCCCCACTGTCAGCCCCTTGCAGACCCTGGAGATTGAGCAAATCTCGGTTGCCGAGTTTGGCTTGGCCGATGAAATCATTACAGAGAATGCAGGTCGGGGAATAGCAGAGGCCGCTGTGGCTCTTCTGTCCAATGATGCTGCTGCACCTACTATGCTTATCCTTACTGGCAATCATCGTACTGGGGCAAGGGCTATTGCTGCTGCTCGCCATCTGCGCAACC